GACTCTGGTGCGGTTTGACGAAAAGGATGGTTACGACCGTGCGCTGCTAGAAGGTCTGCTAGACAAGACCTACATGGGATACATGGGAACCTTAGCCGCCAGCATTGCGGACGAAGGCCACGCGGAACGCTACACCGTGGCGTCTCAGTACCTCAACCTTTGCAAGAAGATCCATGGGCGGTCGAGCCCAGCGGCTCGGGATGCTACTCTCCGTCTCGCGGAAATCTGCGAGAAAAGCGATAGCCATCTGGAGGAAGCGCTCGCCCTTTACCGGCATGTCCTCAAGACGAAGGAGTGGGTGCCTCAGATGCAGGCCACCCGGCCCTTGCCTGACATGACGGATCCGACGGCGAAGAGCATCAAGCACAAACTCGCGCAGATCTATCTCCGCAAGAAGAGCACCTCCGACGAGGCACGTGCTTTGTACATGGAGGAGCTTACCTTGTCCAAGCAGCAGCGAGGGCTGTCATCTTCCCCGACAATGTTGTGGCTGCGTGAAGTGGCCTTTGTCTATGCTTTGAAAGATACGATCGAGTCGCGACAGCAGGGTGCAAGTCTCCTCCGGGATCACGTCAACGAAGTCATCCGTGTGACTGCCAGCCGCGAAGCGGTGATTGAGCGCGCTCACCGACTCGCAGAGATCTATCTCGAATGCGGCTACAGGGATGCCGGCTACGACTTGATTGACGAACTCCATAAAAAGGTCATTCATGAAACATCCGCCGCACAACGATTGGCTCTAAACGAGCACCGCCCTGCGGTCTTTGTTGCCGCGTTCGAGGAGGAGTTTGGCAAGAAGATGACATACAGCCAGATTCTCGACGCGCTGTCTCAAGAAAGCGGCGTGTACAGCGAGTACCAGACGAGTCTTTCCAGGCACGACGTCGTCACCACTCTCGTTGCCGGCCAGAAACTCCATGTTCTGCAGACCGAGCAGAGACGCACGACGGCAGCCACCAAGACGCAGGGCAGCTTGTACGAATACTTTTGCAACTCGCTGTCTGTTTCTGCCGGGCTACGCTCCAAGGACGTGGTGCACCAGTTTTACAACCTCTGCCGCCGTGAGGTCCTCAACCCTGACTATAATGTCAACATTATCAACGAGACTACCCACATGGTGCGCGACTTGTGCAACAGCTCCCGCTTCCAGGATGCAGCAGATCTAACCGGCGTGTTCCACTCGTTTGTGCACCTGACCGACGGTCTGAACAACCACGAGGCAATCTTTACGGCCATCAAGCTCTGCTTGTATCTCAACGGTTACCAGACGAGCAAGTGCTCAGACAGCGGCATTGCCAAGCACATGGCATTCGAATCCCAGATGCTCCTTCAAGAGATCATGGCCAGAGCTCGCCACCTAAAGATCGAGTTCTCCGAACTCCCATTCCCCGAAGTGAACGACCTGGTCACAGTATTGGGTGAACATGAGATGTTTGACGATCTAGAGGTAATCCCCCTCCCTCAGCCAACCTATACCATGCTAATTGCTTTGCTCCAGGCCATTCTCACCGCCCTCTGGACCTCGCGCCTCGTCCAGAAGACCTGGTCTTCCAATACGGTCGTCTGGATCGGCCGTCGGCTCGTGGAAACCCGCTTCTGCCGCGGGCACACCAATGCCGCGACCCAGCTAGGCAAAGACATCTGCTACAACCTACGGCAGGTCTGGGGCAACTGCGACCCCCTCACGCTGGAGATGACCAAACTGCTGTCAGGTCTGTACTCGGCGTCAGGCAACCACCTGGCGGCCGTGGCGCTGCACGAGACAGCACTCCACGAGCTCCTCAACGACACAGACGCCGACCAGGCACATGCGGCCGACACTGCCAGCCAGCATCTGCAGCTGCTCAAGCATGCTCAGTCGCGGCTCAGCAAGGAGAGTGGCCAGGCTGTGGATACGAGCGCGTACGACGAGCTGGTGCAACAGGTTGGTACGAAGTTTGGGGTGAGGCCGGAGAGTCTGCAAGGAGCGGGCGATGACGTTGGCATGTGGCATCGTCCGAGGAGGTTCAGTCTCGATGTCGAGGAAGAGCAGATGCATTCGAACCATCTGCGTAGTAGCAGCGGTTCGGCGTTGCTAAATGGGAATGCGGGGGCTAAGCGGATTTCGATTACTGCGTTGTAGGCACATGGTGCTTGTAATTTGTAATTAATCACTCAGAATGACTCTTCATCTCGATGAAAAGTGCTGGTATATAGTCGGCAATTTACGTGCTTAATGCAAAAAGGTCGAGGCAACAGTCAAACGTCATTAACAATAGGAGGGCGGACTCTGATAGCGGACTTAACGCTATACCCGTTGGACCGTAAACCGCTGATCCGCACTACTAACTCCGTAGACCGTACTCCGTAGGGGCCGAAAATGATCGACTGTTAGTTAATCAATAAGTATTTAAATACCGGAGATCCCCTTGAAGCTTAATCACATCCATTCCAGAGAATATCTCCATTGTCAAAGGCATATTTCTTCGAAATGGGCTTCCTCTACTCCCAATTCTTTGTAACCCCGGCGTACCCCACCCACTCCTTCAAAGACCAAACCATCATCGTCACCGGGTCCAATGTCGGCCTGGGCCTAGAAGCAGCACGGCACTTTGTCCGGCTCAATGCCGCAACCGTGATCCTAGCCGTGCGGAACCGCCCCGCCGGCGAAGCCGCCAGAGCCTCAATCCGCAAGTCCCATCCCGACTCCCAAACCTCCATCGAAGTGTGGGACCTGGACCTCTCGTCCTACGCCTCAGTCCTCGCATTCGCAGAGAGAGTCTCCAACCTACCCAGACTAGACGTCCTCCTCTGCAACGCATCCATCGCCACAGAAACCTTCCAGCTAGCAGAGGGCCACGAGCGAAGCATCACAGTCAATGTGATCAGCACGGTGCTTCTGGGTCTTCTCGTCCTCCCGACCCTCCGCAGGAGCGCAGAGAAGTACGGGATCAAGCCGCGTCTGACGACGGTCGTCAGTGAGGTACACGCGTGGACGAAGTTCCCTGAACGAAACGCGGAGAATACGTTCCTCGCGCTGGATGACGAGGAACACACGGACATGGAGGAGCGGTATCGGACGTCCAAGCTGCTGCAGGTGCTGGCCCTGCGGGAGATGGAGATGCGGATGCGGGACGACAGCGTCGTAGTGAATATGGTTAATCCTGGGCTGTGCCATTCACAGCTGGGCCGCGAGGCGGGGATCCGGCTTGCGCTGATGAAGATGGTGATGGCGAGGACGACGGAGGTGGGGAGTCGCACGCTGGTTGCGGGTGCGGCGGCGGGAGAGGAGAGCCATGGGGCGTATATGACGGATGGGAAGGTGGATAATGGTGCTTTGTCGGATTTTGTGCGCAGTGAGGAAGGGAAGAAGGTGCAGGAGAAGGTTTGGGGGAGTTGAGGGAGATTCTGGAGGAGATCAGGCCGGGTGTGACCGGCAATTTGTAATATATCGAAGAGTAGCATGTCTTAGATGGCTGTAATGATAATCATGTATTCTACGCATGTATAGCAAATTGAAGTATGAGCGTGCGTAGTAGCTCTGGACTTAGCGGACATAACGGACACAGGAATAAGCATATGCTCAAAGATAGTGAATTGCAGGTGACAGCCTGAAGGAATGTAACCCAGGTTGCGATATAACAGCGAGTGACGCTACCCGTAGTAAAGCCAATCTAGGCTACTCATCGACCAAAGCAAGACTAGATGGCGGTAACATCAACCCAGAACCTGGTATCATCCTTCTGATACTTGGGATCACTCTCAATCTGCTGCTGGATCCACTGAATGGCACTTTTATACGCTGCTCCGATTAGCCCGTACGTCCACCAGAAGCAAAAGACAGAAGACATACTGTTGATATCATCCGTGTACGGATTCTGCAGCCCAGAAGCTCCATTGCGATGGCCAGCAACCCAGAGGTCGAACCCATAGTGCTTCTCACTGTCATGGCGGGCCTTGACGTCCTTCTTCAGGTCGTGGCTGTACTGTGTTAGCTCTACCCAATAGTATGGGACACGGACATACTTCAAGACAGCCCCGTTGGACACCTGCTCAGCAGATTGACCCTGGAAATCGCTGGTAGAAGTACGCAGCATCATCCAGTTCTGCTTGAAGATGCCAAAGTTGGTAGCATCGCCGGATTTGCCGTCGCCGTAGACGTAGTCGGTTTTCATGTGGTCACTGCCGTCAGGTCAGTCAATGGAGAGACACGACGGAACAGAGTGGTAAGGAACCTCTCTAGCATGGCAATCGCCATGTCCATGGTGTTTCCGCCCGCCTTGAGGAGGGCTTGCTTGCGCTGTCCGAGGTCAGAAACGGTGTAGCTACCGCGGTTGTCACAGAGGGCAAGCTGGACGAGGCCGAAGAAGCCGACAATGGTGGTGAACTTCATTTCGATTGGCAGTTGGTCTTGTCAGTTGAGATTATTCTTTGCTTGTCAGCTTTAGAGATATCAGGATACGATGGTCCTTATATAGTCAAGAGAGGATTGCTCCAGATGACTCTACGAGCCCTCAGCTACGATCCACCAGCTCCATACATGAAGCAATTCTTGTCTCATGCTTGCCATTTCTCCTACCTGATGATAGATGGCAGTACGTCAAGACCCATCGGTACTGAGTACATGGCCTTAAGACGGGCCGCTCTGTCCCAGTTACCGACCTGTCGGATGGGGCCTAGGTGGTGGTTCGGGCTGGACATTTCCCCATTTGCCACGGGGAGTCCGTCTTTTATGAACAGTAAAAGTAGATTGGGGGCGAAAAAGAGGTATATGTGGATACAGCGGGAAGTCGGTGTTTCAAGGTGCTACCGTGCGGGCCGTAACCGTCCTCCGGCAGATTGTCATAGTTCTTGATTCGAGGCAGCTATCAGGGTTCAGTTTAGAAATGGAATATCTAAAGTCTAGACTACGGCCGACTGATTGGCATGCTCCTTCAGTCCCACGTCAATACATGTGACGCACTTGTTCCTTGGACTATACTCAGAACCTCATTGACCATAGCTCCAATACTCTCAACGGTCTAGTCATCACGCAACCCCGGATGCTCTAATGCCTGGCACGCTGTAACTCGTTTGACTGAGTCCGGAGTTGTGAATCCCTGGATCAGGTCTTTCAATGCTGGATCAACGACATCAGGCTACTTGGAAAATGGTTGTATGGGATGTGTTCCTCGGCCCTTTCGTCCCATAGCATCCTTAGGATCTGACACTAATATCATCAAGGATCTCCAAAATACAACGCTTGACGCTGCATGCGACTGAAGGCAGGCAATGCGCCCTGGGTCTGATGCTTCCTGAAACCCTCGTCAAGACCAAAGAGGACGCGCGTCTGAGCATAGCATAGATACACTAATAAGGCCGGTTAGTACTTAACAATTCCTTTTAATTACTCTGGTGAACTCACAACAAATCCAAATAAAAGAAAAGTCTGTTGGCTTGTTGAGCTGACCCTTGAAGTGTGCCTCGGGACTTTGCTAATTGTCGTGGTTAGCAAGCGTACATTTAATACATCTACCTTTGGGAAGATAAGCAGCATTTTCAAGGTCGATGGTCTGAACCTATTTGACTGTAAAATCTTGACCACTGTGCTGGAATTCAACTATGATATTGTCTGGCTCGATATCTAGATGTATTTAGTTGGAACCCTAAGGGATCGAACAGTAGTGGCCATGGGGAGTACCTGGATGAACGACGTCGCGATTGTGTAATTCAGCAATTCCTCTCAGAGTAGCCTTCAGGAACTGCTTCCGGGCTTGTAGAGGTAGCCCCTTCTTGAATAGGTTGACTAGGCTGAGGCAGTTTTGTGTCAAATATATGTACACCAATATTTATTAGCCAGGTATGGTGTCACATGGCAATCAGACGAATGAAGACTGCTGTAGCTGGGCAAAATTTCTCATGAAGGTTCTCAAAAATATATTTCGGTATGACTTTCGGAACAAACTGATCTTTTCCAGATGTACAGGAATCAGCTGCGAACCAAAGAATATGGGTGAAGGACGTCCGACGTTGCCAACCAGACGCGAGCCATATGTGGTCTTTCTTGAAGTAGTCCTTTAAACCAGCAACAAGATCCAGAAGCTACAATATATTCATTAGGTGCAGTTGCCATTTTGCACAGGTCCTTCTAAACATGATCTTATTTTCCCAAGATGTAGAGAATGAGACAACTGATGAAAGAAGGAAGACGAAGTATCAGGATGCTTGAGCAGAAGGGATGTTTGGACTAGATGAAAGGAATATAAACTTCGTTCTGGCAGATGTAAGACCGGAGATATATATATCTTCCCTGCTCTGCAGTCTGCTACACTGCTAGCATCAGCAATGTAAAGTGCTCCAGGATCATAGTGTGCTCTATAACCACACTAGCTTTGCAGAAGTGCTCATGGCAATTCAGTACTGACCAGCTTAGACTTACTGCACGATTGCTTAATATGCTACAGCGTGGCTTAGAATTGAGTTATATACCCTTGCATAAAGTAGTGTGACTAGTGTCAGACATGCATACGCTAGTGCTTACAGATAATAACCTCACAATACCCAAAATAGGCGAGACAACCTCGTATTCGCAGTGCAACCTCACCACCTCAAATTGCATGACTCACTAGCTGCCTAACCTACATAAACCATCTACCTTCCTTCCGTCTAACCCAACCCACCCACCAACCTGCAAAAATGTCGACAGACAAATCCGCCCGCCACTACATCGAAGTCATCTCCACACGACCCCAGAAACCCATCGAAATAGTCGACTACGACCCCTCCTGGCCAACCGCCTTCGTCTCCATCGCTCAGCGCATCAAATCCGCCCTCGGCGCTAGAGCCCTGACAATCAACCACGTCGGCTCAACCAGTATCCCCGGCCTGGCCGCCAAAGCCATCATCGACGTCGACCTCGTCGTCCCGGACCCCACCGCCGAGGACGAGTACGTTCCGGCCTTGGAGGCAGCCGGGTTCCAGTTCCTCTTCCGCGAGCCGAACTGGTACGAGCATCGGTTCTTTGGGCTGGCGGAGCCGTATGCCAATGTGCATGTGTTTGGGCCGGGGGCGGGGGAGTTGAGTCGGCATCAGCGGTTTCGGGACTGGTTGGTGTCGCATCCGGAGGATCGGGAGTTGTATGTGCGGGCCAAACGGGAGTCTGCGCGGGAGAGTCGTGAGAACGGGGAGTCAGTGCAGGGGTATAATTTCCGAAAGGAGGGGTTATTGAGGAGATTATGGTGCGCGCGGGGATTCCGCTGCCAGGGACTGATTAGCCTGTCTGCCTGCCACTGTTGATATGGCTGTGTCTCTAAGTCCTTGGGCATCCTTACATATGCTCTATCTATGGAGGCAGTTTAAATCAACCCGTAGATAAATCCCAGCTGATCAATCTCGTCCCCATCCTGCCCGTAAAATCCTACAATCTGCCATCCCTGCGCCGCCGCAAACTCCTTGCAGTCCGACGTCGCCGTTCCTGCGCTCACCGTCCGTCCAGTGCTCGTCGTGGCCAGGAGGTAAAAGTTGCGCGTGTGGCCGCTGTACTGCCCCTGGCACAACTTCGCCTTGGTCCAGTACTCGTTCGCCGCGAGGGTGAGTTCCGAGAGCTTACCCCCGGTGCCACCGTGGGTATAGCTCTTGCCTGAGGTCACGGTGAGACCGACACCATCGAGGCGCTCCGCACCGCGCAGGGAGATCTTGCTTGGCTTGTTCTGGCCGGTGAAAGTGGTGGGAAGGGAGTCGAGGTCGTTGAACCAGGATCTACTTCATTTAGCTGCGTCATTTGACTTGTGGTAAAATGTGACTCACCCGTGTGGTCCACCGAAGAGATCACTCTGGCGGAAGGAATTGGACGTGGTCCAAGTGAAGTTGGTCGTGATGGGATTGTGATCGGAGAGGATCGTTCCGTTGTCGCTGAGGAACTTATTGCTCTCGTAGTTCCAGAAGACGGCCTTTAGATCGAACGCACGGCTTCCCCGGTAGCTATTTTCCGTCAGCCTTCTGTATTACGGTAGAAAAAGCTCAATGGAACGTACAAGATCTTATCGACAGTCTCACAGTTGTTGGTCGTGCTAGGATTCTGGCAGATCGAGGCATTGCTCCCCTCGGCCGGCTCGGCTCCCTTGAGAATCAGCTCAACCCACGGGTTAACCATGCCATTCTGCGTCTGGAAGACACGGATATTGTCGCCGGTCCTTGTATACCGCGCATTGGTGTCGCCAAACACCAGCACCGCATTCCCGACCGAGTTGACCTTGATGTAATCGGCCAGCTGCTGCAGATTGGCACTTCGGGCCTTGATATCGTCGTCGTTGGATCTGTTCATATTAGCTTTGCTACAGAACTGAAGGCAAACAAAAGATACCCAGCGTCGGCGTGAAGATTGTAAAAATCCACGTATACGCCCTCGTCGACACGCACCCGCATCGAGGTGAACCCCTTGGGGGTCAGACAGTCTGCCCCCTCGGCATTAGAGCACGTCCCCCACTTGGTCCGCACAAAGTTGGTAAACTGAAAGTTGGACAGCGTATTCAGTCCGGAACCGATCGCCGCACCGCCAGAGGTGGGAGTGCGGTAGGGATGGTTGTCGGTTTCGTAGATGTACGCGTGGTAGTTGAAGTCCTATTTCGTCAGCGAAATCCGTAGATAGGAGGGGAGGGACGGGACTCACCTCCTGCACATGGATAACGTCGTATCCATACTCGGCGAATTTCTTACCAATCTGACGAGAGTTGTCGGTCTTGTCGCCTGGAACCTCGTTGCCGTTCAGGATGTCGGGCAGTCCTGCGACGTTGAAGGAGAGGATGCTGAACTCGCCAGCTGTGGCAGCCAGGGCGGGAATGCCTGCTGCAAGGAGAACAAGAAGAGAGCGCATTGCTATTTTGGTAACCTACTCTCGTATAGTCAGGTGAGTTGAGCTGAGACTTGCATGAGAACTTGCAGATATTCGGTGATATTTATACCTTGGCCACCCCGCTGAAGACAGTCCCAGACGCTAGCAGGCGTAAAGTGAGGTCAATTAATTAATCCTGCAGATGTCGTCGTAGCCAATTGGGTTGGTCTGGGTTAGCAGACTTGGCAGCTCATCGCTAAAAGGTGTTCCTATATTGAACGGAAGCGATCTACACCGTGCACGTGGGTAACTCTGTGGTGGATATCCAGACAAAGAATTCGTCTTTTTAATAATGCTCGGCGAATTCAACAAGGAATCCAGTCCTCCGGCGGATTCAATGTCTCACCTTGGTATGTAATGTACATGCAAGCAACCTTTTGCTTGGAGTAAAGTCTGAAGAATCTGGTAAGGATCTTCCGTCAATAGAAACGTTTCCGTGCCGATCGTTAATCGGTCTTCCACCGGTCCACGTTTCGGAATGATGAACAGAATAAACGGTCTCCGAGGTCCCTTGAATAGTGTTCAGCTCGTCGGTCCAAAGTATATTCCATTGTACGCTTCAGTGTTTGCAGTTGATCTACATCTCTCAAAATGGATGTTTTCGTAACTTCGTCCCGTCCATGCGGCATCCAACAGAAGGATAGCTAGACTGTATAATGCCCTAGGACTGCGCTGCGGGAACTCTGTGCTTGGGTTTATCACAATGTCATTGATGCCAGTACCGTGGTTGTTCTACCGCTGCGACAAGGCTTCGAGAACTTATCTCTACGGCGAGTCAGACCCATCCCGTGTATTCTCTGGGATGGTTGATCACAAAAGTATGCACATATTGCCCCATTCGGCTGGTATCATACAAGGGCTAGCTTAAGACGAAAACCCCCATCCTCTGTGTTACAGAAGATATCCACCATCCATGATTTCTGACACCGTTCGTGGATATCAGCCAGCATTCGACGGGATAGGCGGTCCCTCTCTAGCTGAGTCCGATCTAGACCAGGTACAGGGAACATGACCATTTGGAATGAGAAAGATATAGTCAAAAGACGAGGACTGATAGGAAGGCGGTTGAGGAAAGAAAAGTAGGGTGGCGAGCAGTAACAATTAGATGAGCAGAGGGTACTACCCTACTATAGCTCGCGGCCAGCCCTCCAACTCGTTTGGTTCCTTCACAAAATCTCTAGCCCCCCGCTTCTCCTAAGCAGACACTAGAGGCATCCAGCTTGGATCCGAGTTGATTCTTGATTCTCTTGTCTTACGCGCCACCTGCTGCTATACCTGAGTCCCCATTCGCTGTAGATTTGAGTGTCACGAGAAGACTGGCGACTTCGTAAGCCGTGTCAATGGGTTTGACCATATCGATCCATCTCCTCTGCATTATACTGACTGTAGTTAGGGTCAAGCCGGCAGAACATGGGTTGAGAAGACTGTGATTGACTGGAGCTTAGAATCACTACGACCATGTGCATTGATTTATTGGATGAATACTTTCTTCAATGCTTGTCTAGTCTATTTGATAAAATCCTATTATTGAGGTTTATCCCACCCGACTATCATTCTCCCTGCCTTGTCCTGTTCAAGTCCCTTGGATTAGGCCCACTTGCCTATCAACGCCATAATCCCAGCTCCCAGGAGTGTACATCCCAGCATATACAGGATCTGCCCCCGTCTCTTTGTTCGACACGGATCAAATAAAAAGTCTCGTGCCAGCAACTCCACCAACCCACTGTATATCAGAATCCCCGCCGATATAGCGTCGAGCACCCCCTGCACGATCAGTGCCGTTCTCGAGCCTGGGTTATATGACGTGCGCACACCGAGCCCGATAGCAATGGCAACTGGCGTAGTGAGTCCGTATGCTAGACAGAGAACCCAAGGTAGCCAGGGTCGTTTGCCGAAATGGAGCGCTGACATGCGAGCCCCGATCCCCAGTCCTTCAAAGGACTGGTGGAAGACGAGGACGGGGTAGAGGGTTGTGAATTCGTCGCCTGCAACACCGAGGTTGAGACCGATGATGACGGAGTGGAAGATGATGCCGAATTCGAGGATCAGGAAGGCGGCGATATCTTGCCGGAAGGCCCGTTCGGAGGTCACGGAGATTTCGTCTGCGTGGGGGTAGAGATCCTTGCTTCCTGTTGGGGATGGTATCTCCGTGGCAGTAAGCCCGTCGGACGAGTCGTGTGGACTGGAGCATGCGGGCTGGGTGATGAACGCTGCGGTGGCGATTGCTTCTCGTTGCACATTGTACTTCCACTCGACGTACACCTCAGCCCCGACATCCATGAGAAAGATCAGTATGACGGATGAGAGGACAATCGCCGCGCACCAGGAGTACTCTCCCCAGGCGCCGGACATGCCGATACATGTTCCTGGTCCGATGCTCTGGTAGGCGGGGTCCAGCAGGTGGATGAACGCAGTCGCCACGATGACCCCTGTCCCAAAGTATCGCCCAAACTGGTACACATGATGGGGAATACGCCACTGGGGGAGCCGCTGAGCAACCACCGGGAAGAGGGTAAATGCGGTAGACGTGATAAAGATGACAAAGATGGAGGAGATGCGCGCGCCTAAGTGGCCGTTGTACTCATTTTCCGACAACGAGAGGTAACAGATGACATCCTCTTTGCTGGCGGCGTTGAGATCAACGTTGGAGGCGTCGAAGGTAGACATTGTTGAATAGGCCAACATCGATGTGCTAGACACTTTTTTCCTTTATATGGCACGCTGGGTACCTTGAGGTCGCACTGATACAGTCTACCGCAAGGTCCTTCGCCTGGTCGGTGGGACGCGGTGGATGGTCGATCTCTACGTAGACACGACCTTGTGAGCCAACTCTAACTTCTGTGGGGCGAGACGAGAAAGAAAAGAGTGTCATCGCTAGCCTCAGCCTGTCTTCATGTTTGGGAGGCCGGAGACAGTCGTAGGGCTGAGGTCATCCAGGTGAGGACCTTGTTAAAATCCACTTAGAAATAATGCAAACAAGATAACTGCTAAGGATTAATTGACAGCCAAGTACGTTGGCATTTTAACCTGCTTGAACACATGTCTTTTTAGTTGGTCGTCATTTAGTCGGAAGTGCTGGTGTCAATCGGGGGAAAGGGTTGCGGCCCAATGGGTTAGCATTGTGATCATACAGAATGTGCACATTACCGAGCTTAATCCTCATTACATCTGGGCTGGGGATGCGATTTCCCTGAGCGGAACCACCAATGTCTGCATTGACCATGTCAAGGTTTCCCTTGTTGGTCATCAGATGTTTGCGTCTGGTTATGAACCGAGTGGCCATGTTACCATCCCAAACAGTGAATCCGATGGCTGCACCACTTGTCAACTCTGGCAAGCTGTCTGCGGCTGATGAGTCGGTCCTCTCCAGCTGGCCAAAGCGCGAGGGTTATATCATGGTTATGGACGCAAGCGAGGTTGCCTCGTATGTTGTGGCTCATGGGGGCGTTGGCAAGCTTCCTGTGTCGCCAACATCTCCAAGATTAAGTGTAACTCCATCCTCCTCTGTCTGGGTCAGAAGAGATGGCATCCGGGAAGTCATCAGGCCGACTGCAGTGCCAACTGGTGCACCTCCTGCGCAGCAAGAGCACGGCATTCTTCCGTCTTTCTTTTCCTGGATTGGTCTGCAGATACACCCGTTCGCTAGGTGCATGGTCGGTGGCGTATCAAGCGAAAAGCATTCGAATGTGAAAATATGACGTTGAACGCCATTAGAACTTGTTCCCTTCTCCAGCTCGCACCTATATGAGTAACTGTTAAGCAAGCTGTAAGACTGTGATACTTGGGTTATTGCAAGAGCCAGTCGGTAAGCTGCACATTACAGTGTGATCGGGGGATTGTCTCAGTTTGGTCTCCGGGGTAAAATCAATCTGACATACCCAATCTCGTAATGAAGTGAGCATGATGAGCGACTAACAGCACTTCGGAAAATGCAGCAACTCATTCAACATGGTCGAATGAAGATAGGCAGGCGTTGGTCTCCGTGACTTTCCCTGTTTAGTCCCTCGCGCCAAGTGTGGTCTATCGAACTGGTCGATTGCCGGCGATCGCCTCCCGCAGACGCAGGTGGATAGCAAGTCGGCAATTTCGGCAAGTGAACAACTCGCCAAAAGTACGATTTGGAGGTGCTTGACTTGACCATTAATGGAAAGTCGTCAATGCAGACAAGGTGGTCATCGTACGACATCCATGGATATTAGATTAACTGACAGCCGGCGGCTAGAGTCGTGGGGATAGTGTCACTATGAATAAAAGTACGTCCCCAGTATCCAATCACACAAACCGGTCTAGATAACTGCTGACAAATACAGGCTTCAATAACTTAGTTAACTATCTTACAATCCTTGAGGACGATGTAACCCGAACCGGAACTGCCGTGGTCGATCGCTGCATGTTGCCTGATACTGACAGCGGCATTATCCAAGCTGGTTCGTGTCTTATGGCTGAGGATTGAGGAATGCAGCCTGCCGGTCATCACGACCACAAATCGATCCTTCTACCTATTGATTGCCCCTTTTCTTTCCTTGCCATTTCTAGCGGATCGTACGGTTGCTATTTGCTAACCTTATCCATGGCTTGGCCTCTAGATTAAGATTGCCGCACGTCACCTGTGGAGGGCCACCATCATTATATATAGGTAATATTAATGTAATGCACACAAACCAGTCACAGTCATCTGTGACACTCGACCTGCGGCTGCATGGAAATGGCCATGAAGCAGGGGTTGCCTCAGGCATGTGAAATGTGAATCCCTGCACCTCCAGCTTTTCCTCACTGGTCGACTCCTCTGTGGAGTACGTACCCCCGTTAGATTATTATCCACCAAGGTTCGAATCGATTTGAATCAAAGAGATATAAGGTTACAATACGAAAGTGGGCTGCACAATAAGCCAAGAGAAAGCGCCCGACGGGGGGCGGGATTTGGGGCCCCGACATTAGTGACATTTTGGGAGACTCCACTGCGATCCACAATAGTAAGCTCGCACCGACTCCCTCTACTCCGTACAGTTCCCCGTGCTCCTGAAGACTGAGCATGGAGACCTCGAGTCAGTCAAGCTCTGTCAACTCCGTCATCTAGCCATGAGTGATTCTCAAAGCAACCAGCAAAAGGGTCTGCCCGCTTCAACAGCGACGCCCACAGCCAAGGCGGGCGCACGGAAGAAGACCCGACCCACCTATTCATGCCTCAACTGCCACAAACGCAAAGTCAAGGTATCGTAACTTGCACTCTGGGGGTGGATGAATCTAGCTCACTGTCTTCAGTGTGACAGAGTGAAGCCATGCGGTGCCTGCTGTCTTCGAGGCACTCCGTCAGAGTGTGAATATGGCACCAGCAAGCGAGATCGCCACTACATCCAGCAGTCGGCTCTGATCGACAATCTCATGCAAACATGCGAGGACCTGAAGAAGCAGCTGGCTGAGGCGCGAGCGCTGGCCAATCTTCCGCCGGTCAAGCACGAGGACCCATTCTCAGTCTCGTCGCCAAATGAGGTCCCGCTGCCGAGTGAGGAGGAGGAGGCCCAAGACCTGGAGTCTCGAGATGATTCTTCGTTGATCAAAAAGACAGCCGACCCATCAGATCGACTAGTCGCTGAAAGTACCAAGACACCATGGGAAAACCCCGGTCAGACCTCGCGATCGCTCAGTGAAGACAAACGGGTCCTGACGGACCCAGCGGTCGCCCGTTCATTCGTGGAAGTCTTCGTCGAGCGTCTCATTGACAATTTCAGCCCGCAGCCAGCCTCCCTCTATGGCGGCACCGTTGCTCTGCGCGAGGCATCTGGCATGCGAGTCCTGTCGCCTATGTTGTGTACCGCATTCGAGGCTGCCTCTCTGACATTTGCCGGTAAACGGGAGCAGATCCGCGAGGTGGAAGCCGTAGGACATGCGCGCTACGTCCGGGTCCTCCGGCAACTGCAGACCGCGCTGAACGATCCAAAGCAGAACAAGTCGACGGAAGTGATGGTTGTGGTATTACTCTTCACCATAATCGAGGTACGTTGCGTTTGCGTTTGCCCTTGTCGCGATCGATTTCCACTAACAGTTCGCAGGCCTTCAAGCAAAGCTCCAAAGATTCCCTGCTGAAGCACCAACTCGGCGGCCTGCAACTACTGCAAGCGCGGACACCATATCGACATCGGTACGGGATCGATCGATCGCTGTACGTCGATCTCCGCTTATACTGGGTAGGTATCACTCTCTCTCTCTCTCACACATTTTGTCAGTGCGTTGCTAACTGGCCAGGTTACCGCTGCGCTCGTCCAGCGCAAACCCACCTTCCTCGCAAGCAAGGAGTGGCTTACCGTCCCATGGCCCGGAGACGCTCCATCAAAGGATATCCTCCACCGACTGTTGGACATCGCGGTAGACATCCCCGCCTACCTCGGCCAGATCGACGACTTCGCCGCGGCGCTACGGTCCGGCACCGTGCCCTCGACCGAGCTCGTCGCACAGCAGACCGCCATCTGGGACCGCGCGACGGAACTGCAGTCGCGGCTGAACCTGTGGAAAAGCATGTTCGCCGATACCTACGCGCCCGGTCGAGCATGGGAGGAGCCCGCACCCGACGCAGCGACCAAGTCCAAGTCCGAAACAACGGAGACGACCGTCCCGACCTTCCCGACATTCATGTGCCGGGATCCGGCGACGATGGAGCTGGTCCCGGCCAAGTTACTCGTGTACCCCGACCTGCTCTCCGCAACCTGCATGACCTACTACTGGGCACTCCATCTGATCGTCTCCACGACCGACAGCGGGCTGGTGAGCGTACTGGGCCTGCAGGAGCGATACCAGTATGCGTGCAACATCTGCCGCAGCATGAAGTACTACGTCGAGAATATCCCCGGGTGCTTGGTATCGCGGACAATGTTTGTGCTGCGGACGGCGTTTGATGCGTTTGCGGACGGGATGGCCGAGAAGGAGTTTGTGACTGAGGTGTTTCGGCATATTGCGGCGAAGTTTCATCTTTCGGTTTTTTCGAATCAGTGTGCGTCGTCTTCGGTTAAGGGTTAGCTATCTCTATTGTCATCTACTGTTGAGCATTATATATCGTATCATCATTCGTCAATTTCCTATTTTACATGATATATGTATGTACTGTCATTGATATATACAAGTAGCAATTGTCGTATCGCTCTCGCGACGCCAGTGCCATTTGAGCAACTCTCCAATGGCATGATTTTATCACATCATCGACACTCGAATGTCTTCATCTCACCGAAGACAGAAGCGTCTGAGCGAGCGGAGTCGGCGTCACGGTGCCGGTCATCGGTCGCCGGAATCAGATTCCATCGGACCTGGCCGAGGTCGGCGGGGCAAAGAGGCGAGGGCGCTACCTTGCCCCTTACTCTCGAGACCTCAAGGGGGGTAGAGAGTTCTCCAAAAACAGGAGGAGTAGTAAACCAGACTTGCAGCTCTGTTGACCTGCTACATACTCACACCGGCGCCGGTGCAGGCATCTGGATAAACGCCTCCTTGCTGAATTCCATCGAGAGGTCTGCATCCGCGTATGCATACCCGTAGTGATCTTGCGGGTGTCCATAACTATACGGATATCCGAATTCCATCCTAGATGCAGAAGCAGACACAGGTGAATCAATGGTAAACCCACCCGTGGGATCCACAGGCAGCCAATTCGCCGTGAAGCGGGTACTGCCGTCGGGCATTTCGAGGGGAGTTAGTGCATCTTCCTCGTCTTCGGCGGCGCTGGTGCGGTGATTCACCCCGCGGTGAGACAAATGGTGGTGGTGAGGAAGAGGAGGATGAATGTGGCGGGGCGGGCGGGGGCAAGAGTCGAGCCTATCGGGCAAATTGTAGAAATGCATGCCCAGGCCCATGCCGAGTGAGGGATCCAGGTCGCGGTCGCAGTCCCATTCGCAGTCTTCGTCGCTTTCCTTGCTTGTAGAACTTGTCGTGCTGGGGGTGCAGGGATCTAGTGATGGAGAGGAAGAGTTCCGGTTTGAGAATGACGAGGATGATGATGATGATGACGACGAAGAAGGGGAGGTGATGCCGGATGGAGTCATAAACAGCGCCCGCTGTGTTGCGTCCTGGGATGTGGAGCGGAGGAGGGAGAGCTCGTCGGGCGTCTTTTTCCCGTGGCCGAGGGTGAGATCGGGGAAGGGAGGTCTATTCAGTCAGTCAGTTTAGTTTGGTTCAATCCAGTTTGTTTGCTCGGAGAAGAAAAGTGAAACTCACACTGAAATGAATTCCATGCCCTGTGCAAACATCTCCATGTCCATATCCATGCCCATTCCCATTCCCATTGCCATTGCCATTCCCATCTCAATTGGCGGTGTATGTGGTTGCGCGTGCATAACCCCTGCTGGTGCTGTTGGTGCCTTTGCCGAAGTTTGCCCGTAATGCAGCCAATTATCCGAGCTGAGCAACGCAAAGTCACTCTCGCCGCGACCATGAGCAGACAACTCAAAGGCAAGGCTCATGGCCTCGTCGCTCTGTAGTTCCTGTTGCAGAGGCGATGCTTGTCCGATGGCATCGAGGAATTGCCAACTTGCGTAGTCGTAGGGGAGTGAATCGGTCATGTTGTCTGATCTGTTTATAGTTCGTATGGCGACTGTCGTAGTACCGTCACAGCATCCCAAGCAGTAGCAGATGCAGTAGTAGAAGTAATTTTTATCCTTCTAGTAGTGTATAGTCCAGATGTATCAACATATAACGTCCAGCAGCAATGATAGAAAGAAACATGCTGGGGACCACGCCCTTAATAAAAGCCTGAGCCAAACCCATCGCCGGCAAAAAAAACATCAAAGCCAAGGAGCATACTCCGTAACAGACACAAATGAATCAATCAATTATGGGGTAGATAGACTAACTACAGGGAAGCTCGCCAAAATCCGTCCCATCCAGGCACAAATCACACTCATCGGCAGGACCATTGCCCAACTCGGCAAAATAAAATCGAAGCGAAGGTACTTAAATTGACTGAATCGACACGGAGCTTCCCAGCTCAACCACCCAATCACCATCTCGCAATGGAACACAAGATCATCACATTGCCATGTGCGTGAGCAGGAGCAATTAACCGAGCTGCCCTTCCCCAGATTTCGAAACGCGGCCAAACGGCTAGAACCAGAGTCAATCAGAGACACTCATGGGCCGAGAAGAAAAAGTCAAATGATCCGTCCCCCTGGCCCGATCCCGGGTCTCGTGCCTTGTAGCCCTGTCGCGCTAGCACCAACTGGTCAGCTTCTCCGCATCGGTTAATTGGGGTCCTCCGGTTGATTGTTTTAACCGAGATTCGTTCGATGCTCGGTCCGGGGTGGCGATTCTAGCCGAGTGTCTGGGGTAAAACACCATTTTCATATTCAACCGTGACAGGTCTGAATTTTCCGAGATTGGGTTACTGTATGGTGGTTGCGAGTCCTGTGCGCCGGGGCGAAGTCATAGCTTGCCAGGTTCGTTCATTTTCAAGCGAGAATTTAACCTGGTAGCATTGACAATGTAATGGTGAGTAGTACGGGTGACCAGTGAACTGTGATATATACGTTCTATTCAATTTATAGAGTATACTGCTATGTCATTAGGCATGTTTGAAGTACATGACACTGCAAGTACCGACGGCAGTTGCAGGTTCGTTCGCATCAATGGAGAATATCGACCAGCGAACTAACTCGCCAGAAACTAGTGGAGCCTGTGGCCCCTGCCCCTGCAGATGGCAGCGGTTGCAAGATGCTAGGGCTAAGGCAGTAACTGCCGATCAATCCTAGTTGCATCTAGCCAATGCGAACTGCGACGGGGAACCTCCGGGCAATCCTCCGTACGGCTCTCCTCCACGAACAGTGGAGTCCGGGGAAGCTCTTGCTAAATTTAGAGTGCCAACCCGGTACCTTTTCTCGTCCACCGGTACAGTGCCAGAACGGCCTTGCGCCGGTGTCGGATCTCACTGTGGTTGACAGGGCGTCCCCGCGCCTGTGCAACCGCACTCCGCATCACTTGGCGGAAATTCCGCTGGTATTCCGTGTTGAGGGTGACGACGCAGGATTCTGTCGCGCGGATCATCACCTCGCATGCGTTGAGGATGCCCTCTCCTGCCTCTTTTTGTAGCCGCTCCACGATCAGCAGGAGGAGAAAACTGCCTTGCAGGAGCTGGATGCCAAAGAAATAGGGCATGAAGCTGACGTCCGGGTCATAGCGGAGAATCTGGTTGACCGAGTCGGCCGCATCCAGCGCATGTGAGATGGTAGTGGCAAAGGCAGGGGACGAGGTCCAAAAGTCCTTGTCCTCGATGAGCGAGACGGGATCCCACTTGCCGACAAGGAGAATGTGCAATACATGCACCAGATATGATGCGTACGCGATGACGGTCTGAGTATGCCATGCGAACGCTTGAGAAAGAGAAGGTTCACCAGGATGATCGGGGGTGGATGGAGGAGGAAAGGTGGTGGAGAGCGGCGCTTCCGGGACCGCCGTGGTCGCTGCAAAAGTGGTCAGACTCGCCTTGTAAATCTCGAGCTGCCGCAGCACCTCGCTGAGATGGGCGTCCCAGCCGTCCTTCCCTTGTAGTCGGGATCCCAGCATGGGATGATTCCGTGCCTGGTTAAGATCGATCAATTCGCCGGTGATGGTCATCAGCGGTAGAAAGAAGCCAAATATGGAATGATCATGGCAGATAAAGTCAGGGAAAACTCGGCGCTTGTTTTTCTCCCCAGAGATGGGGCAATGGGGTCCGTCCGGCTTGGGGCTGTTGCTGTGAACGTTGCCGGCCTGCCACGAACCCTCGTCCAGCGGTAGCAGCAGGTCTTCACTCTCGGCATCCAGCAATGCCAGTGGGCGATTGTAACACAGGGCCAGGTGCCGATCCATGATGTATAGCAGCCACCAGGTCCGCCGACGTTCCTCCCGGTGCTCTTCGGTGATAGTCGCATGGGGATCATGACTACGGTCGCAGACGCAGTTCAAGCTGGGTCGCGTGGGATTCGAGTAATCGAAGAATGCGCCCGTGTCGACGCCACTCCAGCCAGGCAGCGAGTAGTCAAATGCTGGACTTGAGCCTTCGGTCTGGCCGTCCGCGTTGGGTATCACTTCGATTTCCTGGTTGAGTTTCAATTCTCTAGCAAGGGTAAATGCAGCATGCCACCTGGACTTCAGTCAGTCTCGACTCAGCCGGGGAAAAGGGGGACAAAACAAACCATCGCATGCTAGCGGCCTTTTGTTCGCTCGAAGAGATTATGGAAGCAACATGGATATAGGTAATCACATCATCCAAGGACCCCGCAGGCCCGACTAGACCGCGATCATCGCCGCTCGATTCAAACGGATGGTGCACAGTGGTTGGGGGACAGTCCGGAGCAACCCCAGTGAATGTCGCATCATTCGCGTTCGAACCCCCTTGCTCCTTAAACGACACGTGAATCAACGGGCGGAGTAAGCGAATAGTTAAGGCGCACAAGAATTGACAAATCTTCTTGCGCTGAGGCGGGGAAATGGAGAGCGCAAACGCCCGATCGTCCAAGGCGGCAACCCAGAGCATGCTTGCCAGCAGAGCCGGGCTACTGGGCCGAGGGTTCTCCCGACTCAGAAATGAGGCCTTGCGAAGGACATAACAATGGATATGGTGGCACACAGGGTGCATATGCGTAGAAAAGGCGCTCGTAAAGTACAACTCCAGAAGGTCAAAAACGAGCCTCCGCGGTAGATTCGTCTCAAGGAACGGCATGAGTGGCTGTAATACGGGATATTTCAAAGTTGTAGACGAAATACTGGGAGCCCGAGCTGGGCCGCCAGGTTTGGAGCCCTGGGCGGTCGGAGCACTGTACCCTGCAAGGTCCGCGCCATTCCAGATGTCCAGCACCCGTGGTAGCGGACCGTCCCCCCAGGCTCCTCCCCCCAAGACTTCATATGAATCTGGAGACACATGAGCTGCGGACAGCCACTCCTCCGTCACATTCCCCGTCGGTCCCGGTCTGGGGCCGGTAGGGACGGATCCGCCTGAGAGAGTCGGTCGTCTATGCTATGCGCGGAAACGGTCATCTCGTTCGTCGCCGGCGACCGATGCTGGAAGGTCGTGGTCGGCGAGGCATGGTTCGGCACTGGTGTTGGCGCCGTATCTGCTGGCACCGGCGCTGGCACTGGAGGCTGCACATTAGGAGGCTTGGACAGCTTCTCCATCGATCCGCCGTTCGTGACTGCGGCCGTCTGTTTTGACCGTGCAATCCGCCCTCGTTTCCGCCTTTCGCGCGTAAATTCGCACCGGATCTCACTGCGAAGACAGCGCGAACAGGGAAATGCCCGGTCGCATCGCACACGGCGCGAATGGCATGAGTCGCAGGCTATACGATTTCTCCTCCATCGACGCTTTGCGGTGTTGGACGAATCTTCAAGCGTTCCTGCGGTGTTTGTGCTAGTAGGCTGTGCATCCCCCGACTGGGCAGGATCCATTTCAGAACGACATTGAGTAGAATAACGTGAGCGGGGAGAGGGTTTGTCTAAGAAAAAGAAAAAAAGACAAGCAGTTAGCGGTGGGTCAAAAATGTCCGCGCCAGGAGATTTGCGGAGGTGATACCGAGGCACAAAAAGGCGTGCGGTGAGAGCTCCAAAATCCCTCTTGTCAACAGAAGAGGTTCATGAGAATAGATCTTGGTGATGAGAACGATGCATATCCGGTCCGAGATTCACGAAGCGAGAGTTTTCGTCGGAGAGAATTGAAGCTGAACAGAAGAGTCAAGGCCGCGTAGGAACTTAGAAAGACGCCGACCCGATCGCGGGGAAGACACCAAAGACAGAGAGCAACTCCGCATCGAATCATCGGCTGACCCTTTTTTTTTTGCCTGGGATTCTTGGCAATGTGGTCCAAAAGTGGAGAAACCGTGTATCGGCAACGGCCAGACCATGGACAGTTGAAGTTCAAGATAGCTGACTATGGAGTCTGGAGTATGGAGAACAAACGGATACTCAGGACGAGTTTGCAGTTCTTTGCTGCCGCCACGTGATTGACAAAGATACCTGGTCTAGAGACTCCTTTCTCATCCAGCTCAACAACATTCGCCCCCCGGCACTGGAAGAGTGTCTCATCTGCCAGGATCAGAGTGGATCCTATGGTACTGAGGCGTATTCGGTACCTAGATAGTTGGCACTAACTATACTCGTCCATGACTCCATTGGATGTAAACTTTCAACCATGCTGCGTGCCTCTATCCAATGGATGGACATCAAGTGAAACTCGGAAACTTCAATTCAGGCGGATCCGATGTTTCTCCGCTCTATTCAGTGAATGTTCCTGAAGGATCCTACCTACTGTGGACAGAATTCGGCCGATCGGTACTGGGGAAAGATGCGACCGGCAATAATAATAGGTAAAGTCCATGATCAGGAATCCCCTTGAACATTACAGGTGGAAAATCTCCTCCGCTGCATCAATCGTCGACTCTACTCATCGGAAACGACAAATAGATAGAAGATCATCCATCTATTTCATGATCATACTAACACGCAAAAGAGCTTATTTTAAGCCACCGTCATCGTCCATTCTCACACGCCCGTTTATATCGGTGCAATGCCTGGCCTCTACTCTTAGAGTGATCCACCGCGGGACGTGGATATCCATTCTTTTCTGCAATGGCCGCCGCTCCTCGTGCGTAGGGGTCATGTATCGCCGCCCCTTTGATATCCCGCAGCTCGGGCATCCACTTTCGTATATACTCTCCATCAGGATCGAACCGTTCGCTCTGACGGAGTGGATTGAAGATTCGAAAGTATGGCTGGGGATCCACCCCTGTACTCGACCCGAATCCCCACCCGCCGTGGTTGGACGCAAAGTCCCCATCAATGAGAGTCTCCATAAAGTATCGCTCGCCGCGACGCCAGTCGATAAGCAGATCCTTCGAGAGAAAAGAGGCAACAATCATACGCGTCCGGTTGTGCATCCATTTGTCATGTTTCACCTGTCGCATGGCGGCGTCCACTATGGGGAACCCGGTTTTCCCTTTGCACCAGGTGGTGAACTTGTCCTCATCGTACTCCCATTCGAGGTTGGTAAATTCGGGTTTGAAGCATTTGTTCATGCTGCTTATGTGAGTGACATTACCAAAAAGAGGTGAACTAAAAGCCTTACCAAATGAATGGCCAATGCACAAGGACATGTCTGTAGAACTCGCGCCAAGCCACCTCACCGATCCAGTGAATCAGACCAGGGTCACCATGCTCCAGGGAACCCTTGTTGGCTCTGCGCGCGTGCTCGATTGCTGTTCTCGCGCTGAGCAAGCCAGATGCGAAGTAAGGGCTGAGGATTGAGGTCGTCTGTCCGCACACCATATTCCGTGCCTCCGCATAGTCCCTCGCCTTCTCTTCCAGGAACGCGTCCAACCGACGCAGCGCCTCATACTCGCCTGCTGGGTATAATTGACTCAGGTGCTGCTTTTCCTCCTCCGACAGCTGCTTGTTCTCCGGTGCCGCTGGAATCTCGCTGTCAAATAATTCCTTAAAGTACTGCCGCGCATCCCCCGGATTCGATCCCGGCTCCTCCGACAGTTCCAGACAGTCACGATTCTCGTTCAGGTAAGCGAGCCATGTGCGGTACCAGGGGCTATACACTGCATACTGTTTACCTTGCTGACTGGTCACCCGTCCAGGGGGAACGACGCATGCGTCGTGGGCGGTCTCGAACTTAATTCCATTCTTCGCGCACAGCCTCACCAACTTCGCCTCGCGTCGCAACTCGTCAACCTCGTATTCCAGGTTTGCGAAGAGATGGTTTGCTCCCCACTGCTGACACAGATCTACAACCCGCTGGGGTAGGTTTTCGCGAATTCCCTGCGTCTCCATGTACAAGGGGATATCCAGCTCGCTCAAATCGCGCTTTAATTGATGTAGAGTACGCAGGATCAGATCAACCCGCGCCGGACTCAATAGATGAGCTGTCAGATCCTGCGGGGACAGAATATACAACCCGATCAGCGGGATATTGTGTTCCTTGGCGGTCTGGTATGCCATCCGCAAGGCGCGATTATCGTAGAGTCGGAGATCGGACTTGAACCAGTGCACCACTGCACAGTTGGCTCGGATGGCCCTGCGCTGGTCGGCCGTCTCCTCGTAGGCCCGCTGGAGTGTCTCGATCGGTCGTTCCAACCTTCCATCGTTGTAGGCGTGGCAACGCTCGTTGCTCATTTCCGGCGGATAGAATTCTCTCAGCACGATGCCAAAGTCCTCGGACTGTTGCGCATTGGGATGCGGACGGGACAGGTCCAGCTTTTCGCGTTTGCTGGGTTGTGTCGTGCCATTGCTGCTTGTGCCTGCGGTCTTGCGTTTCTGAGAGGCCATTCTTCATGCGCGAGTAGAAACAGTAGTTACTTGTGTTTCTTTAATACTTTCGGTCCCTCCCTTGTTGGCGCGATCATTGCATTGCGATCATTGCATCAAGGGGTTGATTCCGACTGGTCACGAATACGATCGATTTGATCTGATCCAATCGAGGCCTCCGATCGCACGGTCCTGTCTAAGGTTAAGATCCATGGTTCGTATGAAATTGTTTCCGTGGGTTTTCTGTAGGGACCAAACCTATGGCCTCCGTGTGCATAGATTTGGGGTGGCATTCGGTCTTCCTGCATGACTTAGTTGGTTGAGGCGCGTCATGACCTCACTGCTATAGTCATTTTCCCACGCCACTTTGCGTCCTGTCAGAGTATCATCAATTTCAATACGGAGAGTACTCTATGGGCGTACTTTTGTATTAGAGATGTGGCATACGTCTGTTCTATGGCCGGGATAATTTTGCTCTGGAGTCAGGCATATATCCATAACAGACATAGCTGCAAATATACATAACCTGTTCGGCTATTCCTCACGGACGACTTTTCGGGTAATGGCTCTCATATCCTGTCCTCCAGTAAGTACATTATTGAAATTCTGTCAAACAAATAAATTGGACTCTCATAGATCAAAATCCACCGGTGGACACGTAGAAAGACATTATTTAGACCATTGACTCCTAATGCCGACACGTCTTGTGCAGATCATTAACTCGGACAAAGGAATCTACGTTTGTCTTGGAGACTCAGATCTGTCGGTCCCAATTGACGTATCAGCTTCATCCAAATAGCCAGTTTACAAGTTCACTGAGTAACTCGCGCATGCCCCTTGCGGAATTAAATTCCTAGGAATAGCAGGGAGAAGTCGGATATGAAGTAGATACTCCGTATACAAGGTTTCTATGACTTCATCACCTCCACCGCCAAGTCCATACTCCGGATGATCTTCGCCCTACATCCCCTGTTTCTTTCAAAGGTCTCGCGTAGTTGCCTTCTTAAGGATCAAAGTTTGTTTGAGTTCAATATTCATTCGCCAAACGGGGAAAAGAACTGAATACAGAATTCCCCGATTTCAGCCAGAGCTTCCTTGGTTGCGCAGATCTATTTCGACTGGCCGCCCTTGCATCCTCCTATCATGCTCCACTGCCCCCCATATAAAGTTGCAAGACACCCATTGAGCTCCGTCTCCTTGTCGAATCTGGTCTCGTCCGTGGAAGTTTTCTCGGGAGCAGACGGGAATTCAAATACCCCACGGGGTGCTTGTCTCATATTACTTCAATTCCCTACCAAGTCGATCTACCGGCGTGGGAAACGGTACAGAATGGCCGAAGCAGTTACCTGTCATATGTCATATAAGGGCCACAGTATCGCCAGTGTCGGCTTGTCGTTCTAAGAATCTATCCAGTTCTCTGAATTGACCATATCTGAATAATAGCAGGCTCCCAACATGGGCGCCTCTTCCCAATGGCATCCCCGCCAACGACATCCACCACAACCGCATCCTCGCAGCACTTCCCTGACGGCTCCATCCTTCAGCATATCCACATCGGCCAGACGCAGAAATACGTGTTCACGGCTTTTGCCGGCGTGGTCTGGTACAACGCGATCGAGCTCATCGTCCTCTGCTTGACCACCTTCAAACGCTACCATGGCTGCTACTTCTGGTCCCTCCTCCTCGCCTCCATCAGCCTCATCCCGCACGTCGTCGGCTTCTTTTTCTTCTTCTTCCTCTCCACAACCGTTACCCCCTATGTCGCCGTCGCCCTGATCGTCCCGAGCTGGTGCACCATGGTCACCGGCCACTCGCTCGTCCTCTGGTCACGCCTGCACCTCGTCCTCCAGAAACCAAAGATCCTCCGCGCAATTCTAGCCATGATCATCGTCAACGCCATTACCATGCAGGTCCCCATCACCGTGTTACTCTTCGGCGCCGTCTCCCCACACGCGAAGCGCTTCACAGCAGGGTACGAGGTAATGGAGCGAATCCAGCTGATCGTCTTCGCGGTCCAGGAGTGCATCATCTCAAGCTTCTACGTGTTCGAGACAATCAAGATGCTCCGCCTGCGGCCACCGCAAGCACGGCACCGACGGATCCTGTTGCAGCTCCTCGTCATCAATATCGTGATTCTGGTGCTGGACGTCGCCGTCGTCGGGACCGAGTATGCGGGCTACTATGCCGTGCAGGTGATGTTCAAGCCCGTAGCGTACAGCATAAAGTTCAAGCTCGAGTATGCCATTCTCGGGCGGTTGATCCAGGTCGCCAAGGGGGAGTCCCTCGAGCGCGAGCAGGGCTCGTCCAGTGTGCAGGGCTTTCACTCGGATCCGTCGGAGCAGACGGCCACGGTGGGGAGCGTGAGTTTGACTCCCCCGCGACCGACTCCAGAGAGTACAGGCACGGGTATGTCGTATATCCGCGATGAGGATACATATGCCTCGATGAGGTTTCACGAGAGGCGGGCGCTTTGATCTATTACCTAGGTAGATTGTGGATTGTATTATAGCTGTACTAGATAATCAAGATTTATGACATAATATATGATTTATTTGCTGTGCAATGTAAAACCCTCACAGTATTCCTATCCCATTTACAAGCCCTCACTTCAAAGCCCGCCATTTCCTCCGTTTTAGCAAGCAGAATAGGCACTACGCCCGTACTCGCATTGAGCAAGCTGGCACGCTATCGGAAGAGAGTATGCAGTGGAGAAGTCTTGTATGTCCGCTCTATTGCGTCCAAAGCCAATACACTGTTCATCTATCCATACCTAATCGGAGCTTTTGTCCACTTGCCTGCCTATAAAGCCGTACACATTCTTTCCGAGTTTTGGCTTTAGCGACAACATGTCACAAACGCTTACTCTTTGCCATCTTCTGTGGTATCAATTGGCTGGGAGGTTCAAATACATGTACTTGTTCAGCCTTTGCATCCGAAAGTTACTCCATCCTATAATCAGAATTAATCCTGGGGTACATTTTACCTTTGCCACCGAGCTCTTTCTGAGAACTGTTCACCTGAGCACTTCTGCACCAACGAAAATTATTAGCATTAGCTCGGCAAGTCACGACGTCGATGAGAGCCTGAGTTCGTTCGGGTAGCAGAGTGGCCATCTCGCAGTTCGATGCGTTTGTCAAGGCTAAAGCATCGACATATCACCAGTGTGAGTCTTCGCCCGGACATGGTCCTTGCAGACATGGGAGGAAGCGTCTCTTGGCTAGCCGTTCACGAAAGATACGGTGGACCTATGTAGTGGCACGGCCATCGGGCTAGCGAGAGGTTCCTGTTGGGGAGATATGTAGCTGCGATTTGGGATATGGAGGAGCCGGAGGCGAGGGGAGAGAAGATGGTGGATGGAATCTGCTACCGTCCGTCTCAACGGGAGTCCCTAACTTTGGACAACTGGTTACTGGTATAAGAGCTATCCTTTTGGATATGTATATGGCCATCCTATATTTAGGGAGTGAATCATGCTTCAGAATCACCGTTCACAGAAATGAGGCTATATAGCTTGAGCGAGAGTAAGTTCAACTACGGGTTCATGTATGAACTAGTGAATCTCCTGAACTTAGGGGGTTAAAGGACGAACGGAGAGTAGGCTTGTATACTCCAGTTATGAACAATCTCTTTCTGGTCCAAGGTCCATTCATTTCTTTGATTTCATTTCATTTCACCAAGCGAACGAGATCAGCCTACATACATGTGTATTGACTGGCATATCCATCTACACAAGCTGACAGTAAGAGTGATCAACGTGTATATAGCGCAATCCTTTACTTGATGCCTTCTTCTCACTTCCCCTTGCAAGCCAACAAATAATCTCGAGAAATTCGGAGCACACCATTTGTTCTGAGGTCCAAGAATCAATCACCGTTCATGTCACAACAGAGCCCGACAGCCATCTCAGAGTGAGTCTAGATGGACGCCGCAGCGGTAGGAAGAGCCACGATGGTCTTGATATAATCTACTTCGGTCTCCTCCAATGCAAGACCGGGATAGTCGCAGTCGGACGATCCGCCGCAGCATCTGCGAAAGTTGGAGAGATGCTCCGAGATGGATCCCGCCTGGCAATCGTTGCCAAAGCGGAAGGTGCCGTGGAGCTGGTCACAGCAGGAATGGGTACGGCCGTCGTCGCGGTTGCCGTTCACGTAGCATTTGCAGGCCAGAGAGGGAGCGGTGAGGAGGGCAGCAATGGCCACGGTAAGGATGGAGGAGAACTGCATCTTGATGATGAAATGAAGAGATGCTGAGGACTTCTGGAAGTTTGATTGTGGCTCTGTGGTTCGAGTTGATGGGAAGAAGAATCGATAGCAGTAGCAGACCTGATGGGGGTTTTTATACTTCACGATGAGTGGGATGTTGAGCTTCAGTCCGCCTGTCAGTCATGAATTGCTTGGACTCCGTGATCTTCATTGTCTGATGCAACAATGCGACATCATAGTCGGTCTCTCCGACGGTGAAATTGTGAAGGATTCCCTGCAGTCAGCTTTGCATGCTGAATTGATTCGAATCCGTCCCTTGTATACTGTTGGATACACAAGTCATCCTTGGTCCTCCCTCATGCAGATGCTTTGGATGAGGGGTTTATCCCTAGCGTATGTATACACATGCAGTCATTCTGCAAGTATAACCCTTCTCGTGGCCAATATGGCGGTTCAATAAGGCGGTTCAATAAGGCGGTTCTTCAGGTCTCCCAGAGTCGCTTCACTCTGGCGTTAATAGGCGAAGACTCGTTGAAAATCATACGACAGACAGCTTGTGAGGTTCACTGTGGGTTGCAACGAAAGCCAGGAAAAGCGTCTTCAACTTCATTCATACCTCTGTCGAGGATGGACATTGTTGTTTCGACATCCCATTCACTATGACTGAAGGATCAGAACCAACAAGAAAGCAATGCATTTATTTATCCAATTGGTTCAGACAGCAAGCCCATATGGGCAGTCTAGAAATGCATTCACAGGGTCTCTGTGCAGGTCAATAATGGACTGTTAATGAAGTCTTCATGTATATTGCTCCTTTGGCCCCGGAGCGCCGGACTTTCTTCCCTGGGTATCCCGGAGCACTCAAGGTACCTTGTAAGGCGCAGATGTACCTATATCAGGCGGTTTCAATGACACATTCTAACAGGCATCACATCTAGACCTCTGTAGATCGTGGTCTGACAGCATTCACTTGGTAACTCGCTCTTGAGGTACCATATCCACAGAGATCTGACAGAGAACATGACTTCGCCGTATTGTCCACAATCTGCAGCTGTTGGCTGTCTGGTTGACACTTTCCTATGCTCTCCTTCGCCTGTAGCCCTGTGTCTTTAGGCCATTAGGCCTCGTATATATGACAGATGTTGCGAAGGAGTTAGCTCTGAAGAAGTCTAGTCCCAGCATTGTGTTATGTTATTGAAAATGGCACACTCAGAGTCGTCTCATGGAACGCCTATACTTGGAAGGCCCAGATCACTGTCCAAACCGAGGCTGAGCGGATCAATGACCTGTTGTGACATACAGCAGGGATCTCGGTTCATTTGGCTAGGCACGGCTTGGTACTCCGGACAGTGGAGCTCTGACTCCAGTCCCTGAGTGCCAAGCGGTAGGATTTACTAGTGCTTCCACGACAGCGATGGTGCACCAATCCCTTGACAAAGGATGTGTTAGTGTCTCACCTTCCTCACTGTGGCTGGAGTGCCTTTAACTGCTAGTTGGACGCCTTAACAAGGTCTTCAAAGCGGAGGTGAGAAGTTTCCTGTAGCATCAATCAGAAGCCGTACAGAGCGACAGTCTCACTCACCCTACACCTCCTCTCATATCCGGTAATGCCATTGAAAATACGCAAGGATTGTTCCGGTCAGAAGTACCAATTGTTGCAGGTGGGTAGAAGTAATGCCTATAAGTAGCGGTACCTTATGGAAGCCTAATGTGGAAAATGAACCATTGGTGGAAGCTATCCGGGGTCTTCCAGCTCCAATTTCAACGACCAACCGGAACGATGAATTGATGATTGACATGGACGCTAGCAGGACGGGCCGCAGTGGCTTGAAAGAAACTGACCATGGCGGCTATAACCGCTCTGGATTTTGAAACAATTTGGGGCCTAGACAGCTGTTGCTGGACCCTGTTGCGTGGAAATAATGGACCGAGAGTATTCCTTGCCAGCATAACTTCGGCCAGGCGTAGTTGGATTATCTCAACATCAGTGTCCTCTTGAGTCGTCACGGCTGCTGCTTATGATACCATGATGCTATGATTATGACCTACGCAACAGCTCTCCAAGATTGTGAGGATGTGGAAATCGCCACTTGAGCACGTTGACCCAATCACCCAGTTAGCAGGTGCCGCGATATCAAGCAGTCTCTTGAGGCAACATTTGTTCACAAGGGAAAGTGAACTGTTGTCTGAGGCCCTTTCTTGGCTAATCTTGCCGGCGATTCACCATTACTGGGGAAGTCCACGGGCTCGCAGCTGCTCGAGGGCAACATTACCAGGGCCAGTAGAGCATACACCTCTATCTGGTGTATCCTTGTGGGCAGTTGCTCTGGCCGTGTCTTTAGCGTCTCTCTATCAGGCAGAATATGGGATAATTGCTTTTTTTGTTAGTCACTTACTCCTTCCTGAAATGACGAGGGCTCCCAAGCTAACTTCGTCTTGAAATTACAGCCAGCATTGAGTCCGCTGTTGGCTGCAGTGCAAACATACATCGAACAAGATGGGACTCAGGCGGGGTTAAGACCTGCGCCAGGCCAAGACAGATTCTGGATCACAGCTTTTATTGCTGTGTTTTGTATAATCACGCTGACCAACTGGGATCTCCAAGCCAGTGCGCTGTCGGGGATTCCAGTGTTGGAACTGCTGGTCGTTTACCTCGCTTTGACGCGGCCGGCCAAGTCTGGCAAGCGCGCCTCATACCGTAGACCCATTGCCACTGGGCATATCATATGCCCGCTTGCATTCCGTGTGGTGGTCACTCTATTGGCTGTACTAGGCGTGGAAATTGCGCTATTCGGCCCCCCGAAGACCTCTATTGTGGGCACCATCTTGCCAGGACTTGCGAAATCATTGATGTGGTATTTCCTCCTTCAGACAGTATGTTCTCTCACGGCTATCCCATTATCAACGCTCACTAGTGTCAGGCTGAGCATTGTTCCTGGTCAGTCACTGCGCCCATAGGGACATTTAGCATTTTGGCCACCAGGAATCCATTCATCTTGACCTCGAGTATTCAGGCGCTGTCTCATCTTATAGCATCAGTATTTGCCCTACGGCAGATTATTTCCTTTCTACCGGATAAGGCCAAATCCAAATCTGCGCTCTGGATATGCATTGCCGTCTATTTAGTCCCATACCTGATCAACAATTACTCCATCCACGTGGCAAAGACCTCAGTGATACAATCCTCCACACATCCGATCGACCTACTCATACAAGATGCCAAGGCCGATTTTCAAGCCTTGCTCGAGAGACAGTCAAACAGTTATGCCGCTGCCTGTGAGGAATACCGCCGCCGCTACGGCATGGAACCACCGCCAGGCTTTGAAAGCTGGTATAATTTCGCCAAAGCACGTCAATCACCGATCATCGATAACTTTGATATTATTCATGAAAGGATCTCCCCATTCTGGAGTATCAGCGGGACCGAGGTTACTGAACACATCAACCGTTTAGAAGAAACGCTGAACAGTGACGTATGGGTTTGTACATTCTCGGCTGAAGAAGCCAGGACGAATTGCAACCATCCTCACCGCAGCGTCGATAGGAATATCCAAGAATTTCTTAACACAGTACTGTCAGATTTGCGTGGTCTTATACCGGATATCAAATTTCTTGTCAATCACCTTGATGAGCCCCGGGTTCTGTTACCGCCGTCCTTCAAGAGGTCGAGATCACTCAACATCACCAACTATTCCAAGAGACGTGTCTGGGATACATTAGTCAAGTCCTGTCCTTCAGGGGACAGCAAGAAAGCCGACAGACTAAAGGTGGACACCTTTGGTCTCCCGTTTGTGATTGACCGTCACTCGACAACAGACTTATGCAACAATCCCGAGTACCGTGAAACTCACGGACTGTTGATCAGCCCTACATCATTTCCGTTGATCGATGGTCTGGTTCCTGTACTGTCCACCGGCTCGCTGTCGACAATGGTTGATATCCTGTATCCCAGCCCTGCCTATCTTGAACCGGAATTTGAATATGTAGAAGCCAAGGACATGAGCTGGGACTCCAAACACAACAATCTCTACTGGGCCGGTTCAACCACCGGTGGCTTTGCGGTGAATGATAACTGGCAAAGCTTCCACCGACAACGATTTGTCAAGCTGGCGCAGAACCTGGGACACGGTTCCCATTCCTACCTTCGGGAAGGCGCAGGCCAGGTCAACCTAGTGAAATCGTCCTTCCTTAACAGCAGGCTGTTCAACGTTGCCTTTACCCGGATCTTCCAATGCGAGATACGCTATTGCCGAGACCAGCGCGCCCTCTTTCGAACCAAGTCATGGGCCGACAGGGACGAAGCCTTGCATTCGCGTCTGGTGTTCGACATCGACGGCAATGGTATAAGCGGCCGGTACTACAAACTGCTTGCGTCGAGATCTGCACCGCTCAAGCAGACGCTTCTGCGAGAATGGCACGACGATCGTCTCATGCCATGGGTTCATTACATTCCCGTCAGCCAGAGCATGGGGGAGTTGCCTGAAATGGTGATGTATTTCACCTCTGAGGCTGGGCAGAAACGAGCCCGGGAGATTGCCGAGCAGGGTCGCGACTGGTTTTCAATAGCCTTTCGTAAGGAGGATATGACTATTTATATGTATCGGGTTTTGCTTGAGCTGGCGAGACTCCAAGATCCAAACAGGTCTGCAAGCGAGAGCTGAACCATGACTTAGTTGTCGAGTACACTTGACCTCTTGCTTTATATATGCAGCTTGGCTTATTCCCCAATTGGATAGATTGTACTTGGATTGAACAATGAGCCCAAAGCCGTAAATGCTTATGGATAAATCTGCAAGTCTTGGGCAAATCACATATGCTAGTTTCCCATTCTGAGCTGGCAATCAGAAAGCATGTGGCATTGAGTGGTAGTGCGTGTCCCAAAAGACCCTTGTAAAGCTCCACCTACATCACAGGGAATACACGCGAATGGGATCTGGAAGGCAGCTAGCGTGCCCCGTAGGAGCATCGTGTCTGTCTAATGACCAATGGCTTTCTCCGTCTTTTCTGAGCTCTAGGCTACTAAGTTACATTGCTCCCCTATATCGTCTGATGCATCAACCCACCTAATACCTGAAACAGGGACCAGATAACCCTAGTCATTCTCATGTGAAATAAGCATAGCCTCAATTTAGACAGGGATTTTGTCTAGTTAGTGGGGACTCATTACCGTTGGTTTTTACTGTTCTTCTATAGGACATGTTTCACCTTGTTATTATCCTGCTTAGACCAGAGCTGGTGGCAGGCTTAACCGGATAGGGCATATGTTGGCCAGCACTTTAGGCTTTGAGAGAGCTGAGACGATTCGTTCTGGCCAATGTGCTACTTGTGAGCCTCAATGCTTGAGCAATGCTTGCTGCTTCCATGTTCGCATAGCCGAGCGTCTCCTGCAGACTGTTACGCAACGGACTATTCCACTGATTTACCATTCGACCTCGCCTGATCGACGGGTCCTTAGTCTGCCGTGTACTTTGACAACCTTGGCTCGGTTGTTATCTACGACCAACTCATGCCGTTGATAGTCTTGTCCGCATCCACTGCAAGACCAGCACGACAGGTCGCAGAGTGGAGGAGAGAGACTGATGGCCTATATGAACCCGGGGAGTTCTGTTTGGTCGATGAAACGCAGGTCCTGGTTGCGAACGGCTGGGCTCATGTGCGATCCCATACCTTATGCCATTGGAATGACACATCGGTCAATTCAATATGCTCACGGCCTTAACAAGATCATAGATTGACCAGAAAGAGTCTCATAAACCGCACATTGACATACACAATCCTCATCAGTCAGTAGCGAGATCAAATGTAAGAATAGCCACTCTCAAACAGCTCCTTCGCATGCCTGGTCCGCTCATCGAGGTCCTCCTTAGGCAATCCAAGCACGTCATTATCCAATGCCCGACTGCTCTCATAGTCACCACCCCCGTTCGGATAGAAGACCCGCGCATACATGGCCTGCGCATAGCCGCGACGATCACCCTTTTGCATCCTCTCAATGCCCCGCTGATACCGCTCAGCGGTGGGCTCATACTCAATCGACCAATCCTCCTCCTTATCCCCAGTAATTCTCCTCCAGCTCTCAAACATATCCCTCTGGCTCACCAGGAAACTGGAGATAAACAGCGGCCTGTTCGCCCAGCCACTCACCGTCGGGCTCTTATCATTCTCGTCCTCCGGCAACTCCTTGAACTTCAAGAACGCGGCAACAGCCCTGCCACACTGCTCCCACGTACTCACATTGATCTTGGCCGTCCCCTCATCATAAAACGTAACCTTTTTCTCCTTGAAGTCAAACCCAAACCACTCCGGCCCAGTCGCCAGACTGAACTCATACCAGAAGCCACAAACCAGCGCCACCCACGCCGAGACACCAGTGGCTTCAATCTCGTCACAAGCCTGCTTCACCGGCTCTCCGGCCAGCATCTCCTTCCGCAGTTTCTCATTGGTGATATCGCACCCGTAGCAGTTCGGCATCACGTACGGCACGCCTGCCTTCGCAGCAGCCTGGATAAGCTTGCTTTGCGTGTCCTTTGGTGCAGTGACGTTCATCGTAATAATGAGGAACTGCTGGTTTTGCAGGGCTGCAACCAGAGTCGACTCGTCATTGTAGTCGACGTTGACGGTGCGGACGCCCGCGGGGAGGGTGTTTTTGCTGTCTGCGCGCGTGAGCGCGGTTATGGTGTGTTGACCTGTTTGCAGCAGTTCCTGGGTGATGTATTTGCCTACCGTGCCGCCGGCCTGATGGCAATGTTAGTGAGGTTGAGTTCTTGGAGGAGGATGAGGCAGACTTACGCCGACGATGGCGACACGCTCGATGCGGTTGGTGAAGCCAGACGGCTGGTCTTTGGCGTATTTCTGGGTCATGTTGTCAAGTTACTGTATCAGATGCGATGGTTCTGAATAGCTTGTTCTGGGGTGTCTTTCTGGGGGTTCATCTTCAAGGCCGGCCATACAGTTTATATGTCTTAGAGCAGAGCCCCCAAAGGCCGTTCGGGAACCGGCCGACTCACGGAGATAATAGAGATGGGACAATGTAAAGCCGACGGGAGGATTCAAACCCCCGATAGCTTCAAGAAGTGTGTCTGAGTTAGTCAGAACAATGGCCGTTGGTGTTCTAGTGCTCGCTCACTGGAAAGACCGCGGAAATAACGGAGTTAGGGCTGGGTATGCAATAAACGGCGCTGACGATTTGCCAGGAGGGCGGAGGATAAGAGCCCGACGTACCGATCATCGTTTTGCACCTGAAGTAAGAGATAGTCATTTATCATCGCTTATGAGGCTATATTGGATTCAATGCTGGTTTGCTCGGGTACAATATCGGCCATGGCAAAGTGATGCCTGAGGCAGAAATCGACTGTTACAGGTACCTTGGTTGCCTCAGGCACTAACGCTGTCCCAGCGACGGCACAAGGATAACCGTAAAAGGTAATCCAAGGCTGGACTGTCAGACAAATAGCATGACTCGGTAGTCACTAACGTCGATAATGGAGATCCACCAAAATCACCGGCGGTCAAGGTGGATTGGCCGTCAGTACCAGTGTACGACCGAGACATGGCGCTGGTGCCTGGGCCTTAGTTTGGGGGCTATTTCCAATCTTGGGACTTAAATTTCAGGGAAATACCATGCCCAAGTACCTGGCAGACAATCGATAACAAGCATGCAATCAATCAAAGTCTTCATCCGCTGGCGTCCGCTCTCGCCATCCGAGGCCAACACCCCAGAAATCACCCGGACACAGCACGCGCATGCCACGAACAATACCTCCGCGCTCTCACTCACCCCACCGCCATCGCACAAACTATCCCGCCCCTGGAAAAGCGAGCCGGCGTTTACCCGCATCTTCACCGCAACTGACAACAACAAAGCCGTCTTCGAGGCTGTGGTCGCACCGACCCTCCCCCGCGTGTTGAACGGGCAATCATGCAACTTCTTCGCCTACGGCCACTCCGGCAGCGGCAAGTCGCACACCATCATCGGGTATGACTTCGAGCATGCAGACGAGTTCGGGCTTTGCCTGTCGGCCGCAAGAGCGCTCTACCAGCATCTCGACGAGCTGAATGCAACCGCTGACCAAAACGGGAAATTCCTCCTCGGCCTACGCATGTACGAGCTGCGCAAAAATACGGCCTTCGACCTCCTAAACGACAGATGCAAATGCCACATCCGCGAAGGCCAAGACGGCAAAACGCACATCCGCGGGGAGACGGAAACGCTCGCCGACGGGAAGGTCCGCGTGCGACCGATCGTCACAAAGGCCTGCGCGACCTTTGACGAGTTCCACGCGCAGCTGCTGGCGGGGATTGGGCGCCGCGCGACGGGGACGTCGACGGTGCATGACCAGAGTTCTCGGACGCATGCTGTTTTCGAGGTGGAGATTGTCACGCGGGAGCTCCTGGATGCGAGGGACGCGGTTGTAGAGCGGCAGTCGGAGCTTGTTCCTGTTGGGAAGCGCGCGACAGATATTTATCTGGAGGAGAATTCCAAGGGGTTTATCCAGATGCCGGATGGCAAGTTTGCGCCCAATCCGGAGTATCAGATTAACCAGGCGGCGATTGACGAAGCCGAGGCGAAGAAGGCGGAATTTGAGTCGTATGTCCAGAAAGCTGAGGAACATGTGGAGGCTGTCAAACGATCGTGTCCTCATGCTTGTCTGGGTGGGAAATTCGTCTTTGTGGACCTCGCTGGCTCAGAGTATTACCACGACAAGGGGACTGTTTCGGCAACTCGAGCGAAGCAGACGCCCCAGGAGCAGCAGGAAGGGAGGCAGATCAACACCGATCTCCTGTCCTTGAAGGAGGTCATTCGCGCGATGGCACAGAAGCCGCAGACTCGCATTCCCTTTCGGTCGTCACCGCTGACGATGGTCCTGCGTGAACATTTCCTGACTGGTGAAGGAGACGAGGGGTTTTCGGCGATGATTCTCACGGCGTCGCCTTCGTCGGAGCAGTACACTGCGACGATTGACACGCTGAAATATGGGAATTTGATTGGCGTAGCCGGGGACAAGGTCAAGGGACGTAAATAGGGCAGTATGACGCGGCCAAATCTAGCACAATTCTATCTGAAATCTTCAATGCATGTCAAGTATCAGCCACCGGCGATTAGAGACCAATCAATAAAATCATAATTCTTTTGTATTCAATACATCAAGGGCTCTTTGCCTGGCAGCCCTGTAGGGTAGATATCAACACAGTGGACTCGCGACTTATTCTTTGTCCTACGAAAGACATTATATAGCAGATAACAGCAGATCTCGCGCGACAATAATGAATTCAACCACAACGCCGTTGTCTATATACTAAGCCAACGCATTCTTACTCTTCCTCCGAATCACATACCCCCATTTATAAAACGCAACCGGCACCGGCACCATCACCGCAGACGCAGCCCCCAGCAAAGTCAACGACCACTTCACCCCCAGATTCTCATACAGCGGCATCGAAGCCAACATCATCCCGCCAGCGGACAGACACCGCACGAAGTTCACACTCGACAGGGCTGAAGCGGACCAGATACCATAGCAGTCTGTCAAATACTGGTAGCACGAGATAAACACGGTGGTGTAGCCGAAGCCGAACGGAAGGGATCCGGCGATTGGGACCCAGGGCGAGATCTGCGGCTTCGTGGTGTACGCCATCCAGAAGAGGGAGAGAGGGATAGTGGGGCGCCGAACATGGCGTAGTAGAGATGAATTTCTGGAGGGGGTTTGGCGGATTCTGGATTGGCGTCGGCTTCATTCTTGGATGATTCGTTGCGTTGTTGGGCCCTGTGGAGGGCTTTTATGTAGATCCTATAGATGACCGGAATCAAGGGTATGGCGCAGCAGTTGCCCACGAACATGGCGATGAAGCAGAGTCCCACCTGTCCCTTTGAGAAGGAGTATGTGTCTGCGAAGATGTACTCGAAGCCGTTCAGCCAGGTAAAGAGAATGACATAGATGATGGACAAGTAGAGCGCGCAGACGACGACGATGGGCTCGTAGACGGTGAGGTAGAAGGGTCGCCACATGCCGAGGAGGATCTGCATGGCCAGCGAGGTTTTGCGTTCTTCCTCACTTGACCCGTTGTGCTTGTCTGTTCCGGCGACACGCTGTATCTCCCTTCCTTTGACCTGCTGGAGAACTGGTCGGAATGTCTCCGGCAAGAATAAGACGACTGTTGCGAGGAAGAACCCTGCGGCGAGGGCAGTCACCCAGTCAACCCATCTCCAGGATAGTTCACTTTGGGCAATGTATCCTCCAACCAGTGGCCCCGTAGCGGAGCCCACGAACGAGATGACAGAGAATACTGGGAAAACATAGACTTGCTGGGTGGTGGTCCATAGGTCGGACAGTGAACCCCAGCACACACCAATGGACTGGAAGCGGAGAACCCGACGAAGAAGCGAAAAATGCTTTGTACAGCAAGGCTGTGGGAGCAGCCTGTGATCACCACGCAGACGATGAAAACAACCAGAGATGTCACATAGACGGCATTGCGGCCAAACGTCTCCGAGACGGGGCCGGTGACAAGGGCTCCAAAGGCAAACCCGAAAAGGAACATAGCTAGACAATCATTAGTTCTGTGTAGGCTAATACACAGTAGGGACCTACCAGTTGCCAATGTCTCTGCCTCTTCGCTGATTCCGAACTCGGATGAGATTTTGGAGGCTGCCTGGGAGTCAATAGCTCCTGCAAAGGAAACCAACGCCGCAATGGACGAAATGATCACGGTGGATATCCATTTGATTGCTGCACTCCAGCGACGAGCGTCAATTTGGCCGATGTCGTCAGAGGAGTAGACCTTTGAGACGACATCGTCATTGGACTCGAGATCTGACGAGTGCCATCCTTCTTCAGCACTCGCGCTAGCATCTGAAGATTTTGTCTAGGGAGTCAGCTCAGCTTTTCTCTTACTGACGTTCGCTAAATTGCACGGTACCTACCGATTCACCTTTCAGCGAACTCCTGACATCGTTTTTGATCCGGCGATACTGAAGATATATTTGCATTAGACGTGTCGAGCTTGAGGACAGAGCGCAAGCATACACAGGGTCAATCACGGAATCAAGAGGTGACACCCATGGAGACAATTATATGACAGACAGGCCCTCAGGTACGTCTCTGATGTGTTTATGTGTCATGATGCTAATACAGGTGTGGCTTGATCATCAACCTGTCCTGGCAAGGAATGTGCTGAAGCCCATGTTGTAATATGTGGGGGAGATCAACATCGGCACTTCACCAGAACTATTAACTAGCCTTACCAGGTCCCCACAGCCCCATGGCCGGACCACGAAGACGTTTATCGGTTCCAAGGCATGGGAAGGTTAGACCTGTAGATCTCCACTTGTTTCTGTATTATACATCATTATGACAAATCTACCAGTAAGGCAGCTGGTAGCTGGAGTTATTCGGTTGGTGTCTGAGGTTGCTTCGGCTAAAGAGAGTTGAGCCCCCATTTCAACCACCTGCTCTCTCTTGATCCTCAACAGAGCTATCTATTGAATATATTCTGCAATATCATTCTTACCATGCTAGAAATTGTCGCCGAGTTCACCTGACGCGTTTGTGTGCCTTCTACCTCCCCTTCTGCTTCATCTTCATGTCAATAGCCACCATCAAGTCAAATAGTTTCAGGTCCATTTTATCAATGGGTCTACCTGTAACGTCTCGTTTCCTACATAACACTATTCTTTCTTACTGGCTTACTGACCACTACATCCCCTAATTGAATGTTGTCGCCTGTGTCTGGAAAGCCCCTCCGACACAGATAAGCCCAATTAGACCTTAGGGAAGGTTGAAAGTATAATCTATGACTGTCTAGAAGATTCTATTCTATAGTTATATACTGGTTAGCAGGCAGGCAATTGCAATATACTAGCTGTTTAATCCACCAATTGTATGCATAGGTATTCAGATACGTAAGTGGCTGATGCACACAATAGTGGACCTTATCTATATGTCTATAGCTATATATCTATATAATTATGTAGTTGTCATGAGTGTCAAGCCAGTGAATAGATGTATGTAGCAGCCAGGCAGGGTTTGACTATAACATCAAATCATAGTAGATCTTTTGCCTCAGGTTGTCGAGGGAGGTACGGGATTAACCACTTGCTCATGAGTGATTCCATGTTCACGTTAACTTTACCAGCCTATACGGGCCATCTCCATTCTCGTAGAAATATACAAAGACCTATGATAATGTAATTTAAGATACAGTGTCAGGAGTTGACACCTTAGGGACAACCCCAACTTTACTAGAAATTACATACTCTTAGCTACGTATGCATCCTCGGCAGAAACCTTAGTACAAACTATTAAGCAATGAGTACAAGTCTACTTCAGCCAGCTTCCTGCTTCTATGCTGAATGCATCATCTTATCTTTCTATGCCGATTCCAACGGTCTCACTCGGCAACCTCAATAATCAACTTTGTACAACTAACCCCCCGGAGTAGTTCGTCCAATCCAGCATTGATACCCCCCAAACCCTTTCCCACAACACTCGGTTCCGGACTCGGCCTGATGGTTCCCTTGGCCAGGCTCTCCCTCAGCCACGTCCCAATATAGTATCGGAACTGCTCCAACCTCTCCCCTTCCACCGCCGACGGCATCACAAATATCGTCTCTACGCCATCCACGACCTCCGCATCCGGAGGAACCACGGGTGCCGATCCGATCTTCGCCATCTTCCCTTGTTGATCTCCTTCGAGGAATGCCTTCAGCACAGCCTGACATGGCGCCAGCTGCCCGGTAGCAAGAAAACAGTGCCGGATCACTAACCCGTCCTCCTTGGCCGCGGAAACGATAACATCCACAACCCGTGAGCCTTTATAGTCGAACACGCGGTCCGCGCCCAGTGAACCCACATAACGCTTATTCGCGGAGCCGGCCGTGGCGTATACGGCCGCGATAGAAGAGGTGGGATCGTCCCGCAGTAGTCGTGCTGTTTGTATGCCCATGGTGCCGACGCTAGAGGAGCCGCCCCAGATTAGGAGAGCTTCTCTTTTTCCCACGTTGTTCTCTTGCTTCCCTCTGTTGGTAACTGTATCGGTACCGGTAGAGCCAGCAGAGACTGGAGCAGAAGAGGCAGTGGCTTCTCCCGCGCGAAGGATCCCCATGACATCCCATGCGTTAAGGGCTACCTCGACAGCGACGGGCAAGGTTGCCGCCTCGTTCCACGAGATGCTGTCGTCCGGAAGCGGCACAGCATGCTGCCAGGGGACAAGGCACCGCTCCTGAAATGCGCCGTAGTCTGGATCGCAGGATCTCCAGAACGAGGCGGCATAGGCGGCGACGTGGCTGATACCAGGTCGGTAGGACTTGGGCACGTTGTCGCCGATTTCGAGGACTAAGCCCGACATGTCGAAGCCAATGACCGTGGGGTACGCGGGTATGAATAGGCCTTGGTCACGCATGTAGACATCTGCCGGGTTGAGGGCTACGGATTTGACGGCGATGAGGAGCTCGTCTGGTCCTGGCTTTGGCGTACGGCGGGTTTGGAGCTCAAAGGGTTGACCTTTGGCTGGGGAGACGGCGGCGAGGTGGGTGGCCATTTGGACTTTGTATAAGTAGAGGTTTTCGAGGTGGAGGATTTTGGTATTTAAGCCAAATTTGATGATTCCGATGCTATAGGCATGAGCCTCTGTCCCTAGGATATTGGGCCATGACCTTCTTCTTATACAATTCAGCTATCATTTCAACTACTTACACTTTGATATAGTGATATAGTCAGGATAGAACTGCAGCCAATCAGAGACGCGTGCAGCCGAGAAATAGCTAGCGTGATGGTGTCTTTCCGAAAGGAGGTTAGCGTATGGGTTTGCCTGTGACGATGTAAAATGCTAAGGTAGTGTCCTTAAACCTCTTGGGTCACCATGGCCACTCCACCTCATCCCTCACCGGCAGGCCGCGCAAAGTATGGCCACAATTCGTCCAAGAAAAGCCCAGGAGCGTAAGACTCTGCGGAGGTCGAGATTCGGCTGCCGAAATTGCAAGCTCAGAAAACTCAAGGTGCGTGGCTCTCGGCTTCCGTAGACTGGTGCTTGGCTGAACGAAGATAGTGCGACGAAAGCAAACCACAGTGCAAGAGATGTAGTTCGTTCGGGGTATTATGCAACTTTATGTCTAATGTTCCCGACCTACAGCCCATCGCCGCTGACACAGGGAAGCCATTGATGGCTGAGGTTCCAGGAAAAGCAGACCTTCAACCCCCTGTCACCAGTGCTGTCTGGACGTCTGACGGATCCATATTCTATCAATTGAATGCAAGGTGTCAAGATTTCATCACACGGTATCTTGGACGGAGTCTCATTACCCAAGATGACCCTATTATGACACATGTTAATCGCAGGCTCCTGAGACTAGCTTTCGCTGTAAGTATATTGCATGGATTCTGTCAAAACGTGAGGTCTGAGCTCGGCTAACATAGCTGACAGTACCCTTTTTTAATGCACGCCTCTCTAGCTGTGGCACTTACATATGACCGCCATCTGAATAGCTCAGTAGCCTGTCGTCGCAGTCTAGAAGAGTGCTACCACTGGTCCCAAAGCACAGCGCTTCTCAACAGGCGGTTAATGGAACCGATTGAAGCAAAAGATAGGGATCCAATCTGGGCCACTGCGGCTGCTCTGGCTATCTTGACCTTCTCGTCCCCCGATGCACGAACGCCGGAAGAATCGTGGCCTTTGAAGTCTTCTGGTGACTCCGATTTGGACTGGTTACGTATGAGCAAGGGAAAAATGGCCCTGTGGCACATAGTGAACCCGCTACGACCGGACAGTCTTTTCCACGTCATGGCGGCGACCTTTGCTATCATGCATTCACCCTTGCCAGAGAGGGGCATAGATGGTATACCAAGCGCCTTGGCTTCCCTGTGTCTCCTCAACGACTCATCTACGGCGAAGAACAACCCGTATTTCCACGCCGCCCACGCAGTATCCCAGATCCTGGACCTCCCGCATAGTGAGGTCACAACGGGTCAAACTCAACCCTTCACGCGCAGTATCCATGGCCCTTTCGAAGACTTGCTACTGAAAAGGGACCCCGTAGCGCTTCTGTTGCTGTATCTATGGTACCGCAAAGCGAGTCGCAGTATATGGTGGATTGAACTTAGAGCTAGGGTAGAATGTCCTTCTATTTGCTCGTATCTACGGCTATATCACAAAGAGAATGTTGCGGTACACGCATTCCTTCCAGGAGGTGCTCTCGCCGATAGATGGACTTAAGGCTTCCAAAGCCTCTCAAAATTTGTTAATATGAAGAACTGCAGCGGTGGCTTTTGAGATTCTCACTGGTTTTCCTGGTTGAGCGGCGGGTAGCAGTCGTACATCTTGGGAGTAGCAGGTTGGGGCAGATAAGGCTTGAATGCGTGAATGATCTGTGGACCATTCATTCACTTACATCCATAGATAATACATCATTATGATAAGTGAATGGCAGTCATTCACCACCCACCTATACCCTCAGCCGCCAGTCAATGTCTGAGGTTTCTTCAGCTGAGAAGAGAGTTGACCTGGGTCCAAGGAAGTCATGGAAGTAGGTCATCCAGCGGTTTCCCTCCTTGACTTCCTTTCAAGCTGATGCTTATGTGTTGCCAGCTCTTGCGGTAGACTCCGGCTGGAGTGAGTCAACGGTTGAACTTCATGATGACATGAACCTGTTGCTAATGGGCGGCACTTTTACTGCTGTATCTATGGTACTGGAAAGCAAGTCGCAGTATAAGTTGCAGATGCTTTCAAAATGGCAGACTCATCCAACCCAAACCATGGGTCTGAGGCCCGGTACCTGTTGTCTGTTGGGTATCCGACGTGCCTAAATCCTACTCGTACAATGTGCTATGTTGGACTTGGATCCGTGGACCATCCACTTACCTCTATAGATACATCATTATGACAAGCCGATGGCAGTTATTCACTTCACCACCTATACTCTCAGAGGTCGGTGTCTTGAGGTCTCTCCAACTGGAGAGCTTGGCCTTCCCATTTCAGCACCTGCTCTTTCCTAAACATCAATACAGCCGTTCTACACTATTATTTCTACTATGCTACAAGTGGTTGTCTAGACCTCTCCCCTCACCATGTCGGATGTTCCATTTTCTACACCTGCCTCTGAGTCCAGTTCATGCATGACTGTCACTTCGGCAAACCAGTTTGACAAGCAAGCTGATTTTAAAGATCACGTCGTCTCCTCACTGCATCAAAATAGGGAGTATCATGAATTTATATTCACTGACGTGCCTCCCTCCTGGGCGGACGCTGTGTATCAGCTTATTGATGAGATAATCCCATCTCGGTAAGTAAACACCTTCTGCGTCTAATCTTTGGAGTCCTACTCATCCAAAGAACATCCAGAAAAAGCTACAACTCTCAGAGCCGCGAGTTGCGAATCAGAGTCAAGCCTACCGAGATACTCGACTGTATCCAGTCATGGTTGTTTAAACAACCGCTTGTCTGGCTTGTGAATGGCGATATCACACTACAAGAACAGGAGCTGTTTGATCCAGGAGTCGGCACTAGTAAGTTGTCTTATGATCTGTTGGATATCAACTGCACCATCAGTTCTACTAGCTAGAAAATGGTTGTCTTGACACCTTTTAGCTCAGTATGATCTGCTTATCTACAGAATTCTGAGCTAACCAGTATAGCCCTTTTCTTTAAATCCGGCCCATATAGCGGCTCCTGGAAGGAACCTGACTTCTTTTTCCGACCTAACAATCATATTCTGCCGACCATTGCGGTAGAATCTGGCTGGAGCGAGTCCAAAGAACTACTTCGTAATGGCATGGACCTGTCGCTAGTCGGTGGCAACGGCTCCACTAATGTTGTTATTATCGTCGAATGGACAAAGTTACAAGAACGCGTCTCGGGCACTGTTGAGCTCTTCGTCAGAGATACGAATGGGATGCCGACACTACAGCAGAGCGAGGTACGTTCAAGATACATGATTATATTTCACATGCTTATTCTGACCTTTGTGCAGACTATATTCCCACGTCCTATAAGTCCCAACAACCTCACGATCAGAAGACGGGACCTTTTCGGACCAGCGCTGGTGCCAGGCCATAATGGCAATGACATCCTATACTTGGATCTCGAGCGATTACGTAATTATGCCACCAGACGCCTCAGTTTTATGAATCTCGTTCCCTCTTAGATCCGTTGCGCTGGAGACTCCTAGCCGATGCTAGCCTCAGAGCCTGACATGATTGCCGGTGCGAAAAGGCCCACTGGCTGAATGCCTTGATACCGACGAACTCTATTCGGAAGTCCTGTACGATAACATGTATACCGGCAACGGCGAAGGGCTTGGAATGGTCAGGGAACATGCAAGAATACGTGCTCTAGAGACCAAGCTCGAACACCTAGTCCTCGTCATCCAGGACCTTATCAACCTGAGGAGATCATCGAGCCTCGAATGCACGATCATAGGCGTGCGATCTGTGCCCAAGTTTGGGAGCAACCACACGTTGTTCAAGGAGAGATACATGGCGCAAAAGAGGCAGAGTTAACGCTTCCTCTGGGAAGGCAGATGTTGATTGTTGTCCCCCCTACATTGGTCGGGCAGTGGATTGGCGAGATTAGTGCGATGGCAGACATGTTCAAGCTCATTCACTGTGTATTGTTGATGGCGTGGTGCGGTCCAGGAGGACATAGTGTTTCTCTCCATACTTGAGGTTAAGCTGATGGACAGATATGCGAAGGTGGTTCGCGTCCAGATGCAGGAAACAGCTGAGGCCATTGGATGGCTAAAGCAGCAGTCAGAGGAATGAAGAATGTATATACCTATCGCTATTAACATAATTTCCATGAATACAGAACTAAGAGGCCAACCAGCTTGTAACATATCAGGACCTTCACGAAGAGAGTGGATCCATGTTCTCAGTATCGATCAGGAAGCGAGACACGTCTTGATCGCCAAGCTGCTCAGCCAGCCAGATCGGATTCTGTTGTACATCACAAGTATGACTATTCCAGTCATTGCCGCTCTGTGAGAGCAGTATTCCCATCGATCCATACTGGTCCCCTAAGCTGAGGAGTGCATTATAATCCGCACTAGCGGTGTGTTTGATGTATACCTTTCCAGGAATCGTGGGACCAAAACACAAATCATGTGATATGTGCCTTTGAGTTAGTCTCAGGGCTTACTTTAGTAGTAACACTGCATTAGTCTCAGGGCTTACTTTAGTAGTAACACTGCATGTAGCAGTCGGAGTAAACGTTAGGGAGGTACTCCATAGTGTTGAGAGAACTAAGATGGCCCCCCTACAGGATGGTGAGAAGGTAGCCATAGTAGCTGTAGTAACTACGGGCGATATTACCACGGGCATGGGCAGGATGGCTGATACAAACATGCCCAGGGAAATCATTTACCGAGGGGAATCTGATAGAACTGTCTTATCGGTAGACAGAAGAAGTAGAAGTACCGTCGATTACAAGGTGGAATATGCCGACTAACCCCAGCTTTATGCGGGAGAACTTCGGCAACCCCGCGTTTTAACCCCACACAAGACAGAGTACAGAGTTATCAACCTGCCCTCCGGATGATGTAGATCATACATCTATGGCCAATAGATCTCAATCGATCAATACATACCCCTCTCTGGGCAAATATGCACTAGACATGTTCATAGCACAGCGCCTCCTTGGATCGACTCTGGACTTCTCCACAAATGCCGGTCCCCACCTCCATCAAGCTTGTTTCTGGGGAATGGAAGCAGGAGTCCGGAATGTTGATCCGCCGAGAGCATTCTTCCTGGAGACTAAGAAACGCTCCTTGCTCTCGGTGAGGACTTGTCCGAATCTTGTAATATGTCATACTCGGCTCAGGGGATCGGCATCTAGTGTATAGAAGGGAGAGTCGGACGAAGAATATAAATTCGCTTGCCTCTTTGCAGCGTTGAGTGGGACCCTTAGGCCTGTTTCTTGTAAGTAACCAGTCCTAGAGATGAGGCTCCTTTCTTTTTTCGTTGTTGCAGCAGCAGTCTGCACTGCCGTCCCATATGAAGAGTATATCCTAGCACCAGCAACTCGAGATCTGGTTCCGGAAAGGGTGTATCATGTTAACGGCTCCATTTCTAACCCCTCTGCTCTAACCAATGCGAAAGGTGGGAAAGCAACTTTTCACGGTGTCTCATCCGTCACTTATGACTTTGGTCGCAACATCGCCGGCATTGTCTCCCTGGACGTCAGCCGGGTCTCCTCGCAGGACGCCTTCATCGGAGTCACCTTCTCTGAATCTAGCCTCTGGATCAACAATGAAGCGTGCGACGCAACTGCCGATGCAGGTCTTGACTCGCCTCTGTGGTTCCCTGTCGGACAGGGCTCGGGACGATACACCGCAGAGACGAAGCACAACCGCGGAGCCTTCAGATATCTGACTCTGGTCACCAACACATCAGCGACTATCGTTGTTGAAAGCGTACGAGTCAACTTCACGGCCGCTCCGTCTCAGAATCTCCGCGCGTATACGGGCTACTTCCACTGCAACGATGAATTGCTCAATCGCATCTGGTACGCAGGCGCATACACAAACCAGTTGTGCACCATTGACCCCAGCATGGGGAATGCGTTGCCCTTGCTAGGCACCATTACCTCCAGTGGCAATATCAGCCTCCCCGAGACTGTCCCCTGGTGGAGCAACGATACCATCTCCAACGGGACCAGCGTGCTCACGGACGGAGCGAAGCGGGACCGCCTTGTCTGGCCCGGCGATATGTCTATTGCGCTGGAGAGCATCGCAGTCAGCACGTATGACTTGTACAGTGTGCGAATGGCGTTGGATTCACTCTTCGCAATACAACAAGCCGACGGCCGTCTTCCGTACGCCGGCAAACCCTTCTATGACATCGTCAGCTATACCTACCATCTCCACAGCTTGATCGGCGTGTCGTACTATTACCGCTACTCAGGAGACCTGAACTGGCTGGCCGCACACTGGAACCAGTACAAACGCGCCTTGCAATGGTCGTTATCCAGCATCGACGACACCGGTCTAGCCAACGTAACCGCAAGCGCAGACTGGCTGCGTTTCGGCATGGGAGGTCACGTACGTTTCTCATTCCACCCATATATATCCAGAGTAAAATCCTCCACTAACAAAAAAGCAGAACATCGAAGCAAACTCCATCCTCTACTTCGTCCTCCAGGAATCTCTCCTCCTCGCAAAAACCCTCAACGACACCACCACCTCCTCCTCATCAACCTGGTCCCGTATCGCAACCACCCTCAAATCCTCCGCCAACGCCAGACTCTGGGACCCAGCCGTCGGCCTCTACCGCGACAACGAGACCACCACCCTCCACCCCCAAGACGGCAACGCCTGGGCCCTAAAAGCCAACCTCACCTTGTCCGCAAATCAATCATCCATAATCTCCGCCGCCCTCTCCGCCCGCTGGGGGCCCTACGGCGCACCAGCGCCCGAGGCAGGAGCAACCATCTCCCCCTTTATCACCGGCTTCGAGCTACAGGCTCACTTCCTCGCTGACCAGCCGCAGCGCGCTCTAGATTTGATGCGCCGGCAGTGGGGATTCATGCTTGATGATCCGCGGATGACGCAGTCGACGTTTATCGAGGGGTACAGTACGGACGGGTCCTTGCATTACGCGCCGTATCGCAATGATGCGCGGATCTCGCATGCGCATGGGTGGGCGACGGGGCCGACGGCTGCGTTGATGTTCTATGCGGCTGGACTGCAGCTTGTTGGGGCGGGTGGGGAAAGGTGGGTTTTTGCGCCAATGCCGGGAGATTTGAGGCGTGCGGAGGCGGGGTTTGAGACGTCTTTGGGGTATTCTCGACGGAGTTTACGAGGGGGAAGAAGGGATATACGAAGTTGGTGTTTACGACTCCGGAGGGCACGATGGGCGATGTGAAGCTGGATGCGGAGGGTGTGCTGGTCTCCAGCAGTGGAACGAGGGTAAGGCTTGTCGAGGGGGTTGCTACGGGTTTGCATGGTGGTACTTGGAGGTTGAAGAGTCTATAAGTGTGGTAGTCTTCTCATGTGCCTCTAGTCAATTGATGTTGAACAGGAATGAGGTAGCTCACTTGATTGTACGTGATCTAATGTCAACAAGAAGAAAATGCATTCAACTTCCAGCTCAGTCTTGACAGCTTCTAATTTAATCATGGTCATCGTAAGTAAATACTGAAATTGTCACCTTGCAGCAAACTTTGACAGAATATTGGATCCTCGCCAAAACGAAGAAGCGGCGTTTTGTATGACTTCATATGTCGGCCCTCCATTCCGACAGTGCTTCTCCAATCCTCGCATATTGCCACTGATATCGCCATCCCGAGCTATATCGTATGTCCAAGTCTCCCTGTCCATTTCACACATTATATCAAAACAAGTGGGATCTTGCACCCATAGGCTCTCTACGATCCGCATCTGAAGGCAACAAAATGACGACCGCAAGTCCCAAGTAAAACATCCCTCTTACTCCTCAAAACTTCTACTAACAGCGCAGACCAATGACAAGCACGCTCTACAAACCCCATCCCACCGACAAAATGAAAGCCGCACAGTGGATGGGCACACGCTCAATCCAGCTCGGCACCGTCGCCAAACCAACCATCACGGACTCCTCGGACGCCATCATTCACATCACCCACTGCACCATCGGCGGCGCAGACCTGCACCTCTACGACGGCGAACTCAGCGAGTTGCTCTCCAAAGGCGACATCCTCGGCCACGAGGCGATCGGTACCGTCGAGGACGTCGGCGGGGAAGTCCGCAGCATCTCCCCGGGCGACAGAGTCATGATCCTCCCCGTGATCGCCTGCGGACACTGCGAGTTCTGCAAGCGGCAGGAGTTCTCGCTGTGCGACACGACGAATCCCTCGCGGGAGATGGAGAGCGCGTACGGACACCGGGTGGCAGGGATGCTGGGATTTACGCGGTTGTACGGCGGGTATCCCGGTGCGCAGGCCGAGTACGTGCGGGTCCCGAACGCGGATTTCTGCTGTGTGTGGGTGCCGGCGGACATGGACGCGAAAAAGCTGCTCGGTCTGGCGCATGTCACGACCGCTGCGTGGCATGGATGCGAGCTGGCGGATGTCCGGCCGGGGATATAGTGGGTGCTTGGGGGTGTGGACCGGTAGGGCTATCGGTGCAGCGGCTGGCGGTCCTGCGCGGGGCAAAGAAGGTGTATGCCGTTGATAAGGACGCCAGTCGCTTGCAGATTGCTGAAGGGTTCGGAATGATTCCTGTGGATGTCAGCGTGCATTCCGAGGTGGGGATTATATCCTGTCGATGGAGCCGAGGGGGTTGGACTGCGCGGTCGAGGCGAGTGGGTTCCGGAGTACGCAGAAACCGCAGCATGCAGCCATGCGGGCGATTGGGCTGGAGCACGATAGCAGTGATACTGTGTCGGCGATGATCAAGGCCACGAGAAAGGGAGGACATCTTGCACTGCTTGGGGATTTCTTCTATAAGACGAATGATTTTCCTATAGGGCCGTTGATGGAAAAGGGATTGACGATCCGGGGCGGGCAGGTCAATTCCCAAAAGGTATCCACGTCTCAGATGTGCGTGTGAATCGAATAACGCTAATAGTATAGTATCATCCACTTCTCTTGGACATGGTGACGCAAGGAAAGTATGATCCTTCGTGGGTGTTTACATATGAAGGTATGTCTTCACTATCTATCTGGCTGTGCTGACGAGATAGATGAATTCGAGAACATCGCCGAAGACTATCGCCGGTTCTCCCGGCATGAGATTCCTGGAGGGTTGAAGGTGTGTTTGGTGACAGAGTATGGTCGAGGAGCTGTGATCTGAAGCTATCCATAAAGCTTGACTGATATGATTGGCGGGGCACTGTGGAGATAACTAAGGTTTCCCTAAACAATTGACAAGAATTGGTAAGCTAGTTAACTTAGTTAACTATGTTAAGAGATGACCGATGACTCATGATCTGACCTCAGCTGCATTGTAGTTAAGTTAACTATTTGTACGGAGCAGTTAGTAGTTATCCATAAGTTGTTGTTCCCCCCTCCACTGCTTCCATCTCACCCGGTAGAATATATTACCCCTCCAACATCATCACATCATCTCAATTTACCACACATCAACTACTCAATTCACACTACACAATGTCATTCCCTCCTCCTCCAGTGGACACCATCGACTGGTCCAACGTCGGCTTCAAAGTCCGCGACGGTAAGCTCAACTCCCCTCCCTCCCCCTCAGCTCCAATCCCATCTAACAGCAAAAGTAAACGGCCATGTGGAATGCCACTTCTCCCACAGCACCGGGGGCCAATGGTCGTCCCCCAAATTCGTCTCCTCCCCCTTCCTCCCCCTCCACGGCATGGCCCCGGGCCTCAACTACGGCCAACAAGCCTACGAAGGCCTCAAAGCCTTCCGCCACCCAACGGGTCAAATCTCCATCTTCCGCCCCGACCGCAACGCCGCCCGCCTCCGTCGCTCCGCAGAGTTCGTCTCCATGCCCCCCGTCCCGGAAGATTTGTTCCTGCAATGCGTCAAGCTAGCCGTCGCCGCCAACGCCGAGTTCGTCCCGCCCCATGAAACCGGCGCGGCGATGTACATCCGCCCCTTACTCTTCGGGTCCTCCGCGCAGCTGGGCCTCTCCCCGCCGGATGCATATACCTTTGTTGTGTTTGTGATGCCAACGGGCGTGTACCACGGCGTGCATGCCGTCGATGCCTTGGTTCTCGAGGACTTTGACCGCGCCGCGCCGGAGGGGACCGGGTCCGCGAAGGTGGGGGCAACTATGCGCCTGTGCTGCGGCATAGTGCGCGCGCGGCGGCGGAGGGGTTCGGGATCACGCTGCATCTGGATAGCCGGACGCGGTCGGAGATTGATGAGTTCTCGACGTCGGCGTTTATCGGGGTACGGAGGGATGGCGACAAGGTCTCGCTTGTGCAGCCGGATAGCAAGAATGTGATTGATTCGGTGACGGCGCGGTCGGTGTGCGAGATCGGGGAGCGGGTGTTTGGGTTTGCGGTTGAGAAGAGACGGATTGGCTATGAGGAGATCAAGGAGTTTAAAGAGGTGATTGCTGCGGGCACCGCGGCGGCGCTGGTGCCGATCCGGAGTATCACTATGCGGTCGCGCGAGGACAAGTTTACGTTTGACTGTGGCGAGGATGGGCAGAGTGGCGGCGAGGTCTGTGTCAAACTGTTGCAGACTCTCAAGGGCATCCAGGCCGGTAAGATTGAGGATAAGTTTGGGTGGAATTGTATCATCGACAAGGCTCCGCCGGCGGCATGGCTCGAGGGAGCAACGGGGCATGAGCAGGATGCCGAGGGGATTAATGTTCCATAGTAACGTGGCCTATGGCTGGCCAGACCAGACCCTAAAACTCATGATATACAATACAAGAAGAGTGTCATACAGAGTGTCATAAAGTAGAGCATCAAAAGTAGATACAATGAAATAGAGAGACTAAGACAAATTAATTCCTCAAGCTGACCTTAGTCCCGTTCCTCGAACACAAGGTCAGCGTCAAATTCTCCTCCCACGGCCCCGGGTCCCGACTCTCCAGCACCGCAAACTGCTGCGCCAGCCGGACAGTCACGTATCCTGCCTCCGTAAGCGCATACTGCTGTCCCACACAGATACGCGGGCCCCCGTTGAAGGGGAGATACTCCCATCCGGGGCGAAGATCGGCCCAGCGCTCCGGGCGGAACTCATTTGCGTCAGGGCCGTAAATGTCCTCGCGGCGATGCATCGACCACACGCTGTACGTGACGATTGCGTCCTTGGGGACGAAAACGGGGGATTGGCCGTCCGGCCCGCCGCCGACGGGGAGGACGGTGTCGGCGATGGCGAAACGGGCGTTTCCAGGGACGACGGGGTGCAGCCGGAGGGCTGTCAGTTAGCGTTAGCAAATCTACAGATAAAAAAAACCCGGCAAGTTGGGGCATATACGTACATTCGTTCAAGCAATACTTGACATACGTCAGATTCCGCAGCTGCTCGTAGGTGGGTGGCCGGCCGTTCAACGAGGCCACCTCGTCGCGCAGCTTGGCCCAGATGCGCGGGTGCTTGGCCAGCATGAAGAAGAGGTTACTCAGCAGCGAGGCGGTGGTATCGCGACCAGCAAGAAGAACATTCATGAGCTCGTCGCGGATCCGGCGGCGGTCGCCCGTCTGCTGCGCCAGGCCATGCAGGAACACGTACCGCTGTTTCTTCTCGCCGTCGCCATCCTCAAGGGCCTTGTCGTCGAGGTTCTGGGCCCGCACCTCGAGCGCCTTGTCGACGAACTGCTCCACCAGCCCGTGGCAGACGCGATTGCACCGCTCCACCTGGCGGTCGCGGTAGAAGGCAGCCAGTGGGCCCAGCCGGATGCGCGTGGCGATCGCATGCTGCGCGTAGTTGAACGCGCTGGCGAAGTCGTTCTCGACGTGTGCGTCGCGGCCGCCGGAGCGGCGCTTCTTCAGGGACTGCACGCTCTGCCCGAAGAGGAACTCGGTCGCCGAGTCGATGGTGTAGCTGAAGAAGAGGTCCTGGAGGTCGACGGTGCTGCCGTCCTTGGGGATCAACTCCAGCAGATCCGCCATCTGCGCCTCGAAGATGCCGAGGTCGGCGACCTGTTCGCGGACGAAGTTGGGGCGGATCATGGCGCGCGATTGCGCCCAGTGCTCGCCGTCGGTGGTGAAGATGCCGTGGCCGAGGAGGGAGCCGAATGTCTTGTAACGTTGGCCCAGGGCGTAGTCCTTGAAGCGTAGTGACAGGACGGTCTTGATGTTTTGGGGGTCGCGGGTGAGGATGATTGTTTGGAGGAGGCGGCGGGTCTTCATGGTGTGGCCGACTTCATTGAAACGGGCCTGCCCGCGCTCGAGGAACTTGTGTTCCTTGACATTCTGAATCGTGGCATAGGTGGTGTCCAGCCCGAAGACGGGATCCTTGGAGGGGATCCGCGGGGGAGCCTGGCAGTTGTGCTCACGGGCGAAGCGATACTGTGCCCATTTGCGGCGGAGGACACTAAGCGCGTAAACAAAGACAGCTATCGCCCCTGCGATGAGGGAGATGGAGTATTGGGAAGCCATTTTGCGATGGTCAGCATTCTTTTTGGACAAGGGGGTAAGATGATAATCATAAATAAAAACGAGGCCCAACCCCTGACTCACCTTACTCCAGCCGGGCCAACAATCCCTCCGATTACAAGGCAGACGCTGATGCGGTCAGACTGGTGGCTGCACTGCCAGAACTCAAGTTGTGTCTGCATCGGCCCAAGATGAGGCCGAGACGCCCGTTATTCGTCTGCTCGTATGCAGCCACGATCCATCGTACGTAGTCCTGCATGTCTATCGCCTCTGGACTTCAGCCAAGCATCGATCCTTTTTCCGAAGTATCCGGTCATATCGTTGTTTTTTCAGCTATCAATAGTATCTAGACTTTAGACTCTCGACGTCCTCTGACTCCAAGACTGATGAGGGGGATTGCATATCCTGCACATTACTTGTGTTCTTAAAATGGGCACTGCCGAGGTCTGTCCGGGCCGTTGGGTAGCCGCAGATGTGTACATTTTTAACGCATTGAGAGTCCTTGGATGGAGGCCTTGTTGATCTGAGAGGGGGTGGGTTGGTGCGTGCTTACCAGATGACTCTGATCGTCATCACTCTAGAAGTAGCTTATCATCCAGCTATTGGACGCCCTGTTCTTGATCAGGCTTACGGAGCGGTTGGCACTGCAGTGATGTGGACTGTCAAGTCACAGGTCAATTGTACAGAATTATCACCATTATGGTGAGGAGGAGCACCAAGTAAGATAGCAATCTAAGAACAGCTCCAGCAGTCCCAGTCCGATAAACCAACCTCGCCAGCAGACAACCCACGAAATGATTACAAACTATGCTTGAACGCACGACATGCTAAAGAAAGACAAAAAAAAAAAGCAGCTAGACCATCTGCAAGGCCCGGATTACTTCTTTCGCGCAGCGCGCAGTTTGCCCACCGTCCCACTAGACATGATATCCCCATGATCCGCACTGCTATGGCTCTCCTTATCGCTGTCGCTGTCTTTGTCGCTCTCACTTTCACTCGAACTGGAGCTGGAGCTGGAGCTGGAGCTTGACTCGCTCTCATCGGAATCGTCATCGGACGGAGGGGAGAAGATATTCCGCGGCCGTTTTGGCGCGGCGCTGATCTTCTTCTTCGCTTGCTGTGCCTTCTCCGCTGACTCTTTCTTCTTGTCAACGAGCAGCGTCTTGAGTGTGGCGCGGCTGCGACTCCCGTTGATCGGTTGGCCCCAGGATTGTGATGCCGCCTGCGAGGGCGCAGGGGACCGCGCGTTACCTTGCGATGAAGGAGTTGCGCTGCTGCGGCGGAGGAGGTCAGCCTTGCTCTTGGCGGGTTTGTCGGTGCCGTTCTGGGTTTCGGCCGCCTCGGCGTCGGTCTCGTCGTCATCGTCGTCTTCGGATTCAGAATGCTCCGAGGATTCTTCGGAAGATGAGGAGGTGGAGGACACGTCTACTGGCTCGGAAGCGGGGGCTTTCTTCGTGCCATTTGCCTTGGCCTTGGGGAGGTCACCGCGCTGGATCTTCGTCATCGGAGGTAGCTTGGCGTCCTCAGCGGAGCTCTCTGGGGGTTCATTTGGAGTGCCCTTCGGTTCCTCTTCAGTCGTCCGGGGCTTGGCCGCTGTAGGAGTAGCAGTAGAATTTGCTCCCTTCTTGGCCTCTGCTGCCTTCTTAGTTGATCCTTTGTGTTCAGCCGCTGTAGGAGTAGTAGATGGTTCTGTCCCCTTCTTTGCTTCGGCTGCCCTTTTCGCGGAGCCATTCCGTTCAGCTGCTGGCGTCGACTTCTTCGCACCCTTCGCCTTTGATGTAGTATCCGCCTTGGGTGTGTTTGCATCTCCGTTAGTTTTGGACGAGTCCACTTTCGGTTGCTTATCATCCTGCGAAGAAGCACCCATATGTGCCTCCATTTTGGCGATTTCTTCCCGCTTCGCCCGTAGATCAGCCCGAGCTCGCTCAAGCCTGTCTTTCTCGCTGGAGCGGTTCCGTTTCTCGAGTTTCTGGACCCGGTCCAATTTGGCCAATAGCTCTTCCAGAATGCGCACGTACGCCGGATCCCTGCTCTGCTCCTTGGCCGCTCTAATCCTCTCCTCGACTTCTTCCTTGTCCTTGTGATGCTTCTCGAATTTCTGATTCGCTTCTCGCATCAACTGGTCCACTCGTTCCTGTGGAACACCGGTAGGGAACACCATCTTGCTCGGTGTCGAAGACTTCTTTCCGGCATCAGACCCTGGTGTCCCTTTGCCCTTGGGGTCGGTCTGCGAAGTCGATTTGGGAATCGGTGTCGAGGCCGTAATGACCACGTCCTCCCCTTCGGCAAAAGACACAGACCGGCGTTGCGCTGACTTGTCGGCAGGCGAATCCTTTCGTAAAGCCGAATGTAGTTGCTTGACTCGATCCACAGCAGGGGTTTGCTTGGATGGCGTGGCATCGTTTTCCACCAACGATGCACGGCGGATTGTAGACGCTTTGCTGGAAAAGAGGGGATTTCCTGATATCGACGCGGTCGTCGCCTCCTGGGACAACGAGATCATCACCTGCGGTTTGCTAGGGGGCTCTTTGTGATACCCAACCCGAGACCGGGTTTCGCAGACTCGGTGGGTTTCTCGGAGAGACTTGACCGTCGGCCGACAGCAGAGAACGACGGTGCCCTCTCGTGTCTTCGGGCCAATGGACTGCTGACGGGCGGCTCGGACAGCGACTGGCTTGGGTTGTTCTCCTTGTCCGACGATCCAGGGCTTCTGGGCTCCAAACGAGGCTCCTTGTTAGGTTGCTCTTCCTCCAAGCTCTTCTTTCTCTTGCGTCGTCGAACCGCGGCCATTTCTCCCCTTGAGGAACTCTCTTTGCTCCCATTCACCACCGGCTCATCCGTCTCCTCGACTTCGGCCTCAGGGGGTACTTCCTCCGTCGCCGCAGCATCGCCGTCATTCATCGCCACATCTCCATCTTTGTCCAAATCATCAGATTGTTCTTCTTCTTCTTCCTTCTCCTCATCTACCTCGCCTTCCGGCTGAGAGATGTCTGTTTCTAATTCCTCCTCCTCATCCACCTCGCGTCCCAACCGAGACGGTGCTTGTCTCGGGCTCAAAAGCGATTCCGACCCGCTGCGCTCACGCTCCGTTCGATTCGACGAGGGAAAGTCCGGCTCCGCGACAAACTGTGAGATCGACCGAGTGGCAGGCACCTGTTTCGAGACGGAGCCGCGTTTCGCGGGGGATGACTGCGTCTTGGGCGTCGGGGTCCGTTGCCGTTCCGGTGAAGGCGACTCCCCAAGCTCCTGACTCTCCATGCGCTTGTGCTGTGGGGTAACCGCAGCAGCTCCTCCCTGGGGATCCTGCGAGTCGTTCTCATGCACAGGCGACTCGCCCCACCGCGGAGGCGACATGGGGATCTCCTCTTGCTCCACGGAGGAAACCGGCACGTCCCTGCGACGGTCAGGTCCGTCCGCTGTAGCCGCAGTCGTAGGACCGCCATTTATCTGTGCACTGGGTGTATCGCGTTCTGAAAACGATTGAGACTCCTCGGCGATAGTAGGAATCTTGCGCAAATTCGCCTGCACCGCCTCCTTCTTGATCTTGATCTGGCGCTCAAAATCCTGCGCGGCGGCATCCCAGTCCTGCGATACGGAGGGGAACCGAACAGGCGCATAGGGCGCTGGTTTCTGAACCACACGAACTGTACCGCGCTGGTCGGCGCCATCGGTGCGGGCCCGACCATTATCCACAAACACATCGGCGACGGTCAACTCGGCGTCGAGATCGTCGGAGTCGTGCTCGTCGTCGACAAGTTTCTTGATCTCCAGGGGCCTAGTCACGATATCCGTAAGCGCTGCCCGAGCAACACCATACCTCTTCCAAATTCAATCTGGTACGACAGATGGAACTCACTCAGCGTTCGGCCGCAGCTTCGCCCACTTCTCCCGGATCATGCCCGCCAATCCACCCATCGTCACCTCCTCGGGGTTCTCCAGGACCAACAGAAAGGAAGCCGGCTTCCCCGCTGTCGATCCAGAGTTCTGACTCGAAGCATCGCGGTCACGGTCACCTAGGAACGAGCGGATCGAAAATGACGAAGAGGACTGGGTCTGTTCGCGGGGGTAGACCTTGACCGTGAGACGTAGGAAAACCATTCCGGAGAACAGCTATATGGGAATGGAAGTCGCTATTCCAAAGTATCACAGAGTATCATAATAATGCGAGCACGGATGTAAATTAAGTACGGCGTAGGTTCTCCAGATAGCGGACAGTCGAAAGAGGCGATGTGAAGATTTTCCGTCGGTGTTGTAGAGCGCGGCAATGGCGAATTGAATTGCTCAACAGCTGGATCAAAGCACGTGTAGTAGGCAGAACAACACAGTGAAGAGGTTAGAGAATATTCAACATTGAAGAATGAGCAACACAAAGGATGGTGTCTGGTGAAGACACAGCAACGTGAGAAGCAGACATGGAGAAAACGCGTGACCCACGCGACTGAACACTTTAAAAAAGGAACCGCCTGGTTGGCTCCACTGTCTGTACCAGCCACCAAAATTTACCGGAGTTTAACTACAGGGTCACCCTCGACAGAAATGTGACAGATGTCGAATTCTGCAGAGACGCATATCGTGCAGTGACTGATACTAGGTCTGTGGAGATTTTTGGTCCATCATTGGTCAGAGGCTTTGTGACATGTCTCTGTGCAAACAAACCGCAGGCGAGGCTGCCGCCATGTCCCATTAGAGTATGCAATCATCCATGAACAATCAAGGTTTATATATTCAGTAAACGTCTAGGTATATATCAAATATTCCAAAATCATCCAACAAGAGACCAAATCTACTCAACCGGAGTAAAATATCGTTTGAACCGGTCAATCTTCGTCAAGCGCAACTCCACGATGACCGAATGGCAGCTCATCAAAAGACTGGGAAACCGAACGGTCCAAAAATTCAGATAGCCCTCTGGCAAGCCGCCAATATGTGTCTTGAGATGCGCCGGCATGTCGTTGTAATGATTGCGCTTGTTACGTAGCGCCCGAAGAAGGTCCAACATCTTCGAGCCCGTGTACTTGCGCTGTTTGCCAAGGTTGTCCTTGAAATCCTTGGGCAGAAGACGTAGGAAATCCATCTCAGGGCCCATCACACGGCAAGCCACAGATTCCAGACACAAAAGGGCATGCGAAGGAGGGTCCCGTGGCTCAAACTCAAAATGATCCGATACGTCGCAGAGGAAGCTGAGACGGTCGGACGGGTTCCAGAAAAAGGGATGCATCAGAACAGCACTGGCGTCGGGTCTGGGAAAAGTCAGTAAATATGCAAAAAAAAAAAAGGCCTAGAGAAGAGGGAGAGGAGCTAACCGTTTGCGAGGGTCAAGAGATAACATTGATCGGATCAGGTCGTCCGCCTCAAAGGCGTAATCGCCTAGGCGCTGGAGTTCGTCCAGGTTGAAGTTGCCCTTGACAATATTCGCCTCCCGCATGAACTTCCCGTTCTTGTCGAAGGGATGGCTACCACGCGTCAACACATAGTAGAAAACGCATCCCAGAGAGAAGATGTCGATAGCGCGAGTTGCTCGTCTGTTGGTTTGCGGATCCACCACTGCTGGCTCAGACGACTCGGTATGCTGAGACTCGCCACCTTGGATGGCCGAACGGTTGTCGTCGTCTACCAGCAATTCTGGAGCTCGCCAACCAGATGTACCTGCGGCGTGCGCTGTAGTTGCTCGGAACGAGCTCTGATTATCGTCAAGCTTCTTGCATAGACCGAAGTCAGAGATGAGTAGTCGCAGAGACCGCGAGCCGCTACGTCCTCGAGGCATAGCCACAAGAATATTCTGCGGCTTTAAGTCGCGGTGCACAATCTTGAGAGAATGCAGGTATCGAACACCAGCGATGATCTGACGCAGGATATCGGGCATATCCAAGCCACCCTGAACCAGTTGGGGGTAGTCACCCGGACGTTCAATCAAGTCCTGGAGAGACGCAGGGCACAGCTCCAAAGCGATGTAAAGGAAACCGGCCGCTTGCTCACGACAGAAATAGCGAATGACGTTGTTATGATCGTCGCTCTCCTGCAACAGTCCAACTTCATGAGAGGCGATGTCATAGAACTCAACCAACATACGTTTGACCGCAACGTCCCGACCATCGAAGGACCCACGGTACACGACCGTTCCGTGACTACCATGACCGAGGACAACGTCGCTGTATACCTTGAGTCGACCAATCTGAAGAACACCGTCCATTTCGATAACCTCGTTGGACACGGTCCGCACTAACTGGACATCGGGCTCCAGACGGGACTGAGGCTGCAGGTTGTTCACTTGATCCACGACTCGGTCCGCCTGATCCTTTGATTCACCTTCCGAATCAGCCTTCTTTCCGCGTCTGTGACTCTTTCCGCCCCGTCTACCTCGGCGAGCTTTTTTCTTAGGCTTCTCAGGTGACCCCGCCGGGTCCAGTTCCTCCACATCGTCGTCACTGTCAGGGCCGCGCGACGGTTCTCGAATTTTCACTCGAGGGGTGGAATCAGGGCCAACGGCACTCCTGTCTCGTTTCGGTTTTGGGGTCGCATCACCTTCTTGTTGCTCTTCAGGCACTTCGACCTCAACCGTGAGGTTCGATATCGGTCTGCTAGGACTGGCATCATTCTTAAAATGAGTGTTTCCGACAACGGGAGTGGAGGGAGTCGACAGTGGTGGCTGAGCGTAGGAAGCGATAATATTCTTGACATCCAGTTTCTGCTTGGCGAGTTCCTGTATGTTGTGGGAATTGAAATAGATGAAAGCACCAAAGAACAACAGTAGGATGGTCACGAAAATATCGACAGCGTTATCCCAGCCCTTTCGGATTATTGTACTGTGCCGCAGAGCCGGTGGTAGCGCCAGCTCGGAGGGGCTGCGCATTAATTCTCGCGGAGTATCATTAGCTAGCTCTAGGGGTGATGATGGCCCTGAGATACTAGGAATATTGCGAATGACCCGGGGTCCATTCAGCGAGTGAACACCAGCCAGCGCATCACGCTGTTGACTAGTTGACAAGCTGGTGAGAGGCTGGCCATGCCGTAGGTAGTCTTTCTCGTAGCACTGAGCCATTTTGGCCCGTCCTGTCACGAGAGGGTAAGTCTCCTCCGACATTGCAAACCATCCGCCTGCTGAAGTGCAATCAACAAACACCCTCGTATCTCTGTCATCCAACGAGCCGTAATCCGGATCAGGTGGCTGTAGGGGTTGCGAAAGAAGCACAAGCGGAGTGGCTGCTTCGGGTGACTCGACGTTAATGGGGCGTGCGACATCGAAAACACGAACCACAGGAGACGAAAAACGCTGGGTGTAACGAGGGCGGTCCATTCGTGAGTGATCAAATCCCAATACCACGCCATCATGCATGCTGTAAATATGGCTCTGATCCATCGTCCGGAAGTACTGGCTCTGAAGATCCATGTCGCGATTGTTGGCCGTCCATTCGGAGTACTTCAACGTGCAGATTGGATCACCGGTCTCTGTGTTTTGTATCGCAACCGCATACTCAACACGACCAAGCACCAGGGTGCCGGAAGGTGTATCGCACTCCTCAGCTTCTAGGTCAAAACCGTCGACCTTGCGGCACCCGTGCCCAGATGTGATAGGACCTCTGGAGCTGAACACTCGTAGGATATTTCCAGTCCGTGCATTCACGGTATATAGAGTTGTCTCCTTCCGGGCCGTATAGGTAACGGCCGGGTCTGTCCCAGAGTAGGGAGTCTGCTCCACCAATTCCTTGACGGTCAGCCCCAACTTCTGCAGCCCCGCATCCGGACCGGGGCTATATATATACAAATTGCCATCTTGAGTCGGCTCGACAATCCAAAGGAAATCATCTTCGGGCTGAGGCCGATCGAAGCTCGACCGGTTGGCTCGATGGTAGATGCTCTCGACCATGGGGCTGCTCGGGACCTCCAGGGCCCAGCGGGCTGCGCCGGTCTTGCGATCGCGTGCGTGAATGGAACCGTCGACGGTCGCCAGTAGGACAAAGTCCTCAACCTCCCAATCCTGCAGAGACCGCGCGTGAAGCTGCGGTGCCAGACCGGCAGATGAACTGCTGGCCTGGGCAGGACGGGCTCGAACGGCGCGGCCGGGGCCCGCCAGAGCCATGGTTGCTAGGGCGCTCGCATCGTTGGATTTCACGTTTATTGTGGGAAGAGGGTTCTGGTCAAAAGAACGCTGTGCCGGAGGGAGAGGAACGGACAAGGTCGAGGGGAGGTCATCATGTTCCTGCAGCTGCTGCGGAGCGACAAGAATAGGGAGCAGAAGTAGGGCGACGCTGGCGGGGAGGGTCGTACGGGCGCCAGGCAGCCGCCACCGCATGGTGAAAAGCTACAACGTCGGCAAAACGATGAGGCTTTGCAGGTAATCAATCACTGTAGGATGACGACGAGGATTTCATCAGGCTCTTCTCGAGGGGAAAGGGAGAAGATTCACAACAGGATGACGAGAAGCCAGGCCGGTGAAAGAAGTTCGGAAATTGTGTGGTTCGGACGGAGAGTGCGGAGGGGGCGCCGTGGTACTAAAACGGGACGCTTCAGGCGTTCAGGAACCAATAGTGATGCGATACTAGTGGGTGGAGGGGGAACAAAGGACGATCTGGCCTCGACGGAGGAGACTGGAGATCGACTATAAATGTTTATTCTCCCCGTAGTTAAGCACCTAGGCCTACTGGCATGGGAAGAAAGAGAAGCAATATATGAATATATGGCGGACGATGTAGGAATAAACGGAGAGATGGAAAATGGCGAGTGTGCGAAGTAAAACCATAAAAGCCCCGTAGCGAGGATTCAAGGAGAAGGAATGAATCGACTAAGGGGGGAGTTAGGGGCACTAAAGTACTGAAGTGACGCGAGGCAGACCAATATAATCGGCCATTTCACACGAGGAATTCGCAATAATTCCATATCTTAGACTATGGAGTACGGAGTACATTAGTCTACTCCGTGTTTCTTGTGACACCCATGGAAGGCGACCGAAAAAGGCTGAGTCGTGTGCAAGGGCGAGTCTCGACTGGCGCCAGCCAACGGAGGATTGTCGCACTGCCTCCGCGCTGTACATAGCCCGCTGTCAAATTCGCGAAGAGTAATTGATCACCCCAGACATGCTCAAGCCTGCTTCAAATAAATTTTCTGTCCAATAGCCGCATACTCTGTAAGGTAGATGGGAAGACAGGGTACCTCGAAGAGCAGCCCAGCAGGAGATGGAGACTGGGGAGAATCCAGATTACAATACATCCATTCCTTTCATGGTGTGAGTGGGGCAAGTTTCTAATAATCAATGCTGATTGAACCACAAATGAAACATAGCCCCTCGCTGGTAATGATACTGTACTGAGGTTCTTTTGAGAAGGAATCAGCCTGGATGAGGAAGCAGCCTAGATCATTCACCTGGAATTGTCTTCAACCACGATCCAGGAGGTGGAAAGGTATTCATTTTTGCCGGGATAGCCTGAATAGGTGTGACGACCTTTTCTCTGCTAAATAGGAGATTTTCATCATCAGTAAGGTAGTTCCATCATCGCTTCAAACAGTTGATCTGGTGGTAAGTCTGCAGAGACGAACGGAAGATATATTTACGAGAGCGAAGCACATATGCTAGGCAACGCCAATATTGTACCTGTCACTCATAAGACGCTAAAACGGGGTGGTTCCTTATAGAAAAAAAGCCATGATCAAGGAAGAACTGAAGATGTCAAGATCTTTCGCTCCTCCGGACGCCTCAACTCCAACACAGAGAAGCCTAGATCGGAGGTCATACAAGTCCCCTAGAATACAAATAGTAACATGCAACCGTAGCACAAAAGAAGGCGGATTGGAGGAGGACGTGGGTCCATGTGCTCTCCTCCTCAGATACCAATCATCCGCAAAGTATATACAAATCATCATGATTGCGCAACATTGAAGCGGATTGCTGGAACGCTTTTATCTCCCGTACACCATCCAGGTCACTGCTGCGATCCAGCCACTGAGGAAGACCACAGTCACAATTCCCGCACCAGCACGATCCCCCGTTGTGACTGGCTGCGGTTGAGGGCGGGCTTGCTCTGTCCCTGTGCCCGCGCTCGCGTTACCCTTACTCGTACCTCCAGTGTCTGCGGTCAACGGCGCTTGAGCCTGCATCTTGTGGGCAATCATCGAGGACGAAAAGACGCTCAAGGCGCTCATCTGCCCCTCTAATGAACTCGTTCCGTCAAAGGTGTCCTGATGCCAGCGCCGCCCGCAGAGAGTCTGATTCGCACCGCCAGAACACTGTTTGGCTGCCGCAAGTGCCGACTGCTGGATCCTCGGGACAATCTCGGACGACGTGTAGGGGGCGATGGTCGTAATAAAAGTTAACCAGGAGGAAAGGAAGCCCTTGAAACAGTCCTGGTTGCGATCGCACTTCATGTTCGGCTCACAGGCAATTTCAGACATGACCATGCCATTCTGAAAGGGGAAGAACCGCTTGAACGTGGTGCCCAGTAAGCCATCAAGACCCTTCTTCCATTTGTCGCCTCCATTGGTCTATGTCTTGTCAGTTCGGCTCCTCATTTTCGCAACATAACCAGGTCTCGAAGTAGAGAGTTCGCAACGTACGTAATTATACATATAAGCAGCACCACTGACATATGTGCCATAGTTATAGGTCCATTGGAGATCTCCATGGTCCGTGCATTCAGTATCAGGCGTAGTGGTATCGGCGATAGTCCAGTCCGACTCCTTGAGCAGCGGGGTTGTCGCAGACCAATCCCATATTCTTTCCGCCCACTGTGAGTATGTCTCGTTGTTGGTATACCGCGCGAGTCGTGCCGCAAGCTGGAAGAGACCGCCATTCGAGATGGCGTTCTTGGTTCGGTAGCCCTCCTGGTAGGTAGAGATTTGCCAGCGCAGGCCACCGTGACAGGTGGACGTGTCCCAGCGCGGCACCTGAGTGTTGAACACACCCTGCGCAAGCGACACCCACGACGGCTGGCCATCTTCCTCGGGGTAGTTGAGCTCTGCCGCAGTCATAGCGGCCAATCCCCAGAACACCTGGTCGTCGTTGCCGAGATAGTTACTGTAGTTCGAAGGGAAGTAATCGTTGTTGCCCTTCTGGAAGAGCATACCCTGAGTGGTGACTTCGTTGTACGACGTGTCGCCGGTCCAGTACCAGTATTGAATTAAAGTCATGAACATGGCGCCGCCTTCCCACCACGTGTCGGGCAGTTTTCCAGGAATCTGGCCGGTCTGGTTGCCGGTGTAGTTACTCATCATGTTGTAGGCCGTTGTCGCAGCCGCATCCTTGATCGATTCTGCCATGCGTCCACTGATTAGCAATTGCGACACAGATCATATCAAGTCTGGATGTCCATGAGGCGGGGATATACATACGAACATCATTAATGTCCAGCTCGAGCGCGGTGACCGCTCCTTGGCCGGCAAGGACGACGGTCACCAAGGTCGTCCACGTCCGACTCGATAGTTTCATTGTCGGAGATCAGAGAGGATTAGAATCCAGCAAGAGACTGAAACGATCGCAGCATCGAAACGAGGTCAACAAGAGCGCATGAGGCGCCGGCAAACGAGCGCAAAAATCGCGAGACGAGCGGGTCAGGTGAAGAATGCGAGGAATGTCCGGAGAAGGTAGGTACTAGGTAGATTACTAAGTGCTAAAGAGTAGTTATGCGACGTCACTGCGGAGCCCAATTAAAAAGTAAAAATGAAAAAAGGTACAAAGATCGGCGACCGAGGAAAGACGAGGCGATTTAAGGCACAGGGGATGGAGGGGCGGACAAACGAGTGAGAAGGACAAATCCTCACAGTAGTTGACAAAGCAGAGGTTGGAAGAAAAAGACGGGGAAGAAAAAGCAAAGCGAGCGCAGATGGTCAGAGGATGGTTGGATTGAAGGGATTAATTATTAGTTACGTTAGTTAGTTATTATGATTGTCAATGTCAGCACGAAGACGGGATTAATAGTAAGTCAGATGCTTCATTCGCTGAACACAGGGAATCCACTGCGACATCACCCTTGGGTAGCAGCTAAGGTAGTGAGCCTGTCTTACAGAATACGGATACATGGAGGTAGCGTCTACTTTTACAAGGCACAGCCTGGATGGACAGAATAATGAGACCCTATTCGGTAAGAAGTAAGGATGGCCCTGGAATTAAAATGAAAGTGGTACCCATCCACCTGATTATTTGACAGTTATCGTTATCTAGAATTCTAGATGGACAGAAAGCTGAGGGACAAGAAGACAAGCCTCTGGGACTCAGGGTCTTGGTCCTCTTGGTCCTTTTGAAGAGCAAATCCCCACTCGAAGCAAAGATCATACCCGCATTCGGACTGTTCGGGTCAGGGACAGTCACAGTGCCACGACTTGGTGCTGCAAAAAGAACGCGCAATGTGCCCCAGAAGCCAGTTCCTCCAGGCTCTCACTGGTTCCAATGGTCCAACGTCGGAAGGGTTGTGGAACCCTGAAATCGCCTTGGCTACTACTACTGTATACAAAATAGGCAAGTGATCCTTCTGCTTCAAATACTCTCAGAAGCACCAGAATTGTGGAGATTCGTACTTCAAGCGTCAAGTAAAAGGTTGGATAGAAACTCTATCAAAATCTATTGCTCATCATGGCTATCAAGTGCGGAGTCGAAGCGTCCTGTGTCCCTCAGCACTCTCAGACCCCCCGGCCAAAAATAGCAGCAGCTAACCACCAAGACCTTGGCCCTATTGCTTAAATCGCCCAGCCATGTGACATCTGTTACCTGCATCTCTACTTACAATCCTAGGCACCATATAAGTCCAGGTTCGGATTGGATCACCAACTTTAAAAGAGGGTGATGCAATCAAATGATTCAAATCCCTCCTATCGGCATAAATGTTACAAAGCCATGACACATGACGACAGCAGTGCTTATGCCGCCCCCACTGGAAAAGGTGCCACAGCATGTGCGCCGTCGCATATGTACCTATTTGGTCTGAAGACTCACTGTCTTCTTCGAGTATATAGAGCAGCAAGCTGGTCCAGAAAGGTTCAGCGGCCTAAGGCATATATGTTTACGCATTTTCTTTGGGCTGACGGCATACAAAAGGTCTACATGAGGAGAATACTGACTCACACCTGCTGCTCAGACCCGGAGATATTTAATATATTATCATCATTCGCGCTGTATCATAAACCCTGTACTGAAGACACGCTATTTTCTCCCATTCTTCACATACGCTCGCGTCTGCGAGGAGCAGCCCGGATGATGTTGTCGACACGCAGGAGAAGCTGTAGACGGACATAGTTAGCTAAACGTTTCTGCAAAATCAGGTCAACGACCATGCTTACCTCTGCGGCTTCTGATGCCGAGGAAACAACTGCCTTCTTCAGCTTGTAGCTCTCCACAACACCCAACTCCCGCATATCAGCAATACCACCGCCAGGGGTAAGCAAATCCAGACCGGAACAGGTCATGCCGTTGTTGATGGCCTGGCGGAGTCTCGTAACCAGATCGCTCGAGTCCAAACCGGCATTGTCGGCCAGAATAGTGGGCAATTGCCGAAGAGCGTAGGAGAATGCGTCCACAGCCAGCTGCTTCTTGCCGGTAGTGTTCTGGGCCGCCTGTTCGACGGCCTTGGACATCACCATCTCGGCACAGCCACCGCCCAGTGTGACCCGGGGATCCTTGACAGTCTGAGAGAGAACAGCCAGAGCATCGTGGAGAGATCGCTCTGCCTCATCGAGAAGCTGCTCGGTGGCACCGCGCAGCACGATGGTGCATGCCTGACCGGCAGCCACGCCCGAGAACTTGATGAGGGTATCCTCGCCGATGATAACTTCCTCAATAACATCACACTGGCCGAGCTTGACCTGTTCGGGGTGATCGAAGGTCGAAGCAATCTCACCACCAGTGACCAGGGCAAGGCGCTCAATGCCGTCGAAGTCGGCATGCTCGATGGACATGATACCGGCCTCGGTGAACAGCTGCTCGGGCCAGTTGTAGATGAGTTGACGGTTGACGAAGCAGTTGATGCCGTGAGCTTTGATTCGCTCAACCTTGGCTCTCATCTTTTCACGCTCCGCCTTTTCCAGCTCGGCTAGTTTGCCCGTTGACTCGACCTTGACCCGTGCACCGAAGATCTTGACCTTGTCAGTGTCCATGGCGGTGTTGGCAACCAGAATCTTGGCATTCTCCAAGCGCTTGGGTTGGTTCACACCGATCTTCTTGTCAAGGATGAAGCCCTCATCGAGGTACGAGTCGCTGAGCTTGCCGCCGGCCTTTTTGATGATCTGGATGTGGCTGAGGTCGGTCGAGCCCTTCAACCGGAGAACTGCATCACACGCGAGAGCAGCAAAGTGTTCGCGGTCCTGAGCCAGAACCTTGGAGCTGAGGGTTGTCCGAGCGATAGCATGGAGATCTTTCCGGAAAGCCTCCATATCCTTGCTCCGGTCGACGGCAGCCTTTTCAAGGGCCGCCAGGGCGGCCTTGCTGGCTATCCGGTAGCCCTCGATGATCGTCTGAGGATGAATCTTGCGGTTCACGAGCTTCTCTGCCTCACGCAGCAACTCCGCTGCCAACACCGTCACGGATGTCGTTCCGTCACCGACTTCGTCATCCTGGACCTTGGAGATGTTCACCAGCACCTTGGCCGCGGCGTTATCGAGGGCAATAGACTTGAGGATGGTAGCACCGTCGTTTGTTACGAGGATGTCGCCGGTCGACCTATTTTACCCCGAGAGTCAGTTCTGGCAAGCTCATTTACAAAAAACCCCGCATTCTCAGGAGACCACCCCACGTACGCTGACTGAAGGATCTTGTCCATTCCCTTAGGACCTAATGTGCTTTTCACCAAGTCACCAACAGCGATGGCGCCGACAAAGGCGGACAGACGGGCATTTTCGCCCTTTTCTTCGACGACATCGTCGCCGAAGATCTGAGTGGGATTGGCGAAGGACGCCTGCAGGTGGTCAGCATTTTGCAAATTAAGATATTAACATAATAGACGACGAACCATGATGAATAGTAGATATTTAGAAGGTAGCTACCGGTGGGAGGAAGGCAGGCAGCTCAGGGGGAATACTGGTTCGAAATCACCGTTGAGGATTCAATAATAATGCGGGACGTCCAGAAAAGTTCGCGATGTGGCCCGAGCTCAAGTTGTAGCTACAGACCGCCCGCCCAAGAAGTTCCTCTTAACAACCCCAGTTGACTCAATTCAAGCGCGCTCCTTGCTGTACCGTCTCAAAAGAAATCTTCCATTTTATCTTTCGCAATGGCGGATACTGACGAACAAGCGAAGCTGGCAGTCAATAAGCGCCCCCATGCTGCCATTGAAGATGAAGATGGTGCGTTGGACCCTTCCCGAACAGCGTCTGATTCAGACTGAAAACAGGAAACTGATCAAGGCTTTCAGGAAACGGCTCATCGTCAGACGATGACTTTGGTCCTGCTCTACCCTCCGCCGATGCGCCGAAGAAAAAGCGACGCAAGTTACCCTTCGAGAAGGTCTACGTGAATGCGCTGCCCGCATCTCCGCGGTATTCGAGATCGCTTATGCACAAGGAGCAGCTGTCCTTCGTTACGATGACTCCCTACACAGACTTTCTCATCACGTCGTCGATGGACGGTATCGTGAAGTTTTGGAAGAAAATGGCCGTCGGGGTCGAGTTCGTCAAGGAATTCCGAGCCCATCCTGCGGAGATCAAGAGCGTCAGCGTCAGCGCCGACGGGAGGAGTTTTGCGACGGTTGGTGCGGACAAGACGATCAAAATCTTTGACGTTATCACTTTCGGTAGGCATGATCTCTGCTATGATTTCTGCTTTGCGAACTAATCGCGTGTGCAGATTTGTTGGCCATGCTCTCCTTGGACTTCACACCGCGCTGTGTGTGCTGGGTACACCCTCGCGGCGCATCCCTACCATTGCTAGCTGTGACAGACGAGAATAGCCCCATGATACAAGTCTTTGATGGTCGTGGAGAGAACGCCACTCCCCTAAACACCGTCAAATCGATCCACCGTAGCCCCGTGGCAGCCATCGCCTTCAACAACGCATACGACTGTGTCATTTCAGCCGATCAATCCGGGATGGTCGAGTATTGGCGCGCAAGCGACGGCTCGTATGAGAAACCGGACAATGTATTTGAGCTCAAATCCTCCACGAACCTGTTCGAGTTCAAGAAATCCAAATCCGCACCCGCGTCCATTACAATATCACCATCGGGCGAGCAATTTGCAACCGTCTCGTTTCCCGACCGGCAGGTCCGAGTCTTCGATTTCGCAACGGGCAAGCTCTACCGGAAATACGACGAATCTCTCACCACCATCACAGAAATGCAGCAAGCCGGCACAGCCCTCTACCCACTGGATGAGGTGGAATTCGGCCGCCGTCTCGCCGTTGAACGCGAACTCGAGAATCCCATCACCCAACCCAAAATCAACGTCATCTTCGACGAATCAGGCCACTTCGTGCTCTACGGCTCCCTGTACGGCGCCAAGTGCATCAACACCTACACCAACCGCGTCGTCCGCGTCTACGCAAAGGACGAACCCTTCCGCCCCCTCAACCTAGCCATGTATCAAGGCCAACCACAAAAGAAAGGCGTAATGACGGTCTCCATGGCCGCAAGCGCCAACCCTCTCCTCCAGGAATCCGAAGAACGAGACCCGATCCTCGTCTCAACGGGCTTCGCCAAGATCCGCTTCTACCTATTCACCAATGAAACCGAGATCTCCAAATCCAGCCGGGACGTGCAGAATGAACGCCCCACGCATGCCGACGCCCGCGAGACAACCGCCAAAAAGGCCGCCGAGACGGGCACCTCCGCCATCCTCCACACCACCATGGGGGACATCCACCTGCGGCTTTTCCCGCAGGCGGCGCCCAAGGCAGTTGAGAATTTTGTCACCCATGCGCGCAACGGGTACTACAATAATACCATCTTCCACCGTGTGATCCGCAAATTCATGATCCAGGGCGGTGATCCCCTCGGTGACGGGACGGGCGGCGAGTCGATCTGGGGCGGGGAGTTCGAGGACGAGTTCTCGAGTCTGAAGCACGACAAGCCGTATACGCTATCCATGGCGAATGCGGGGCCGAACACTAACGCCAGTCAATTCTTCATCACGACGGAGAAGACACCTTGGCTAGATGGTAAACATACTATTTTTGGACGGGCGGTGCAGGGGTTGGACGTCATACACAAGATCGAAAACACCAAAACATACAAGGAGAAGCCGGAGCAGGACATTAAGATCGTGAGCATTACTGTGACTTGAGCGAGTGCGGACTTCCCGAAACGCCCCATGACGACTGCCGTATACTATGAAGCCATCTATTTTGCATGTAAACTACCCCGTGCGTATCTAGCAAGAGCCAAGAATTTTTTTTTCCTTCCAGGTTTTGAAACAGCAAGATTAGCTTAGAGAGCCATTGTAGAAAAGTCCGCTCGGCCTTAGAGCAGGACTCGACGGCGAGTCTGTATCCTGTTGCATCTAACAGGACAGAGCCAAGGAATGACCTAGCTAGACATTGCAAGCCAACTAGATTCCCAAGCTCGTGGAAACGCCACGTGAGGGGAATCAAAAGTACTATATCCCGCAAAAGATAGAACAGAGAAAGGGAGCCAAGAAGGCCACACAACGTATTGACAAACATCGTACCACACTATAAAGTATGCGCACTGATTCGACAGCGAGGGGAAACATTTTCAAGAAGATTGAAAAGATGGACACGTAAACGCCGGATATATGCAAGCTTTAGGTGTTGGTCATACCACTGAGTATCAAAACACCCAACAAAATCCAAGGAGGAATGGGGTCGCAACTGCGTTGAGCTGGCTGCTGAACCTTCGCATCATTCGACTAAGGAACCTGTCAATATTCCCAAAAAATGACAAACAGCTGGCCGCAAATCATCGAGTAACCTCCCGGATCTCGACATCGTCGTCCGCTGACTGGGGCGTCTTTGCTAAACGCGAAGAAGGGTAGCCGGACCGCGCTCTGGAGGGTACGACCTCTGTTCGCGAACTGCTGGCGATTGAATCGGAGTTTGGGTAACTTGACCGGGGCGGAGGTGCAAGACCGCCAAAGTTCGATGAGAATTGGCCCGGTTGGCCGGGACCTGGACTTTGGTCACGCACGCGGCCGCCGGCGAACAATCCGCTCTCCGTTCCACTGCCGCTGCCGCCGACGCCATGATAGAGATTCGGATATTTGGCATCGTGGCGTTTCTTAAGCCATGTGGCTACCGCGGCAATGATACTGAATGCAATGAGGAGGACAATAACCATGATGACCCATTTGTAGTGGCCGTCCCACCTGCAAGAATGCTGTCAGTAACGGGATTTCGAAGTAGTCGCGGCACAATGCCGCGGTATGCTTACCAGGTCTTGGGTTTAGCCTCTTTGGCCGGGGCCTGGACGTTTGAGCTTGAGGAAGTTGTGCTTGCCGCAGCACCTGATGTGGCTGTTGTCGTCGCCGCTCCAGAATTCCCTCCCGAATTGCCCCAGAATTGCAATAGTTGGTGTACCATGCCTGCAACAACTGTTTATCGGTTTCGCTGCTGCAGGACGAGTCGCAGGTCCCATCGGGAGAGGTTTTCAGTTGAGATAGCAGAGATGACTGGCAGAAGCAAGAGACATGGACCGCGTGTGTGTCTTCTGGACTAGCCAGGCAGCTGTCCGCGGCCTGCTGGAGCTGCGTGCATGACAGCCCACATTCTGGGAACGAAGCGGAAGCGGCGGAAGGTAAGATAGTATCGGTGGTCGCGAGAACAGTGGTCGTGAGGAAGAAGGCGATTATCAACAAATGGAATAGTTGACAAGTCGGCTTGAGCACAGCATTGTTGGCGGTCCAGGCCAACAGCCCAGATGCCATGACGACGCAGGTTGAGACTCCGGTGGAGACCGTCAGGTGGGAAGCTCACAGCAATAGACGGCCCACCATCATACGAAAAGGCGAAAAAAGAGGTTGAAAGGGGACGAGGAACAGGATAGTTTAAAGGAAAAAGAGGAGGAGGATCAAAGGAATGACAAGCAATGGTCGGGTAGATGAGATCGAAAGAATGCTTCGATCAGATGAGATAACGGATGATCAACGAGGGAGACGGATTGGGCAAGGAAAGGAAACGAGAGAGAGAGGAGCAGAAAAACAGACAGGACAAAGACAAGCAAGAAACAATTTGGAACAGGGTCCAGGACTCAGCGGCAGAGTATTTCGCCTGACTCGTTAATAATAATTATTATTAGTTGAATCCAGGCACAGACACTTGTTATGGAGACGAGCCTGGAGTAAATTAAAAAGACCGCGTGGATAAATGGCGGAATCAAAAATAGTCAAATAGGCAGGAGGAAAAGCATCTCCGCAAGCGGCCGGAGCGAACATTGAAGACTAGACACACATGACTACCTTAGTTCTTGTCTAGCGGATGATTCAATGCAATTGATTCGACTGAATGCTCAAATCCTGGTTGACAGCAGCCAATGTATCCTTGGATCTAAATTGCTCTTCCAAGGGATCCAATTTCCCCAGGGTCAGGCACCGAGGCAGTCAGGCATTATTGAGGCACACAAGAAGCTATATATTTTTCTGTCACCTTAAGGTTACACTTGACAGTTCACAGTAGCATGAAGGGTTCAAAATGACTGTGTCCGGTTGCGGCACAATGTCATTACAGTGTCAACATGAGGTGTCTGTCGATTAAAGAAATAGAGACATCGAAACTTGGCTCATAGTCATACAATGTGAGTTGGAGGTTGTGCTCCCTGCGTGTACAGTACTTCTGTACTCCAATCTCCGTAAGCTAAAAAAAGCAAATGCAACATTTTGTACTACGTACTAGTACTCCCACTATTGTCCTGGCTGTTGTTCTTGGCGTGATCTGGTCGATCCGACTCAAGAACCTCCAACGATGGAGGTAAATAGAGATTGAGCTTCCGAGCTATCACGGAGTCAAGTCGCTGTGACTTCATATCCATATAGAAAATCGTTTCTCGTGGCCACTGACAGAACCTGCCATTGCTAGAACGGGGAAGGATCTGCTTGAATGGATCGACGGCTCAAGAGGCCCAGACTCCGAGATCGTGAGAGCTTCAATGGTTGACTTAGCCAGGCTGTCAAGGGGGAAGAATGTCAGCCTGAATGTCGATCTTGAAGAAACTCGATCGAAACTTCGACTTTACGAGAATTAATTCTTATTTTGACACCAAATCGTGTTGTTTCTTTCGCGACGATCATGATGCAATACCATGATTGCGACCGTCGTCCTTCCGGTCGAGATGGCCGGTCACCAAAAGCTGACAGACCATGCTACGAACGTTTCGCTGTGCTTTTCCCGTCCAGGGACTGCTTGAGATAGCTCTTACTGGACTACATTTGGGAACTTGGGATATTGTCGCGCCCTAGCCTCTTCATCGATATTGGCACCGCAGTCCAAGGGGACCCGGTCGGCGATAATCCTAACATCCGCCCTTTCAGTCTTTTCCGCCCATCCTCTCGTACACCTGCAACATGATGATCAACATCGGAGTTGACGGATTTTGCACAGCTTAGCCCCGTCAACGCGGACCGATCTGAGTCATCAGTCGCAACGCCTGGTCTCGGGTACAGGGTATATATATCATAAATAAGCCGTGACTTCAATAAGAAAGACAATCGAGAGATTGATCGTAACAGTATAAGTCAGAAACACCCGGTACGATGGCACCTCAAACCTGGCTCATCACCGGCGCCTCATCCGGCTTCGGGGCCATCCTTGCAGAAGCCGTGCTGAAAGCCGGTCATCGAGTCATCGCGACCGCTCGAAACCCTGTCAAGGCAGCGCAGACTTATCCCCAGATCGAGTCGTTAGGTGGGACCTGGTTGCAGCTCGATGTGACCCGACCAAACACAAAGGAAATAGTCGAGGAGGCCATCCGGAAGCAAGGACGGATTGACGTTGTCGTCAACAACGCAGGCTATGCTCTGCTCGGGAGTGTCGAGGATATGAGGTATGTCCTGGCCTGACTCGTCTGGCCTTGGAGTGCATCAGCATCGTCTGACGATCATAGCGAGGAGGAGATCCACCAACAGATCAACACCAACGTCTACGGACCCATGCGAGTCATCAAAGCCGCACTGCCGTTTATGCGTGCCCAGAGGTCCGGTACGATCGTCAACATAAGCAGTATCGCAGGGTTACAGGCTCAGCCTTCGTGCTCACTCTACGCGGCCAGCAAGTTCGCTCTAGAGGGTACGTTCAGAAGAAAGTCCGAATGATTCCTCGACTGACAATCACCAGGTTTCTCAGAGTCCCTTTCGAAAGAAGTCGCCCCATTCAATATCCGAGTTCTCATCGTGGAGCCTGGTGCCTTTCGGACGAACTTCCTGTCTGCCTATGCCACCCCAGCCGCTGGACTGAACCCGGCGTACGAAGGCACGACCATCGACCAGGTACTACAAGTCTTTCAGAGCAGCAGCGGGAAACAGGCAGGCGATCCGGTCAAGGCGGTTGAGCGAATCATCGATGTGGTGCAGGGGACCGGTGTGGGTGCTGGCAAGACCGGTTGTCTCCGCTTGCCGTTGGGACGAGACTGCATCACACGGGCCAAGGTCAAGCTGGACGATGTGAGAAAGAATTTGGATGAGATGGAGGATATTGCCTGCAGCACAGATTTGTGAATTGCCAATAATATAGATTGAAGGCAAAAGAGTTCCTTCGGCAGTTCACTGTGTGATAAATGCGAATTGTGTCCCCTGTGCTACCTGACATGTACCGGGGATGAAAGAAAATCCTCAAATCCACTCTCACCACTGAATGGCAAGGGTCCAAGAACATTTCTAGAATTTCCTACGCGACTCGTTTCCACCTAACGAGCGACGGGTTGGTTCATCGTGAATGAAGGACCTCATTGCAGCCATCGAGCCGGACAATATGTCCGCCAATAAAGGCCATTGTTCAGTAGTAGCGAGATGCTACTGGTACCGTGGGCGCCATTATGTCTTCAAAGCGTGATAATGACTTCATTCAGACGTTGCGTGCGATATACAAGCCTTACGACTGCCTGTCGAGAGAGGACACAATATACACGTATCCTTCGACAGCAAAGTCCAGAATCTAATTTCTCATTATAAAGCCGCGCCAATGTCCAAAACAATCGAATTCAATATCTTCAAAGGGTCTGAGAGTGGGGATGTCAACCCCGACACGATCAGACGCACCATCCAGCCCTCGGAAGTCTTCGTCGAGATCTCGCACGCGGGCCTCTGCGGAACCGACCGGCTATTCAAGAACAAGGGCATTGCTCTCGGCCACGAGGGCGCAGGTACCGTCCGCGACGTCGGAAGCGCCGTGACTACCTTCAAGGCCGGCGACAAGGTTGGCTTTGGCTGGGTACGCAAGGTGTGTGGACATTGCGACTTTTGCGTTAGCGGTATGTACTTTTACCGGCCTCTAAGGCCTTTCAATCGATGGTAATGTTATTATGCCAGGCCACGATCAGTACTGCCAGCAGCGCGAGCAGTATGGCAAGGAGAACACCGAGATCGGCGCATTCGCTACCCACGCCGTCTGGCACGAGAGCATGCTGGCCAAGCTTCCGGATGACCTGGAGCCCGAGTATGCTGCTCCGCTGATGTGCGGCGGAGCGACTGTTTGGTGTGCTTTGACGTGCTACGATATCAAGCCTGGAGAGCGAGTCGGGATCCAGGGAATTGGGGGACTGGGGCATATGGCGATTCAGTTTGCGTCGAAGCTAGGGTGTGACGTGGTTGTATTCTCCAGCTCCGCTGCAAAGAAAGACGAGGCGAAGGCCCTGGGAGCGAACGAGTTCCATACACTTGAGAACGGTGCTGTGCGAGAGGCTGTGCGGCCGGTGAAGCATCTTCTCTGGTGTGGAAATGAGCCGCCTGATTTTTCCAAGTTGGTGCCCTCGTCCTTGACTGCAAGAGAGTGTAACTTACCTCTGTTCCAGAGTATTTCCGCTCATGTCTCCCGATAGTACGATCTATCTGCTGACAGTGAGCACGCAACAACCCCCGCTGCCAGTCATGCCGCTTATCTCGAACGGCATTCGGATTCAAGGATCCGCGGTAGCATCGCGTGTGGCTGTCCGCAAGATGCTGCGATTCGTGTCACTGCACAGAATTCGACCCATCATCATGACTTGGCCGATGACCAAGGATGGAATCCAAGCTGCATTCCAGATCCTGGAGCAGGGCAAGATGCGGTACCGGGGAGTTATTGTGGGCCAGAGACATTTGATGGGGAAGCCTGCTGTAGAGAGAATGGGATGATAGTATAAAATAAAGAAATCGGTTTGACGACGATGAATCTGTCTCTCTGCTGCTGGTGGGTTGTGAAGACTCTAGGTTATTTTGTAGTCTGTAGATTGTAGGGAGTTGTTTGCCGCGGCCCGCCCCGTCCACTACTCCTAGTCTGCCAGAAATCGTCACCACACCACCTCATCTCAAAATACTGAATTGCAACTCTCCACACAACTAATGGAACACCCAACATGACTGATTCAACACCATCCTGTCCCCTAACTAACCTCACAGACACCATGCCTCCGACCCGCGCCTCGAACCTCTCCCCCAATCTACTCAACGGCATCTTCGCCTCCCTCAGCCAACCCTCCCGCCGCTGGTCCCTCCTCCGCACCCTCCAAAGCGACAACCCGCGCGACATCAACGGCGAGCTCCGCGGCACAGCATCCTTCCACCCTCTGCGACATGGCTCCGCCGCCTCTGACCGCCGCGATGTAGTCTACCGCGAGGAGGGCGAATTACCGAATACATTTGGGCCGGGACTACGCTGGACGAAAAAGTACATCTGGCGGCAGGGGGAGAACGGGGGGATAAGTGTTTGGTTTGTGAAGGTGAAGCCGACTTCCAAACAGCCTGAGGTCCAGGAAGAGGAGGACGAGGCGGATTACCTGTTCCATAACTTTGATTTCGAGGGGCAGGACGGAGTGGAGACGGCGGACGCGAAGGAGTCGACATTTGTCTCGCCGCCGGTGCCGCCGCTCGTCCCCTCGGAAGAGAATACGGCTGTGATTATGGCGAGGGGAATCATCTGTGCATCAATGATATGTATCGGACTGCGTATGCGTTCCGGGTACGCCCTGAGTCTGGGGAAGTTGTGAGCTGGTCAAGCCGACATGTTGTCAAGGGGCCGAAGAAGAACCAAGATATTGTGAATTTGTATCGGATGGAGGGCTGAGGACACCAATGGCGCGAATTACGCCTGTGGACCCGCATGCAGAACGATATATCCTACGTGCAGACCCGAACCTGTGTGCATCTTTTACATCAAGCTGGAGAGCCACTTAACCCCTATCACCATTTACCAGATACGGTTTACCAGAGATGTCCCGGAAGGTGCAAGGATGGGTAGTTGCCACATGCGACGTTTTACCTCAACTACCAGGTACCATTCGTACAGCCTCAACTAAGGAAGTTGTATATCTCATTGGCATATATCGATCATCAGCAATCATATCGCGTTCACAGCGTGTAAATGAAATCCGGCCTCTTATCTCCAAGAAGTTCGATTTGGCTGCGGTCCAATCCCTGAACCCAATGATCCCGATCTCCGCGCAAACGCTTACGGTTCTCGAGTCTGAGGAGCAGATACTGCACCAGGGATCCACCAAACTGGAACAGGACTAGATACGCCAGCACGGTACCATGGCCAGGATAGAAGTTGGGCGCGTCCTTGCCTCGGTAGATGTTGGAGGATACGATTCCGTTGAGATTACCCCAGCCAATGACGATACCAAGCGTTACACCTCGTTTGTACACACCTAGATCATGCTGTCAGATATTGCAATATTCATGGACCTGGAGATGCTCACCTTCAGTGTTGTTGCTGGCCCAGGAGATGGTATTCGAAATGGCGGGATAAATGCCCATAGCTCCAAGGAACGTCCCCGCATACCGTGCTCCGGCTGTTTTGCAACCGAGGAGCATTGCGAAACCAGTAATTCCGACGAGAGAGACGAGGATGTTGCAAATACCACGTTGGCGCGTGCGGTCAGCGATGAAACCTACTGCAACAGTCACAATGGCTGCTGCCGCGTATGGTGGAACACTGAGCAGCTGGGCCTTGATGGAAGTGTACCCTTGTCCATGTTAGTCAATTCACTCGATGAAGATGTACTTGAACATACCCTAGACTCCGTTAGCATATAGAACCACAAATTGTCCTAAGCAAACTTACCAGCTGGTTGATGATTGTTGGCACGAAAAGCGAGAATGCATACAAGGATCCATCTGCTCCCATGTAAATGATAGCGCCGGTATAGGTCTTCCAGTCTTTCAGACTAGCCCAGAAATAGGACATCTTGAACTGCTCATGCTCCGCACTGGACTGCTGGTCCTCCGCAAGGCGGCGTAGAACACGCTTGCGGTCTGTCTCGGACAGGAAGGTAGCCTCATCGGGAAAGTCATGGACCATCCAAATCGACAGGACGCCAATTACGATGGTAGCCAGACCCTCCAGGATGAAAATCCACGACCAGCCTGGCCTGCCGCCAATTCCATCCATATGAGCAATGGCAGCAGCGAGAAGACCTCCGAAAGAACCAGCGAGCGCAGCCGCAGAGAAAAAGATGGCCATGCGTACACCGAATTCTGTTCGCTTGTACCAGCAGGAGAGGAAGTAGCCGACGCCTGGGAAGAGACCGGCCTCGGTGAGTCCGAGGAACCATCTGACCTACTGATTGTTAAGATCATGTCGGATGACGACAGACGTAGGAGCCTGATCAACGAAGGGGTTGTAGGAAGGCACGCACCGCCATCAATCCAGACCAGTTATGCACAACACCCATCAACGTCATACATATGCCCTAGATTCCATTAGCTCGAACTTGCACCAAGTACAAAGTAGCACATACCCATGCGAACATGATAGCAGGTATAAACCTGCTCGGTCGCCATCTCTTGAGCAGGACATTGGTGACCGGCTCGAATATCGAGTACGAGATGAAGAAAATGGTCAAGCTATCGTTATATTGGTCATTGGTCATCTTGAGATCCTTCTGCAGGCCAGCGAGCTTTGCATTGCCAATATTTGTACTTTGGAGAGTCAGTATGGCTCGTCGGATGCAAGTGAGAAGCACATACCGGTCTAGAAATGAAATCAAATACAACAAGCTGAGCCATGGGATCAACCTGATGTCGAGCTTGCGAACGAGTGCGCGATCCTACAGCCGGTCAGCCAAAAACACTCTCTCAAATATTGAAAGTGATCGCACTATCTTAGCTCGTTCCTCCGGACTGAGCCCTTCATCGGGATCTTCGAAGAGGTCGAGCTTTGATTTCGGGGCGAATTCATGCGACGCAGAACCCTTCTCCGCATCGGATTCTCGGGGTACGTGGTCGACAGATGCTTTTTCATCCGTCGGTTGAGACATGATGATATCTTGCCGGTTAATCACGGCCGTACAAGTATGTATTTAGAAGGAGTAGAGTAGGGGGAATAGGGATGGGAGACAAGCACTAATAACAGGGGAGGAGACAGGACAAGATAAGGGGGTAGGCGAGGGAATGAAAGAGAAGAGTCGTGTCGCTCATTCCAACTACCGATCTTTAGTAGCTCTATTATACCGCGTGGAATAAGGGCAGGTCCCTCCACCCTACATACGACATTGACAAGGATCATCATCACCGAGGGGTTCTGGCCGCGGTGCGGTGGATGGCAATTGGCGAAACACCATCGTTTCCACAAATTCCCCAACAATTCTCCTCTCAATGACCAGCGTGGACGATCAACCAAGGATTCTCCTAAACTCCAAATATTAGTCTAATTGATAAGCAAGGAGCACACCTCTCGTACCGGAGGAACGCCAAGTGCGGGCCCCCATGGGCCCCGTCTCTCCTTTCCGGAAGCGGGAGACTTAGCGCGGGATGGCCAAAACCCCCGCGGGGCATCTCCAAGTTTGCTGGCTTGCTCAAGGCTTGACTGGACCACTTCCGTCGCAACATATATGTTGTGTTGTTCTAGTTACGGGTTGATACACTGAATGGCTACAGAATTAGGGCAAATATGAACAGCATTGTTGCAGAATCTTAGTTTCTAACAACTTAAAGACACGGACGGCCAAAGCATGGCTAGCAGAAAGTGCAGAAAGTCAAAGTCAAAGCTGGTATTAGTGTGCTAGTGCTTGGCGATCACAAAGTTTGGAGACAAAGCGGAGGAATATGCAATTCTTTTCCTTAAGTCCGAAGAAAAGCGTGCCCTTGCCGCGCGGGATTTTGCTGATGCATGGCGTTTTGACACAAATACGAAGTGCAATCTATGCTAGCCTTCATCCGACCAAATTCTTTGAAACTGGACGTCCTTGGCTCGGGACTTGCCACAGCCCAACACGAGAGAAGGGACCATGAGGGGCTCCGCCATTACTGGAGAATGATGAATAATGAAACAAACACGAAAGATGTTTCCAGAACCTGGTTAGGAAATACCAACGCCTAGACTAACCGCCAACCCGCTTCTCATCGACATGATGACTAGCCTTCATTCCGCCGCCTTTCTAAGAAACTTGATGCTGCATCTTTCGAAGCTTGGATGACCTTCAAAAAGATCATGCGCTGCTGCGGCCATCTTGACTGAATAGAAACGAACATAGATATCTCCCACCACCTGTCCTTCCTCCACGCTTTCAATATAGTTGTAGTAGGCAGACCGCTTAAGTACGCGGTAAATCTCCTCCCTCAATGACCTCCGAAGGTTGCTGATAACCAGGCACCGGGTGTAGCCCTGATGGAAAATGAATTGGCTCATCTGGGACGTCATTGGGTAAGTCGGAGTGTGAACGAGAGCGACGCTGGCCACGCAGAAGCCCAAAGGTAGTCCTTCCCTTGATTTCTGAACAAAGTCTAGGGCGTCCTTCTCGAGCACAAACACAACGATAGCAGTTTTATACCCAGTAATAGGGTTTGTGTTGCAGAGAGAAGCCGAGTAGATCTCACCAGGAACAGATGGCAGTACCTGGCTCAGAGTAACGTTTGACGGGAGCTTCTCGATGCGGACAGTGCGAAAGACATTTGACTCCTGTCCAGCAGGAATGTATCGGAGCCCGTACTGGAATATCCAGAGATCCGAGACGGCTTGCCGAGAAAGGAGGTTCGGACGATAAGAGAAGGCATCGGCTTCTTCTTGCTGATTCTCAAATATACTACATCCCTTTATGGCCCATCGGATATTGCCATCCCAGGGAACGGTGTCCATCCCTGGTCGGTAAGGCTTCAGGACGTCAGAATCCTCGCGTACACGAACGACGATCAGAGGTTTCTGGGAAAGAAGTGTCAGAAGCAGCACAACCAGCTATTACATTAAGATCACTCACCCGCTCAGGCTCCAACACCGGAATCATCAGGTCCTCTATGCCAGCATCAAGCAGGTCATCAGAGTCCGTACGTTGCAGCGATACCGTTCTCAACTGATTCGGATCGGTGGCAGCGAGATGGATCCGTTTCTGAGGCGTCTTGGGCTGCAGAGAAGGGACTCTAATATCGTCCAAGTGGCTGTCCAGGATGTTGGAGCATTTCCGTGGATTGAGTACGACTACTGCGGTCTTTTCGGAATAAACAGATGAAAGAGAGAAGCTTTTGGGGACGTTTTTTCAGAGGTAGTGTTGTCATTGTCCTCCGTCATGGTGTTGTTTTCTTCATGCGGAGTTTCCTTGTTCGTCAGATAGCAAGAGGTTTCTGAAGCTTGAGAAGCTTGAGCCATGGCCAGAAATACGGCATCAAGACGACGAAAGAGAGCGAAAAGTCCAAGCAGGAGAGAAAAAAGCACTACAAGAGAGAAGATGGGACCGGTGGTGAGGAGAACACATCCTTCCATTTTGGGAAAGGATTAAGTGGCAATCTGCAGCGGATATGAAAACAGAATATAGAGTAGACTTCTCCGGAATGTTCACTTCTCAATTCTAAGTGAATTCTACTTGAGAAGAGACTGCGATTATATGTGAGAAAGTCGTGAAGGCTTCTGCGAAGGCCTTTGTCGACAATGTTGCAGAATGTGCATCAATTCCGAAAGCTCCTATATGCGAGGCTGATGTTAGTATGAACGGAACCAGGAGTGAGTGTCTGATGAGATCTTTTAGAAGAAAGGAATTATCAGCAACAAAGAAAGCATATACCGCTCCGTTCAGACCAGTATGTTGAGAATATCCTAGTGAGTTGTTAGTATAGATAGTGTCTTGGTGATGTAGATTTGACTGGCGCTTGCTTAGGAGGTCTACTGGGTATATGGTATCGATATGTGAAGCGTATGGGAAGTACCTGAGTGAAACCGAGGTGCAAAACGTCTCTATGATGAGCAGAAGGGCAGCGAGGATGAGAGAAGAGAAGAGAAGAGCAGACTGCGAATAGCTTGATATCTAGCAACTTATACTGAGTTGGTTGAGCTGATTATCAGCTGATTGAGATACAGTGCCGCTATATGTCCGGGAACCATACACATCCTACCCCCTGGGTAGTTTATGATTGATTGGTGCAATGCCTTGACATAACCGTCTTAAGACGCAGATACCCTTCAATGGTGAGTGTTCCAACAGATCCCAGGGATCGCCTTCGGGATCGAAGAGAGGGTGTCAACATCCACCAGGAAGACACAAAGGCACAGCTGATGGACACGAATCCACTGTCTTGCGGGGACACAAAGTCTGAAGACGTGATCTATCAGGCTTAAGCATCAATGATAGGATCCGGTTCTGAAGACCTGCGAATCATCTAGCTAAAAATGTTTTGATATATATACGCAATGTCTGACGGTGAGAAATAGCTCATGCTCTTTGAAACTGTCACATTCAAAACATTCTGGCCGGATGTCAGACAATGTCTTCCCTTTTATTGGCTATCTATTCTGTGCCGGATCGGATGAAACAACGTGCTTCCCAGAATAGGTCATGATTCAAACGCAAATTGTTGAGAAGCATCTCAGGGTCAGGAACATTTGAGTAGATCGGATAGATCTACCGCTTGCGTTGGGCCGCGGTACCCAAAAATATCTTTTTGATAGTGGGGCCTCAAAAAATGTCATCACAAGTCAACACTCCCACTGGCAATAATAAACCAACCACAATGAAGAAAACCATACTAGAAATAGTCAAAGACTGTGACAAGTGAGTCTGCCTACACTATATCATTGAATTACCACTAACGAACCCAGCTTCCCCTACAACCAACCTGGCGAAACAGCCGCCTACGAACAACAGCTCTCTAAACTATGGAAATTCTTCCTCCCCAACGACCGCAGGCCCCACGGCTACCTCGTGGAGTCTGTCGTTGAACGCATGCCCTGGACAGAAGATTTCCATGTACTTCCCGCCCCGCACAAGGAAATCCATCTTCTCCCACAGGACCATGCTCGCGAGCAAGAAACCTGGACAGAGCGCTGCGAGCGCAGCCTCGATGCCCTTATCGCGCTCGCCAGAGCAAGAGGTGTCTTCCCCAGACTGGGCAAGCGACGGGATGAGCGGTTTCCCATCATCGGGGCCCGGTTCCCGGTGAGTATCGAGCGCTCGGCCATATCCCTGTTCGGGATTGTCGGGCGCGGTGTGCACATGACTGTGTACACAAGGACGAAGTCCGGGTTGAAGATCTGGGTGCCGCAGCGGAATCCGAAGAAGTCGACGTATCCGGGGATGCTAGATAATGCTGTCGCCGGGGTGTTGCGGCGGGTGAGATGCCGATGGAGTGTTTGATTCGCGAGGCGGAGGAGGAGGCAGGGATGGAGGAGAGCGTGGTCCGGAAGGCGCATGCTGCCGGCACGGTGACGTGGTTCAATATCAGTGATGACCGGGCAGGTGGCGAGCCAGGACTAATGAATCCTGGTTTGCTGTATGTTTATGATCTCGAGGTTGGCCCTGAGGTAATGCTTAAGCCAGTGGATGAGGAGGATGTTTGTGTGTTTCATCTAATGGATATGCGAGAGGTGCTGGATGCGATGGCAGAAGGGAGGTTCAAGCCCGCGAGTGCAAGTGTCATGGTCGACTTCTTTGTCCGACACGGCCTGATTACAGCGGAGGATGACGATGATTACCCAGAGATTGTTTCGAGGCTGCATAGATTGCTGCCTTTCGCTACAAGTCCTGGGGCTGGAAGGACATGACTCTTATAGAAGTAACCCCAGCAAAGATGTTTTCCCATGAGTGACGATTAATCTCCATGAGTAAGTGGGTTTACCAGGAATATTTACTCATAACTGTCTCAGTTATTGTTCCTAAACTTCTGTGCTTTCCTGAGCATAAAACTCTCAGGCTATCCCAAAAATTCTCCTTGCGCCAGAGAACTCCACGGCAAGTCTTCGTCCCAGCAACGTTGCATGAGCGTACGAGCATTTTGAATCTGCAACAAAAGTGTTAGTTATTGCGCTAAACTGAAATTCTTCGACCACGCACCTGCTTCAAGCCTGTCTTCTCCAAGTCCTTGACTCTCTCCATTATATCGGTCTGTTGTTGTAGATCTCGGGTTTCGCAACCAGCGGTAAAAAGTGGAAACAATGCTCCGACTTCGGCCGATGCGCCGGGTTCAAGTTGCCCCAGTGCTTCGAATAAACCGTCCAGAGCCTCTAATACGGGAGCGGATGCTGATGGACTGCAGAGCACGCGACGGTGAAGGTGAACCAGCCCAGCGCATCGGAATGATCGATCGATCGCCGACATGTCCGCAGACACAGGTTCCTGGTGATGTCGGCTGTTGATCCGTGCCATATTATCGGCTACCTGGAAATCCGCAAGCAATGATTCGGCTTCAACAACGATATCCAGAGAAGGCCTCTGGTCAGGATCAACACTAATCAGACTAGCAACGCGGGTTCTCTCGCACTGGTGGACTAGTTTGGCCAAGCGTGACAGCAACAATGCAGTCTTTGTCGTGTATCCGGTGAAGCAGTCGATAAAGAAATCGTCATTTGCCGGAGGAGTAGAGCATGCACTAACAATTGACTGATACAGAATCAGAGGAGGTTCATTGTCTCGGCAGGAGAGAGATCCCAGGATATCAATATATTCCAGCCAGCGTGAAAGAAACGATCCGACTCGATTCCCAGGATATGCCATCTGCACTCCGCGTGCAAGGTAAAGGTCGCGAGCGAGCTTCAGGTGGCTCTGCCACGGAATGGGTACTTCAAATGTGCTTGGCGAAATGATCTTCAAAGACAGGAGCATAATGGCGGCAGCAAGATGATTGTCCGTGATGTTCTGGTCTGGGTCCTCGAGTGCTATTCGCAGGGTCGGAAAGACATTGCTGACCCAGTGTGCTATCCGGTTGGCGGGTTCAGGGTGGTTCAAGTACCTGGCTCGGTGACTGGCGGAATACGCTAGCATCAGGTTTAAGATATTGGAATCCCCAATGGCCACTATCTGTTGTCAGACATATCACAAATAACGAGATTGAAAGCAGCATACTTGACGGTAAAACGGTGATGAAGGGGTTGTTCCCACAATCATGCGCAACCAGCATTTTTGCTGTATGGTTGAGAAAATGGTGAAAGTACATCAAGTTGATGGGTGTTTCTACCAAGGCCGAAGGCAATGGTGACAGGTACCGAGGAATGTTGATGGGAACTGGGGACGCATAATACCCGCGTCCAACACTATTTGCAAGCCCATGGTCGGCAGATGCTGATTCGAAAGTAGTCCGAGTTTGGCGTTCCGGATTGACCAGGTCCAAAGCGTAATTGATGTCGATAGCCGAATGATCGTCCATTTGGTTCAAATCCAAGTCGAGACGGCCATGGTCGAGGCCGTAATTATCAGTCACACTAGTCAAGTAGGCAGACCACTTCTGTTCCGAGGATGAACGCTCGGAGGGCTGGTATATATCACGCTGACAAATGCCTTCAGCATCACGTCGCAAGCTGTACATGTAGTCTTCAGAGGCAATGGGACCATTCATGACCTTGGTAAAATAAGTCTCTGTAGGAGCGGAGCCGGGAGTTTTCATGCTAGTCTCGGTTCGTACTGCACTAGGAGAATCTATATCGACAACATCTGAATGTGCGAATGAGTATCGGTGGCGCGGAGATGGTATCCCTGCCTGACGGTCGTCATTGTTGTCAAAGGGAAAACCATTACGCGATCCACTTGAGACTGAATTCCGCTCTCCTCGGTTCCCTGTCTGACGCGGATGCACTATCGAAGGACGCATGAAGGGATGGGTCTCCATGGCGGACTCTCGTATGAACGAGAGCGGTGATGATAGAATGGAGGACTGCGGGAAGTTTAGGGTAGCAAGAGACCCGATGCTCAAGCTTGCATCTGGGTAGGCAACGTCTTCAGAAGGGTGAAGGGTTGAGGACGTGAAGGACGAACGCGTCTCCTGTGGCATTGTCATCATTTGCGACGACGTATCAGGCCGTGAGTTGATCGCATCTTTCATTTGTGATGACGTTACTCCTACTGAAGTTCTATCGCTCATATATGGGAAGCTATTGCCCAAATGATCTGAATAAGCAGAAGAGGTCAGAATCTCAAGGCCATTCCCAAGCTCCCTAGAGCACGATGTCTTCGCTGCCAGAGATGATCCACAAGCGGTAGCCAAAATTGTGTTGTGTGGAGTCAACTCCTGTGGACTGCCCTCTCCTTGGCCTGATCCAAGGGAATCCACCTGTGCGAAATCCGAAGGCAGCACGGCCAAAGAGAGAAGATGAGCAGAGTGACCACTAGACTCAGAACTTGGGGAGCTAACGGAGGACTTCCGCCTTGTTCTACCCTCCCAGTTCAGCCTGATACTATAGTCACAATTCTCATTCTGACGGCGGCAGTTGAGACAAGACGGCTTCTCTTCGTCACTAAAATCATTGTCAGATAGAGAATTCCGATGATGTGGAGCAGAGGTAAAGTAGGAGGAAATAGAAACATACCATTTGACTTTCCGCGCCTTACAAGGCCTAGATCCCTGTTCATTAAGCAAGTGACAAAACAAAAACTTGGTGCGACTGAGACTGCCTACCAACAACCCTTCCGGGATCTTCGTTTTGGCTCAGGTGCACCGGGCCTTCTAGGACGAGGCATTGCACTTCAAGTGCGACTTGAGTGATTCGGCTGAGTGCAAAGATCCGACGAAAAATAGCAGTAGCGACTGGATGAATCGATAGCTCGTACTCTGTAAAGTTTGGCCGCCATACGGACACGATAGGACCTCAAGACACCTGGAGAATGACAATCGGTGACTTTTTCCGTCGTGGGTATCTTTTTGTCCAGCTGGATAGGTAGCGATAATCTGTAAGACACCCCGCGCCTGGTGTTCGTACTCATCGAGCCGTGGAATTTGATAGACGAACTAACGCTGTTCATACCACAGTCAGCCAAGCTTGACAAGGCCTGCAGTGGGTAGCGGAAGCACCAGTTGGCGACACTGAGGAGAAGATTGCTGGAAGGAGAGAACAAGAGATGAGATGAAACCGAAAGACGACAAGGAAAAGCGGAGAAGTTGGGCCAGTGGGTAATACTGAACGGTAGATAGAGATGCAGAATCACAGATAAAACCCAAAATAATCAATCCCCTTCGCCATTGCTCGTTCGACACGTCTGTTATCGGCACTTTCGATCAATCGTGTCCCGCTTTCCGAGTTTCGAATGTGGAGAAAACGATAACCAGAGCTGATAATGGCTGAACTAGACTGTTAACTGCTAAGCTGATCCAAAGCAACTGATAACCCAGTCATATTATTAGCCAGCATCTCCGGGCAGCTATGGCTAGTGATCAATCCGGTTAGCATCGGTGCCAGTCGGATGTCTGGGGGACAAGGGGTCTGATGACGCAGGTCGATCTAGTCAGCGTCATCAGCTGTTGTTCTGCTGACTTTGCCAAACCAGAACCGTATCTTTAACCTACGTTTACCTTACCTTTAGACATCTTCGATTTATAGAATTCGGTCCTGAAACGTAATTTTTTTAATCATGGCCTCCTCCCTGGTTGGGAAACATCCTGTCCAACGGATGTCCAGCCCTTCCCGGGGATTCTCTGCCTTGGTCCACGTGAGCTTGTGCCCGTTTGGATGTTGTTCCCTTGGGTGTTTGTTCCATGGCTGACGTTGCTCAAGTTAATCGGTTTAGCCAGCTTTATCGGCTCGTTCAAATTGTGGGTGACCCGGGGTTTCTTTTATATATCTTCATGATGATGATGATAGGGATCTGTATCTGGGGTGGTTATTGGACTAACTTAATACCTCAGTATGCACGAGAATCCTAATCGCGCGTAAGCTTTTCCAATGCCACAGCCTCGGAATTCCCGCATATTAATACCTCAATTGCTCGGCAGTAACGAAGCATATGGTTGGCATTTTCAGTATCTAACCGTTATCGGTCTTGCCTTATCGACTCTCACTTTTGCTGTCGCGCTGTTGGCGGACCTGACCCTGTCCGCCCGGCTATTCCTCGTTAAGAACCTCTTCTCGATATGTAGCGCTCCGATGGAGGTACTTATCAGTGTTTTATACTGGAGTCTTCGCATGGTGGGTAGTCGAGCACCCTTATACCCACAGTTCCGCTCCTGACGAAGGCTATAAGATCGACGAGCGCTTAGTGGTTCCGGACTGGGCTTATATACCAATGCATGCTGGCAAGTTCTCAAGCTGGTCTCTTGTTCAGAAGGATCCTTGAGCTAATATCATATCGTTCTGCAGATATTAGTTTTCACGCCGTACCAGCCATTGTGTTATTGATCGATCTCCTACTTCTTTCCCCTCCATGGACAATCAGTATCGTACCAGCCCTTGGTCTATCAAGCACAATCGCGTTTGGTTACTGGATTTGGATCGAGCGATGCTACAAGTACAACGGATGGTGCGCTGGATACTTATCTCAGTCATTAGCAGTCGGTTACTAACAATGACAGGTACCCGTATCCGATCTTTGAGCAGGTGCCCTTCGAAGGCCGCGTGGGTCTTTTCGTGATGAGCGCCATTGTCATGGCGCTGAGCACTGCAACCCTGAAATGGCTATACGGACGGGTCAATGGCTTCGGGACGGCCTCAAAACCCAAGGCTCGTCCTGGTGCTCTGAAACAGAATGGTGCTTCGAAGCAAAATGGCGGTCTTTAAAAGCTAAGATGCCGTCTGCGCGTTTCCTGGGCCTCGGTATACGACGGCTTGCATAGATGTCAGAGTTCCTCTTTGAATTCAGTTGTATCTACTTTCTTCTCCCGGGAGCTCTAAAGATTGCTCCACCAAAGCGCGCATATACAGACGTCTAGGTAGACGTTGGATCACTTAGATTATATCATTAGAAGAGGTCCAATAATATATGAATGATTCCATCCAACAATGGGAGTATCAGCAAGTAGTTCTAGGATATAGCTCGTAAAGTTTCCCAATCAAAGACGCCCACTCATCGCGGAGACGTTCATCACCTAGAGCATATGTGGTACAAGATACTTCGATAAGAATTGAGGAATCAGGCGATGGCCTGGATGCGGTCGCGAGAGCAGTTATAGGTGTATTTTGTAAGTGGAATATACGCCGTACGATCTGTGCTAGCATCCTAGTAATCATGTATTCTCTCGTAAAAACATGGCCGTTTTCTAGTATTTTCTATTCTCCTTTTGCAGCAAATATTTAAGGGTCTGAACCGACGATCCACCAGTGACCTCACCGTCAAAAGGCTATGTGCGCCCATCTGCTTACATAACCAGGCATAGCTTCTTCCGCTTGTTTGCTGCACCTCTTCAACAATCAAGTAGTGTTCGCGACCACAACACTCCATACATCCACAACTCTTAACATGCACCTCACCTCGATGAACGGCACATTGCGTACGGCCGCCCTCAGTGGCCGGTTTGCCCTGGCCTCTCCTTCCCCTTTACCCACCGCCACGCCGCTATTTCAATGCTGCCAGAAGATGTCGCTCAGAACACAGGCAAGGCCAGCCAGCACATCAACCACACGCATCCCCTTAAAGCCATCGCCTCGTCCTCGGACAAGCTCCATGTGTCTCTCTCCCATTCTCCGCAATACTGCTTTTCGCCTTAACTCGACCGCCGCAAACGCATCCCGCGCCGAAGCCTCCAAACTCGATTGGAATTCCTTCTTCAAACTCCGCGCATCTCGACGCAGATACACCCTCGCCTCGTCGATAATCGCCTCGATGGCCAGTACAATTATTGGAGTACAGGTTCTTTCCGAACAGGATCTCGAGTCCCTCGGTGCGCAGGTGATGGGCTTGGATCCCTTCATTGTCCTGGGGTTGGCGACCGCTGCCTGCGGTGCGGTCGGTTGGCTCGCGGGTCCCTTTTTGGGCAATGCCGTCTGGAGGCTGGTCTATCGCAAATATAAGCCAGCTTTCTTAATTGTGAGTTCTTGATGTGATATGTTTTATGGGACTCTTGCCGGTTTTGCGCGACGTTAACAGATGGACAGAGAGAGAAGGAGTTCTATGACAGAATCAAGCGGTTCCGTGTCGATCCCTCGTCTAACTCGATTGCCAATCCGGTGCCGGATTACTATGGTGAGAAGATTGGTAGTGTCCAAGGTTACCGGCAGTGGTTGAAGGATCAGAGGGCCTACAACCGCAAGAGACGCAGTTTCATCATCTGATGTTATAAATCAACTCTAGCATGTCCCTCTCTTCGATATGGCAATTTCACTGGATTCTAGTCTCTCGATGTGCTTCCATCCTCATTTAAGCTCCATTGGCTTTGCGTGGAGTTGTCTACATCAGTCTTTGAGCGATCGGCATGAGTTTCTTTTCCACGGTGATCTGCTTCCTCTACAGAGGCTACCTATCGGCAAGAGCATTTCATCTCTGTCCTGTAAAATATACGCTATTGAAATTCATATCTGCTTCCTAAAAGTACCCTGTTCTTGATCAATGTAAGGTCTGCTCACGAGACACAGATCAATTACGACCAGCAGGCGGCGTCTGTTCACAACTTAGATGACTCCTTGGCAGCTCTTGCTGGTGGGTCGATGCTCGCCTCCGACCACCACGGGTAGTTGGCAGGCCCATCGTTCTCGAAAGTTGCCTTGAAGTTTGGCTTGCGCTTCTCGAAAAAGGCTGTAACGCCCTCTTTCTGGTCCCTGTCCAATGATGAGCATGGAGATTCAAATACGACGGTTGTTACTCACTTAGCCCCAAACATATGGTACAAGATCCCCGACTCGAGCAGATGCGCTTCTTCGGGGGACTCAGGTCCGCGCCACACTAACGCCCGATTTAGCGCAGATGCCATTGGGCTGACGTTCTCGGCGATTTCGGCCGCTAACTCCAGAGCTCGTGGAAGGATCTGGGTTCGCTCTGGTAGAGTCTCCGCGAACAACCCATCAAAGTGTTTTGAAGTGGGCGGGTAGATACCCCCTGTTGAGACGAGGAACATCGCCCGAGAGTATCCGATCAGGCGGGGGAGGAAGTACGAAGAGCAAGACTCCATGGTGATTCCTCTTCGGGCAAAGACGAAGCCGTATTTACTCGATTCATGGGCAACCCTGCCTTCACTTTAGTTCCCACTGCTTCAGAGACCCGAAATAGATGTGCTACCTTATCGCAGCCGGAAGAGTCATGGTCATGCCAACCCCAACAGCAGAACCCTGCATAGCAGCAATCGTAGGCTTCCGACATCTGTGGATCGCCAGAGCGACTCGGCCACCACTAGTGGCGCAGGTCAATATTTGAACCTCTCGCCTCAACGGCACAGAACCAACCTATCCCGGTGATCCGCTGTCCTCTCTCGTTCGCGCCCACCGCTGAACCCAATTTCCAAGTCCGCGCCGGCACAGAAGGTCTTCCCCGCACCGGTCAGCACGACTACCTTTACGCGTTCGTCGAGGTCGAACATGCCAAAGACGCGTTCCAGATTCTCGGCCATGACCTGTGTAAAGGCATTGTGCTTGTCGGGGCGGTTCAAAGTGACGATCACGACTGGGGTTACGGTCGGGGAGCCGGCCGGGTGGTGGAACACCTTAATGTGGGTTGTTTGGAGGCTTTCGTAAGACGTTGGAATGGCGATTGGGAGAGGATTGGGATACATTTTGGGGTATATATTATGATGGGAGTAGGTGATTAGGCTGCGCGGTGAAGGTTTCCTCAAGGTACTGCATACTCGATTTTATATGCACTAAATCCTCCGGCCCGTATCGGTAATCGTGAGCTGACTTGATGATATAATCTCGACATGAGATTCTGATGATGCTATCCCCAAGCAAGGGATGGACAAGCTGCCTCGGTAATCCGCCTGCGATATGCCGTCCACTAGGTTGCCCCGCAAGGAATGTGGAGAAACGGGTCTCGGCTGGACGATCCAAGATCCAGATCGTCTCTGAAATGATTTATGCCTTTTTCATTCTATCGATGACATGGCATATGTTTTCATAGAGAAAGAGAGAAAGTATAATAACAATTCTTACTATCATCATCTAGTATGGTGGGAAAGGGCAGAAAGATCCAGCAGCAGCCATCTGATTCACATGGTAAGGGCTGATTACCAAGGCATCACGGCTCGTCCAGCCATTGCGTAAACCAGTTGACAGCAGCGTTCTTTCCTCGAGTCATTGCCTCACGCTCCCCGGCCCTGTTGCTATTACCGCGAGTCAAACAGCCATGCTCCACCCTGGGATAATGTTGATAATCGAACGGCACACCGAGCCTCGGAAGCGTGTCGAACGTATATCTCTTGAGCTCGGCAGTGTAGACCTGGTCGTGTTCCGGGGCAAGAATCTGCACTGGAACTGCAACCTCGTTGATGTCCTTTTTTGTCAGAAGCGACGGATGCCCGACCATAATGCAGTCAACGAGCGGAGGCTGGTGTTCTTCTGCGCCTAGGCGGAAAGCAGCCCATCCTCCGTAGCAGAACCCCGCAACGCCGACTTTCTTGTACTTCTCCCGTAGAGCCCTAGCACAATCGAAGATCTCCGGCTCTCGTATCTCCCGGGAATTCCTCCCCACGAAACCGGGGACATCGAGCTTCTCCCACTCGCCCTTCAGAACCGGCTCCAAAGGCAAGACTTCGCCGCCGAAGAAATCGGGGATGTAGACGGTTGCGTTGGCCTCACGGGCATAGTGATCTGCTAGCAAGCGCACGTTTGGAAAAGTCCAGCCCAGAAGATCGTGGATGATGATGATGGCGACGTCCGGGTTGTCCCCCACTATGTAGACGTCGTTGTTGACGAGCTTTGCGGTTCTCCCCGAGGGAGTATCCTCCCATTCGAATCCTTTCAGGCAACAAGACGAGACGGACATACTTTCTGATATCACTTTTGTTCGGCTTGAGAATAGCATACCACTTGAGTCGGCCCCTGTGTAAGAGTATGGGTAAGCAGCCCACGTGGGGCCAATGTTAAGTGCTGCCTGTTAATGACAAGGTATCTAAATATCAAATAATGATAGCACGACTGCTGACATATAATCTTACAAGGCAGTACCTAGGCGATCTCGCCTCAGTCTGTTCTGATTGAGCATGTTTTCCAGTTTCTCTGAGCATCGTATCAACCAGTCAGTGAAGTTGATATAAGGTTATGATTGATGACATTAATACGTGACTGCAAAGTCTCAGGGGCAAGGTCCTCCGATTCATTTATTAGGCGATGCTTCTGTATATTTCTATAACTACTAGCTACAATAATGATACTGGATATTGGACAATTGCCACCAAAGCAGCCGAGTCAACTGGCAAAGCATCACTGAAGCAGCCCCTGACCGTCCCTGAACCAGATTGGCTGCTGGTCCCGAAATGTTATCGTCGAGAACTTGGGCCCGTGGCTCGGGCACTCCACACAACCAATCAATCAGACATAAACAGTGGAAGTTAGGCCCTCTTGGCTTTTCAGCCTGCACCATGAATTGCTCCATATGTGGGTGATCCTATACCCTGTTAGGCTCAAGGGTCTCAGGGTATTTTTGCATCTAATTTCTCCTGCTCCTGTCACAGGGTGGAAACCTGTCTGACTCTGACTCCTCGTGTTCCCCAGATCAAGTCACTTTCCTCAACAAACCCCTGCTTTCATCATGTGTGTGACGAGATGCTCCTCTTTAACAAAATCCAGAGGCGTCTCCTAGTCTATTTCGCGGTTTTCTATGTTCTTCTTCTTATCTTTTGCCATTTCAACTCCGCGCGCGACCCTGGTTCATACTTTTTCCGACCAGAGGAAGGCTATCGGCCGCATTACAGTGTCAGGAGAATTCTAGAGTCGCGGCACTTCATATCTCGGTTCAATCAGTCAATCCCCCAACCAAAACAATCGCTTCAAAATGTCACTTCAGGAGGACACGATCCAACAATTTGTGCGGGGATCGTTACCGTAAAGCGCCCTATACAGCAAAATCTCGATACGGCCGTTGGCTCGCTACTCGATGGTTTATCGCGGGAGCAGCGCGCAAATATCGTGGTCCATGTGCTCTTTGCGCTCAGCAATCCTTCCGATCATCCAGATTATCAACAACCATGGGCCTCAAATGTCATCGATCGCATCCTTACTTACAAGAACTCGGGCGCTGATGTTGACAAAATGGAACGATGGGAGAGAGAGAATATGATAAAAGACAAATCTCTTATCGATTATCAGCTCTCTCTGAGATCCTGTTACGAGGGCACGAAGGCGCCTTGGATTTTACTGCTAGAGGACGACGTGGTGGCACAAAGGGAGTGGTACCGTCATACCATGAGAAGTCTGGAGACAATCAAGCACTGGAGGTCGCACGGGAAGATCAGGGACTGGCTATACTTGCGTCTCTTCTACACAGAGAAATTTCTGGGTTGGAATACGGAGGAATGGCCCACTTATCTTATCTCAAGCCTTGCGGTTATCTCACTCGTGGCACTGGCAGGTGTCTGTGCGCGGCGACGGTCACGGCCTATGCAAGGGATATTGACGAACTCATTCCTTGCGGTAGTCTGTCTACTCTGTGTTCCTTTACTTATCGCCCTATATTTCCTGGCAGGCCGTGCGACAGTGCAGCCCATGCGGCCCGGCGTCCATCTCATGAACAGCCACGGATGTTGCTCGCAAGCACTTCTATTTCCTCGAGAGAAAGCGCCCTTGCTGATCGACCATCTGGAGAAACTGCAAAGGACAAGACCGGAGCCCGTGGACAGTGCCATTGAGATTTTGGCCGACCAGGAAGAGTTGGACCGTTGGACCATGTCGCCGTCGCAAATGCAACATGTTGGTGCAGCTTCGTACAAGGAAAATCGCAAGTCATATGGGTTGGATGGGCCTTTTACCGTCCAAGGCGCTCACGGCGTGTGGAGTATGAGCTTCGAAAAGGCGTATCAGCCGCCGTTTGATCCGGATGCTTCTTGAATGAAACCAAAATTTCTCGAGCTTGTCATCGGAGTGGTTGAGGCAGGTTGACAGTTGACACTTGTCACCGTCTGCTCCTTGTCCTCAGTATCCTAGCGGACTCACATATACCTAGCGCTCTTGAGGAGTTACTCCGGATATCTCCAGTCACGGCTGTGACTCACGCTGCTAAGCCTTAACAGTATCACTTTCACCTGTGCAGCAGTGCATCAAGGTAACCGTTCTGTGCAATCATCGGGACTGTTCGCTGGATGGCCTCGATGGACCGTTTGGTCATATTGACACGGATGCAAAGTTCATAACTGGTTCACCATCACTAACGAGCAACCCTACTGGACGGAAAGGCTTCCATCTAAGAGGTGTTGTTTCTGTATCATGATAATGCCACTTTTCTATAGGATCTCAATGTGGTCATTATGAAGATAATCCCCAGCCGCAGTCTCATAGGAAAATAAATATAACAATACTACTGCGGTATCCTCAGAAAGTAGATGTGTTAAGGATTAGTAAGTCAACCAGCAGCCTTGGAGGCTACCTACCTATGTACCTATGTATAGGGATGATCACAACTTATGCATGTATTAGTTTACGGTTTGCTGGAATGGGCATTACGGAGTTAAATTTGTAAATACCGCTTACCGCCAATACTGGTAATTAATTTATGCGTCTGATGGTGTAGGAGAGATAATCTGAAGCGTTGCATTGCAGTTAAATAAATGCAGTCATCTTGACCCCAGCCTATAAATATGCTTACCTATACTTGGCATGTTGCCACTGCCTTCGTAAGCCCCCAAGCAGTTCAAAGCAATGGATGATCATCTCCAGCCTTGCATAATTAAGGTATTATTCAGTCCGGATAAATGGCGAGGCATCCATACATGTAGGTTATTTTTAGAATGCAGGGGACTGGAGAATGCTCTTACCATTCATATACCAGCAATGTTCTTCCAAATTCAATCTAGTACTGTATCTGTCGATGAACAAATGAAGCATAATTAAAATACATATTTCCATCGAGGCTATGAGACCCACAGCCCCAGCTTGACTATATATTATTCGATGCTCACCCTCCACCATTTTGTATATCCCAGTCTCACCCGTATCAACCCTTGTAGTACGACAGCCTTAGGTTGCACAATCCTAGATGTGCTACATGCCAGATCCATAGCAACATTTTCATACGAAGGTGGACAAGACTGCAGATCCCGTCTACTTAAAGCTGACTACTCCTGCCCCGCATATTGTAACCCAGAATCCGTAGACGCAGATGTGACCATGTCAGCCGTCCCAGCACGTTCCAAACCAGACTGATTATCGTTGGGCTTATCCAAGTTCCAGCTGTCACGGTATGAATTCAAGCCTTCCACTTAAATAACTTGCAGGAGGGGCGAAGTTCACGTTGTTTGCGCAAGTCCTCGGCTCTACGCGGTCGATCTTCCAGCAGCCGGAGAAATTTGCTTCTCAGCTTCGCTCTGGTAGATTCGTCTGCTTGCTACTTCAGACCAGAATGGCAGGGTCAGCGCCAGGGGTAGATCCAACCAAAACTCCCCTTGTCCCTGCACCTGCCGGGCAGCAGTCGAACTTCGTCAATCCGGTCAGCCATGTCAATGAATACTACATCATCGCAGGCATCTGTACTGCGTTGATGACTTTTCTTGTTTTTGTGAGGCTGTATATCCGGTTCTTAGTTACTCGTACGCCGTGGTGGGATGACTGTAAGGCTCTCTCTACCGGAATGTGGGATGATTTGCTGATATGGTATAGTGACTGCTGTGATTGCGCTGGTATGAACGAGAAGACAATAAATCTTTCCACCGTCTGAAGCTCACAAGTGTACGACTCAGCTCTCTCAATTCGCATACACAGGCGTAATTATCAAAGGTTATTCAACATCTCCACCACCAATCGCAACATCAATCCTAACATGGATATCTAACAGAGGGATCCCTCGGGCTCGGACGACATGCGTGGGAGGTCACGCTGGCCAACTTCGCTGAATTCGATAAAGTGAGTCGACCCCACTGGCGCAAAGAGCTACTGTCCATCAAGCTGACGGGTCATAGTATGCGAGACCCCTCACCGCGCCAGCGATCTACTTCACGAAGCTGACCCTGCTCCTGCTATACCTGCGCCTCTTCTTGCTGAATCGCCCCGTGAAGATCGGTATCTGGGGAGGTATCGTGTTCTGCACGATCTACTACACCGCTGCATTCTTCCTCAACCTCTTCTTAAAAGACCTGCACGCGCTCTCGAAATTGGCGTACAGCGTAGGTGTTGTCGGTGTTGTCAGCGACGTATACATCATCACACTTCCGTTGCTGGCTATTGCGCAGCTGCGTCTGAGCAGGGCCAAGAAGTGGCGCGTTGCTGCTGTATTCCTTACGGGACTTTTGTGAGATCCATCCTCGTCTCATGATGGATTGGCTAAGTTAATTGTCGCATAGAAGTGTGGTGATGAGTTTTTTGGGCTGCATATACCGCTTCCAAGTCAACATCGTGGACATTACTTACTCCCTCCTGCCGATCTACATCGTCAAGTACGTCTCCCTCCCGCTCCTTAACTCCCTATTTATCCTAACCCTACCCTCCAAAACCAGCACCTTGGAAGTTGACATCGGCATAATATGCACCTGCCTCCCTCTCCTCGGCGCACTCTTCAAAGAAAACACGAAGGAATCCCGGCGGCCGACCAGCTCGCGATCCATCCACATCCGTCTCTCTCCCTCACGCTCGCGATTTCCACACAGCGTGGACAAGAAACATCAGAATCACAGTTCTGATAATATCGAGCTTCTTCCGCAGACCTCTGCCTCAGGTGCGGTTCCGGAGACTAATATTGTGTCGCCGCCATCTAGTCCACCGAATGCGATTTGGCGCAAAACGACGATTGAACAGAAGTGGGGAGAGTCTTGCTGTTAGGGATGTTAGGAGTAAGGTGTAGTTATCTAGTTATAGTATGATCCTCGGTCTGACATCGTCTAGAATCTACCTTGATAGTCAGTCCTGCAGACTCGCACATCTTACCAGTTATTGATGGAGTAAGCAGGAACCGCCTCCTGATCACTCACTAAGAGGCTACATGCAGCCTGACAATACATATGATCTCATCCTTATTTGGTTGGCTTAGTCTATTATCTGAGCCATTATCTGCGAAAGAGTCTTGTGTTGCGGTTTAGATGGGCCGCCCCAGCCAAACTCCCCACCTGACAATATCTTCAACCCGGATCGGCCTGCGTGCCTGGTGTGCCGCAGCAATGAATCAGCGGGCCCACACCCGTACCATCCATACATCCAGCAGACTACCTACCTTATTTGTACAGAAGGCATACATTATTGGCATTGTACCATGATTGCATATCCATACTGTGTCCTATGAATAGAAATAGTGAAGAGTATATAGTACAGGAATGACAAAGGAAATTCGCAAACGCAAAGGGGAATAGATGGCTTGCCTAGGTATGAAGAAAGAATGAGAATAGAATAGAATAGAATAGAATAGAATAGAATAGAATAGAATATAATATAATAGCTAAGGATACCTTAGCTTAATGACTTAATTCCTTGATTAATTTCAAACTAGCTATAGGGTGATTGTAAGGGTGTATTTATAGATGATTCCTTCTTGCATAGGCCATTTGAATATCACATGACTCATAGCTAGGTGACCTCATAGATTAGATCACTCTTTGCTAATGGTTGAAATCAATGATGATCCATAGCTATTAGATTCATGGTTATATTCCATGATTCAACCATAGTCGGACAAGAGTCCTTGTGTTACTAGGTTATTCGTACAGTGCTCAGAACGGAACTCTATGCTGTTGTATTTCCTTCGGCAATTACTCATACAGGAAAGTCCCGAGATCCTTCGACTCGTTTCTACCCCCGTAGTCTGTACGAAAATCCATTTCAAGTCGGTCCGCTGGGAAAGGTCCCTCTAGTCAGTTCCCGGGGGGGAAGTCGTGTTCTAATGGAGGTTCTCTGGCCTTCCTCATATTTTTGAGAACGCTGTGTCGGAAGTGCCAGCGAAAGAGGTGGTCTGAGACGCGGTTTGGGTTGGCCGGGTCTCGACACACAGGATCGAGTGTTCTTCCATCCACTTCGAAGGAATCAGCAATAAAAGAGACGATCTTATAGTTGTCATATGGATAGATTAGCAAAGCATATTTATTACATATGCCGTAGGTAAGAAAATCACTTTCATCATGGTTCACTGTGGCGTAGGTGTCAAATAATTGATGTATGTGTGCCAAAAGGAGAAGCCCATTCTGATTGGAGTCGATAGGCGCAGAATGGCACCCAGAGTCTGGATTTGTGATCCATCGGCTCAAATTATGTTCGATTCAGTAGCTCTTCTTTCTCCACAGGGAATATACGGGCCGCCTCGAAGCTTGTTCAGTCATCCACACGAGCAGCAAGGTTAACAGTCCCAGTGACGACGCACTTTCCATCCCTAGCCCTCACGCCTCCGTCGAAATCCGTCTCGCGGCCACCAACACGGTACGGAGGGAGTCGGCGCACGACCGGCTCATCACTAAGTTTGATAGAGTCTAACCAAGTTAGCTGGGTTTACCTTTTCAATTATTCGACTACCATTACACCTACAGCCATCAGGAGCATAGATATCCTAATCTCCGGGTGTCAGGCGTTGGCTAGTTCGTGAGAGAGTTTGCCCGGACCTCGCCCTGGTCGTAAATGTTTGCGGTCCAATGAGCGGGTGTGGTACTAACACCATGTTAAGCATGCTGATGAAGTTGCCTTGGGTAACTGAGCCATTTTGAAACGGTCCACCTAGCATGTCACCTGTTGAACCGTCGAAAAAGTGGACATTTCGCCAATCCAGGGTAACCGACTGATCCTCCGACATCATGGCTGGCGATTCCAAGAGAGCGTTCCGAACACATTGTGGTTCTTACTACTCAGATGCAACGTTCCTCTAGGAACTCTCTCCTCCACAAGGACAGGTCGATTAAGGAGATGACCGGAATGTGGCAGTTCTCTATGGGTCAAAGGAACATAATAAGTCGAGGCGTAAGTAAGCAAACTTAGAAGCAGGCGCACCTGTTCAATGCTGTCGAGCGCATTTATGACGTCCGATAAAGCCATAGCCATATCTGCATGAAGTCTAACGGTCACTTAGAGCATATTAGGTCATATGTAAGTCACCACATTCAGGGTAGTAGATATATCCGCCGAGGGGTTAGAAAAAAGTTACCTGAGCCCATGCAGGCTAAGTTGTTAATATGCCTAGTATTAACTGTACTCTATGTCCTAATATACACCCTGTTGGATATTCTTGGAGATAGTGAATACCAGCAGATGAACATAAAAAAAGATGTTGTGGCCCTTCTATACACAGAGATCTGCTGTACGGAAAATATTAGCTATCTGATGTGGGGCACTGAATCAGCGTTTTTACCTTGGCTTCTTTAGTGCTGAACTTTAACATGGGCATTGCCATACTGGGTCCAGTTATACGCATAAGAAGGGTTTCAAGGCATAGTTATGAACTTATACGCTTATGCTTCATATTCGGATTACTACCTATCCTGTAGCAGTTCTCCTTATAAGGTGACTGCACATCCCCTTAAACTCCCATGGCAAGAGTCAAGTTGTTTTCCCTGCCATTCGTAGGCGTTTTATTCTACTCCCCACCTTCCCTTCTCTTCAATCAGTTTTGGCCAAGGGCTTTTCTCATTTTGGATAACATCTGCGTCGACTTCTGATTGTAACTCTCTTCTATACTCTGCCTCATCCCTTTTGTACGACCTAGGCCCTGGCTTCATGGAAATGGAAGATCTGGAAAAGCACCGATTGTCCAGCCTTTCCACAACCGAGTATGCAAAGAAATCCACACCATCACTCCAGGAAGACCATACACCTGCCCACGAAGCAGTCAGCTTGTGGGACGGCGAGACCAAACGCTTCCCAGAAACAGACCTCCATCGTGGGATTGTCGGATGGGACGGACAAGATGACCCTGCGAATCCCCAGAATTTCTCCGCGGGCCAAAAATGGGGTCTACTGGCACTCATGAGCTCTATCACCTTTCTTTCACCACTTGCGTCGAGCATGTTCGCCCCGCCGCTAGCTATGTGGCTGTTGACCTGGGTGTCACCAATGAGACGTTACTTTCCTTCAGCGTTACAATCTTTCTATTGGGCTACACGGTGAGAATCCGTCTGATTTACTGGCTGAGGAGCACACAGAATAGGAGACTAACGAGAAAGTCATAGTTCGGTCCCCTGATTCTCGCACCCTTGAGCGAGATTTATGGCCGAAGGATAGTGCTCAGCTGCGCCAATTGGTTCTTCGTCGTCTGGCTAATCGGATGTGCCCTGGCTCCCAACATTGAGTCTCTCATTGTGTTTCGGCTCTTATCCGGAATAGGCGGTTGCGGCTGCATTACCATCGGGGCAGGTCTCGTTGCTGATCTGTTCCCTGTCGAGCAACGCGGGATGGCAACATCGATCTGGAGCTTGGGTCCGCTGATCGGCCCTGTCGCCGGGCCTATCTGTGCTGGTTTCATAGGTGAAGCAATCGGCTGGCGCTGGATCTTTTGGATTCTACTGATTGCAAGCGGAGTCATCTCATTCGGAATCGAGTGTCTGAACCGTGAAACGTATGCTCCCGTGCTTATACGGTGGAAGACAGCCAAACTGGCCAAAGAGCTGGGTCGTACAGATTTGCGCAGTGCATACGAACCTGACAGCCAAGGCGTATCGGTGGCATCGACCCTGAAGTTGGGCCTTATGCGACCTTTGCAGCTATTCTTCAAGTCTCCCATCGTTTCTCTGCTTTCGATCTACATGTCTCTCACCTACGCCTTGTTATATCTCTTTTTCACCACCATACCCGCAGTTTTCCAAATGCAATACGGGTTCAGTACGGGCCTCTCCGGACTCGCCTACCTAGGCATTGGCATTGGTTTCTTCATCGGCGTCGCACTCATCGCTTTCACAAACGACAAGATCTTGATGAGAATGACAGCAAAGAACGGAGGCAAGTCCGAGCCAGAGATGCGCTTACCCACCATGATCTTCTTTTCCTGCCTCTTGCCCGTGAGCTTCTTCTGGTACGGATGGTCGGCAGCCAAGCAGGTGCATTGGATCGTGCCTATCATCGGCATGTGCCCGTTTGGCATCTCGCTGATGGGCTTGTTCATGCCAATCCAGACGTATACCATTGATTGCTATCCTGCGTATGCGGCTTCCGCGAATGCCATCTTGACTGCTACACGATCATTGGTGGGTGCGTTGGTACCCCTTGCCGGGCCTAGTATGTTTAAAAGTCTAGGCCTGGGCTGGGGCAATTCGTTGCTGGGATTTATTGCTCTAGCTTTTGTGCCGATCCCCATCCTCTTCACCAGATATGGCAAGGCTATTCGGGAAAAGTATCCGGTCAATTTTGATGGGAGGAAAGCTTAAGAGGGGACTAAGTAATGCTCGCTGGCTCTTTGGATTGACTATGAGTTGTATAGATATATATAGGGAGGACACGAGTGGCTGGTTTGGTTCTTTGTTCTGAATTTCAAGGAATCGCATATATAACAGTCAACAAAAACTAATGCTCGATCCGAAAAGCAGGTAGTCGAAGGATCATGCGCAATCCTTTATGCATGCATAAATTTATTCATTATTCGCTGGCCTAACAGACACCAGAAATCTAGGTTCGTATAACTCCGTAACCGCGCTCCTTAAAGTGCTTTTACCTTTCCCACCTATTTTCTTAGCATACGCTCAAAATGTTCTTGAATTCTCTAAGCGATCATAATGGTATCAAACCGCCATAATGCATCATTATCTTCCTCAGAGAAGAAACGTCTCCGAGACAGGAGAGCTCAAGAAAATCTTCGAAAGAAACGAGAGAACCGTATCAAATACCTCGAAGAACGGGTGGAATTTTGTGAGACGCATCATGGAACTTCATTAATGCAGCAGCTGCTCACGGCTGTCGATAGCCTTCGTCGGGAAAATGAGCTGCTGCGAGCTCGACAGGACCGATTGCGGAACATGATTGTGTCCTGGGATGCAGATGAGATTGGAGTAGTCTCGTCGGTGACATCCCAGCAACCGCGACGGTTGGAGAATGCAGGGCTTGACATCAGTCCAAGGACTGCATGTCAGTGCGATCAGGCGGAAAAAGGATTAGCAGCGACTCCAAATTTAGTTGCCAACGTCGAGATACCAGATCTTATTGCTCAGAATGAGATCTTCACTCGAACGACAGGACTGACTCTGGAGTATGCTGGGACTGGCCCTGGACTTGGTCATCTGAACAGCGTACAAGATGTTGCAGCCGCTGGACCAAGCATACTGCCATCTATTCAACTGCCCGAATTGCCTCATTCTTCCGCTATCCAGGCTCTGCCTAGCACTGTTCCCGCTTGGTGTCTGGTCCCAATGAACGAGTACGGGCATGATCCGTCCCTGGTACCAGCCACATCACCATGGCTCACTCGTCCGGACCTCGTCATTGCTTGTCCGCCCGTCCCAGCCCCATTGGACCTCCTCCACGGGACTCGGCGCAACTACTTGGCCAACGAGATCCACCGTGCAATTCGACGGCGAGCGATTCGCGACGCGGAATGTGTCGCACTGGGCTGGCTGACTTATGTCTACAGTAAATGGCGCGTCTCTCCCAACCCCGCGACATTTGCGCGCCTGGCACCTTTCCAACAACCACTCATGACGCAGATCCAGCAGGGTCACCCGATAGCTTTGGATTTCATAAATTTGCCGCAGCTGAGGGTCAATATCATCAGGAACTGGACCAAGTACGACTACACCGAACTCACTGGTTATCTGTGCTGTTGCACCAAAGTGCGCTGGCCCTGGGGTAAGGATGTGCTGGAGCGTGATGCGGATGATAATCTGCAGATTCGTCAGGAGTTTTTCGAAGTGTTTACCCGTGAGAGCGGATGGGGCTTGACGTCGGAGTTTATTGATAAATACCCGGAGCTGATGGAGGGGCTGGATGTCGAGGCTTTACGGTTTCGGATGATTCCTCCTAGCGAGGTAGAGTGATCAGCTATGGCACGTTTGGATTTCGGAGTTAAGAACTCCTGCTCCCAAGAGCTCGAAGTTTAGCCTGATCACTCCGTGCGTATCTAGAGCTCAAGCTCAATCAATGGCAACTTCATCGTTTATGATAAACAAGGGGGCTCTTATTGTCTTATTGACCAGAGAAATAAATGTCAAGCTTCTTGAGCATTATGTCCTCCCTCTCACAATGAGCACGTTCCAGCAGTCACAGCGGCTCGATATGTGGCTCTTCCTGAGCTTCCCAAATGAGTTGTGACAAGTATTCATAAAGATGGAAATAGTGAGGGAAAGTACATGTCCGGTCTTCTTCATGCCAAAATGAGAGCTTGGTCTGAGGTGCATATCTCCAATTCGAGTGAATAATCCGTCAGTGATGCTCAACTCTTTTCTAGATCATATCTAGGTCCCGTGGCTGGGTATAGGAGAACTTACTCCGGACACGGTCTGTTGCAAGGACATTAGCATGTTCTGTCATTGCCTGGCAGTTCCCTAGTGAATGAGCTAGAAGCAGCTCTCACAAACAAAACAAATCATCTTCCTGCCACTCAGACTTGAGGCTTGAGTTTCTTCTCATTGACTTACCTGACTCTCTTCTCACATTATGCTTTACTTTCTACATACTAGTTTTTCATTTTGCCAGGTTCCAGCCATTAAAGGATATTAGCGTTCCCCTTTCGTTGCATGACAGCTCCCTGGTGACTGAACTGAGACCCATTGCCTCCTGGTGTTCCCAGGGCGAGGAGGAGGAAGCAATTTTCACAACCCAAACACAAAGACATCTCTGCACAACTCTTTGAGTCACAAACTCCTTTTCAAATCTTGCTTAGCTTACTCCTCATTCTCACCTTCATCCCTCCATTCTTCTTGCTCATTTCTACCACTTCGCCTCCAGTCTACGGACAAATCCTTCTCTCATCTTCCCACACTGGGTGAGACGGACGAGGCGGTTCGCGAGCTGCAGGTGAAGCTGTACGAGCTTTCCAAAACCACCTCGCCTACGCTTCGAGTTGCAAACTGGTACGCACAAATTAAGAGGAAGCTGGCTAGATTTGCACCCATCAGAAGAGGCTCGGATGAGCCAGCGGTTGGGACACCCCGGCATCAACCAACGAGTAATTCGCCCTTAGGAAAGCAGTCTTCCTTGCTGGGAGCTCCCAAAGGTACATGTTTGAAGGAACCTTGTCTGCTCTCATCCATGATGATGTGTATCACTCACTCTACATATGTGCGAGCGATAGTGGGTCAGCTACTAGGACGTTCTCGATGGCCAGCCAGTTTTTGCCATTGGCTTAATACTACCACAGGCAGCCCAAGGTCTAGATATGGACTCTCGGAGATAGCCCAGAGAGCAACTGTTGAGGGGCCCCAGTTGGGATAAAAAGGCGTTATCCCAAAATGTCTCTATTCTGTGGAGGACGGAGGATCTTGCTGTTTGTTTCCAGAATTCGCTGTACTCCCAAGCATACCTGGAAGATAACCGTCGTGGCCCGCCACCAGAATACTCCAGCAGGCCCTGGGTCAAAAAGGGGTTCATGTTGCCAGCAGATGTCCGAGAAGCCCGGATTTTATATGATGAGCCGGAGACCTCTGCTTCCCCTGGGACTTACCCACCAGGGAGAGGGCTACAACTGAACTCAGAATGTCCTTTTCCTCCATCATTGACGACATATGGATAGGCATCAGTTAGTGGCTCAGATTGGCAAATAGTACAGCCTGAATTGGCCGCCGCATCTCCCACAATGCGATCCCAGGGTGTCCTATCTTCTCTTTAGTCCAACATGCCTTTTCCTGGTAGTGCAAGACCAAGTTTGGGCCCGAGTGCGAGCTGGGTAGAGCGTTTTCTCCAGACTTCGGTGTTGGTCGTGTAGAGGCGATATACGACCGGTCACTGCTGGGCTATGTGTGAGGAGGCTTTAGGGCCGATTTAGTTATGACCTGCATACCTGCCTTGGGCACGCTCGGGGATTTTGGCACTCTATGTGGGGATGTCCACGACTATTGAGACTACGTATGACCAGATTCGCGGGGGAGAGAACCCACGCGCAGGAAAGAGATTTCAGCTGTGGGTCGAAGAAGCAGCCGATGCCAGCCACAAAAGCGACCCCGAGGTCCTTTGTCCCGTCCGCGTACCCCTCTAGGGTTGAAGCCAAGCAAATGTAGTAGAGGAGCTGAAATAAGTACTCCATAGTCCGTAGTTTACTGAGAGCGCGTAAACATGAGAAAGGTGGAGAAGGAAAGAAGGGATTGAGTGCAAGAATGAGCTCGATTTGACAAGGAGGAGGAAAGATGACGCCACTGGACACAATGGGCGCCAAGCCAGTGGATGCCTTAATTCCGCCGATGGAGGGGAAAATCGCAGAAGGGCAAAGGGCAAGATTGAAAAGGATTCTTTCTTGGCTGCGGTCATGCCAACAAAAAAAGTAATCACCAGACCCTGCGCGAAATTTTTACCTTTGCCAGGATTCTAAAATCAGCATTTCAATCTCCAACTTCGCTCCTCTGTTAAAAAGCCTATTATTCCCCACGAGCAGTCACTCCAAGCCCTCGACAACGAAAAAAAAGTCTTCTCGCTTCCCCTCGGTCTCCAAGAACGAACCGCCTGCGCTAAATTCCGCCGGGCCCCATCAGTCTCGCTCGCTGCTTGTTCTCAGTCGCGCCATCGCAAATTCACAACATCAATCGCAATGGCCGGCCGAAACGTCTCTCATGGCCGTGGAGGCGCAGGTAAGAGACCTGATTGATTGTCTGCCGTGCAGTCGCACATCTCCTCTTCCCAGTTGAACTTGAGCTAACATCGACCCCCTCACCAGGAAACATCTACTCCACCGCAAACCCCACCTCAGCAAAGGACCTCATCACCCCGACAATCAAACAAGATACCTTCACAACCGGTCGCGGCGGCTCAGGCAATATGGTCCAGTATGACCCCGAGCGCCCGGAAATCGCGCGCGAGCTGCAGGATGTAGAATCGCCGCCGCAGCGGGTGGAGGAAGCCCCGCATCATACGGGACGGGGTAGGTTCTGCCTTTCCCTTTTGTCTGCGCGCTCACGGAGTCGTTGAGCTGACTGTCGATGTTCTAGGTGGTGCTGCGAATGCGTACGTTCCGAGTCCCGAGGAAGAGAAGAAGGTCCGCGAGCGGGAAGAGGAGAATCTGCAACGGGTTCGGACCGCATCGAGGGATCGGTTGAAGGATGTCAAGCAGGCTAGTGAGAAGCGCTCGGGTTCGTCATCTTCGCGGTGATATATTTATAAGGTTGTTTCTGAAGGTTTGGCGGTTTTGGATTCATTGTGTCAAGTCGGGATCTGGTCTGATGCTGTCAACGACTGGCCTCCCAGAACGCCCCAACGAACCTGTCTCATACTGGAAGAAAATGAAAAGTACTGCTGGCGGTGCTTGATGTCCCACCCGAATGACTGGGAACTGCATTTGGGCAGGGGTTGTTTTGAAAATTGAATTCTGCTTGGATGTCATCTTTGCTCTTCCTGTTCGGTCGGTTGTTTTCTTCCCTTCTCTTCTTTCACCATCTGTTTTTACTTCTATGTTCTTGTAATTGGATAATACCCTTGTCTGAAAATCAAAATTTGAATGACGAAGCCCAGTTCTTTCCTGAATTGGATTGTCCCAGGACTGCATGGATTCACTCGAGCTGCTTTATCTTTGGTGAGATGGCGGAATTTTGGACGGTCTTCTCCTGTCTATATATCGCCTGAGACTATATGAGAACATTAATACACACTGGAGGCGCTAGTATGAGCTCCAATAGAACCCCGGATGCTTATCAACATACTTCGTTTCTTTTTCTGCACTATTTACCAATCAGACTCTGGATTTCTTCCACATATCTCTCTATCGATTTCAATGTAACTATCCACTTTGCTAGATCTGGTAGCTGCTCATTATCGTGTATATGTTGAGGATGCAATTAAGTTAAACCAGTATCGGCTGGTATCTATGTAAACAACAAATCGCCGGAGATCGGTCCCCTTGTTCTCCGGGTACTGGTATCACGGGGGATGCAACCTAAGCACAAGACATTAGGTGCCAAATAAGTCGACGCAATTCCTTATGGTCTGTGGAATGACCCAAGGATACCACAATAGTCGCAGAGTGTCGACTTTGAGTGGCGCGAATGTGAGCTTGGCCCTGCTCTCTTATCGCAACCTGGGTATTGTCGTCCGACATTGCCAGTAAGAATGAGCTTCGACCGCGGAGTAGGTTTTGGGCATTACAGTTTCCTAAGACACCAACTAGGACGGAAGTGACGGCGATCATGAGGTGCACAACAGAATCCTTGCTGCAGTCAAGTTGGTGGAATATAACAGCCGGTAGCATCCAATACCCAACTAATGGATTGTCGCCATTGAGAGTCCAGGAGTCGACCTATTTGTTGGATGATTCGTGCACCCCATTCACCCATCCACCAGCGGCTTCTCATAAAATGGAGGCCCACAGCATAATGAGCCAGGATGACCAGGGCGAACGGATGTCGCTCATGTACTAGGTCTATGAACCTCGGTGGGATGTGGTACATCCACTGGAAGGCCACGATTGAAGCTTCCCTGCCTTGCGCAAGTTTTTCTAGAGACTCCCCCAACTCTCTGATGGTTGCCTCAAACATCTCTCTTTCGTGCTTCGGGTTCCGGTTGGCCAGCTGTGAGTTCGTCATTGATAAGGACATGATAGCAAGCCGCGAAGTGTCCGGCATCTTGGGGCCCCATTCGTCCTTTTCAAGCAACGGCTTCAACTCGCCGCTCTTAATTTGGTCGGCGATCTGGGCCAGAACATTCATGGAGTTCCTTGCAACTTGGAAAGCCTGGCAAAGATCATCCAGCGCCGTGTTTGTCTGGCCGTGTCCGGCAATCAGAGGAAAGGCTAGGGAAGATATGGTGGTGAGACTGCATAAAGCAAAGGCTGCATCGCAATTTGAATGGTTGATATTTGTGAATGTCTCTTTGAATCCTGACAGAGCCAGGTCTTTATGGGTCTTTGCCGTTTTAATATATCGTTCGTGCATGCTTCCTCCTGTTGAGGAAGCCAGGTGCAATGCGGACAGGGCGAGAATACCATGCATCAGGGCCGGATGCTGCATAGCTTCACGTGGAATGACAGTCTGCCAGATACTCTCAACATTGCTATTATGAGACATTGAACGATATGTCTTAGTACACCACTGCATCATCAACTCCAGATCGTGGACGTTGAGGTTGTCTTGGGCACCATTGCGACCCATGGGACTCATCTGACTCTGAGACTGAGCGACGCAAGTCAAAACAGGGATAGATGGTAATGAGTTCATTGACGACCGGTTCTGTGTCGATGTAGAGCGCGAATATTTCCAGGATGGCATATAGTGGCATATTATATCCCGCTTCATGCAATGAGAACATCGCGGATGCTCTTTCCCACACTGTCCGAGTCAGTTCAAACCGAAGAAAGACCAATGGGATGAGGAATCAAGATGAAATAGATCCATAAACAAAGGAAGAAAAAAGCCCCATCCGGACACAGACACTTTCCAAGGCACCGAAGCTCTCAGCATCCCTGTCATGGTCATGTACACGATGTTGTCCGGTGAGCTAAGAGGCATCTTCGACAAGAATAGAAACACCATTGGTCTTGGAAGTCGGAACAACAACGCCATCACGCAGCACACATACCTTGATCCGTCGGCTCCTGCATTGAATACAGCCATGACCCCGGCGCAGAGAGTTCCTAGCACTTATTGTCGGAGGCATCGCGCAAGCCAGCTCCGTCGTCTGAGCCACTCACGCTTTTCTAAATGATTGAGGCTCCAGAGCTCGATATAATTTCCCGGTGAATCGCCTCCACAATTGTCTTGTGACCAAAGAGCGTCTGGGATGTCCATGAATCTACCCATCAGCGCTTCGGAGGCACCGGTGCTGGGGTCTGGTATTTAATCTATTTTGACTTCGTAGCCGAAAGCACGAGTTAGACCCTGTCAACCGGCTAACGAACGGATTTTCATGCTCAGTGGGTCTGAGATCGATCGCCGTCTCAACAGTTACCAAAACTGATACTCCCCTGCGACACTCTGGGCGACAGAATGAGTAAATGCTTCCCTACACCGTACATGTCGCTGCACCGGCTGCGGTCGGATTTACCGGACCCTGGATGGACAGATACATGCATCATGCACTCGATGCTGAGTCTTGGAAGAGATTGGCATTTACCGTTGCAGGGCGAGTCCCGTGAGTCGAACCACATTGACCGTACTAGGAAAGAGGAGGACAACTCCTGAATGGAAGGAGTTGGTTAGGAATCTCAGAACCTACTCCGTACTTGCCCCCTTGACACCTATGATTGACAACATTACAGATCTGTGTCCTAACCGAACCCTTCCTAGCAACAACGGATAAGACACAACAGACAATAATGCAGTCGATTCTCACAAAAGCTAGATTGCAGATCGGATTGAACTATTAAACAATAATTATCGAATATATCGATCATCGGAGCAGAATATCTAGTTTCGCCAATCGGCTACCTCCGACTTGCCCTTAAAAACGATTCCTCGAAGACCTACAAATTTCCCTCATCCATACGTTTGCACATTATTTAATCATGATACGCATGATACTTCTACTAGTCAACGCTACTATCGACTCGTATCATTGGGTGATTGTCACATACATCCCTATTCCTCGTCATACCATCTTCGGACAATCCACCCTGCAACTCCACTTGTTCGTTGTTCCACTGGCCGCACGTAGAACGCAAAGATACCAATCCGGCGGGCTCTCCACCTTGCCGCTATCCTTATCGGAGTTTGGAGCCAAACTTGCTTTTACCCTTTCGGGTAATTAGTACTCTTGGTCTCCCTTGATCTACCATCATTGGATCATCATTTCTAGTGCTCTGACTTGTTCGCGTATGGCGGAGTGTGAATTTGTCCATTTGAACAAACACAACACTGTCAGTAGGGAGTCGCAATCCTGACTGATTCGACTGTTCTGTGCTGAGTATGCTCACATCTAAGCGAGCTAACCTGACTATGCCAGGAACTACTGATTCGCATACGACCAAGGATGGACATTGGTGGATTATTATGCGGAATCCATTCCACAACATCAACGCACACCTTCACCTTCAGACACGCTCCGCACCCTGTTCGACCATCTTCCAGAAAGCACATGCAACGGCTTTTGAGCCAAGAAATATGACGAAAGCCTCAGACATTCCGCCGTTTGCTATTCATCATTGAAATCTATATGGGAGCTCTCGCACCAATAAGGCCAGCAACTAGCAACTCGAATCAAGATAGTGTCTCCATCGATGGTTTCACGCACGACCACCATATCCCTGTCATTCTTGATCTGTTGGAACCAATACTGAGTTTTCGGAACAACTAAATCGCAAGGCCACCTAAGCTTGGAGCTTACCAATCTTCAAACTTCGTCGCACTCGCTGAAGGGCAAAGCGACAGCCTTCTATGCACTGACTGTGGCGCCATGTAGTGTCCAAGTTGCGACGACAATTGGTGATATCTTCCTACAGCTGTCCTGTTCGCCTGGGCTCCTCTGAGACTATTCCTCAGGAGGGAAAAGAACAGTTTCCGTTCATGTATTTCGGTCGACAGACACATGCCTTTACTCATTGCTCAGTCTCAGACCCTTGCGAGCGGTATTCGACAATCCCTCTATTCCCAGAAGGAGCATCACTGGCCCGACCAGTAACTATTTGTAGTAAGAATGATTCAGGCCAAGTATGCGTCTAAGAAATACGGTGTCGTGCGGGATTTGCTTGCGGCTAATAAGGCGCTCTCGAAACTATCGTCAACTAACCCTTTCGAGATTTGTTTCCTTGAAAGAGATAATGGGCACAATAGAACCAGGGATTCACAGAGGCCTTTTTGGGGAATCTGTCTGTCAATGAACGCTGATCTTACACAAGCAACAACTTAATCATGGACTAAGTTTCTATTTAGGTTGAATAGACTTATCGATAGCGCTCGCGTCGCAATCATATATTCTGCCATACGAGCAACCTTGAGTCCAGAGGAATGCATTATGCGCCAAAGTTAACATAATTTCCAGCGTGCGCATGTGTTTCGCCTTTTCCTGGTTTACTTGTGAAACTCGCTGCACGAATTTTCCGATCTGTTCGTTGTTTTCGGTTTCCAGCCTTCTAGATAGCGGCCCTCTAGGGAAAGCATTAGCCTAACTTACCCCCGAACTCCTACTGACCCAGCCCGCTTCTTCGGGAACCTTCGACTTCCGTTTCATCGGTCGTCATGGAGCCCAAGGGCAAGAAGAGTCTTCGCGAGGTATCGCTCTTCGCAAAAAGGATTGCAAGAAGTTGTGGTGATAAGACACAATTGAAGTGTCTCGTGTGGTGAGCATCGGGGCAACGAGCCTTAAACTCAGAGCAGGTAAATCTCAAAGCAGGTACCTCTTTTGACCTTGATTGCTGAGAACTTAACCGTGCTGGTAACTGAGCTGTGCAAATCTTAGGACATAAACCCCTCGGTCAAAGCGTCACCGGTTTATTCGAAAAGATCATAGGCCACCGCCTTGTCACGAGCATGGCAAGAGTTCCCGTCTTCATCCAAGCTGGGCTTCGTGTAGTGGTCAGATAGAGCATTAGAGCACCAGGAAGCTCGCAAGGCGACCTTATGTTCGATGCCCCTTGGACATACATAGGTAGGACGAAAGCCTCTGAAGATCTTAAATTGACCACTCTAGTCAAGGTTGCACAGGGTCCATCTGAGCCATCGAAATGGTTTTGAGCTCGGCCAGTTCTTGTGATGAGCGGCGAAGGTTGAGGTCTATGGAACCGGTAATTGGGAGACGACGTGCTCCGGGGACATATCTACAGACTTCTTTCTCGTTGCCACAACCATGGATATGCCAAATGAGAAACTGTCAACCCGCCACGAATCTCTCTCATCACAAATCGAGCATTCATACTGCAGCCATGTTGTCAATGTCTCTTCGTGTAGGCGAGGCCAGAGTCGTCGGCATGCCTTGCCCGTCTTTTATGACATTCCAATAGGACGCCCTCCCGGTATTTCAGTTTCTCAACCTAGGCATCGCCAACTCGACCAGTGACCAAGGCCAGGAATGCTTGGTATAATTAGCTCTCGCTGGAAGAGGGAGGAGGATATACAAAGAGGTTTAACGTTGTACTGGTACTGCGCTGATTTGCGAGTCTTTGGACTAGGCTCGTATTGCGCACATGTGCCGAGACCTTCTACTTCTCCTCAACGCCCTCGTCGACCACGAAAGCGCGGAGCAGATGGGTCGACGAGACGTCGAATCTCTCATCTCGAAAGCCGCCAGGAGCAGACTATCGGTCAATACGAATTTTGGCAAATGAGAATCTTCTTGACGCAAATTGCGTTCGACTTGACGATGAACTCGTCGTCGCGGCGTCTGATTCTGTCGAGAGCTGGAAGTACATCATTTGGTGATGTCTCTGTGAATGGTCGCTGGAAAGATGAAACGCGTTGCTTCTCTCGAGTCGGTGTTTGCTTGTTAGGACTGATTGACCGCAAAAGTAATTGCTATCTGGCAACCACTGATGATAGGAGCTGCCTGAGACCATGATGAGTTGTTTCCATTTTGAGAAGGCACTCTAACCTTCAGTTGGCATTGATGCGGGGTAGATGGCCTCATGCAGCCATGTCTCTCGAATCCAGAATAGGACGAATGTGATCAGAATTCAAAGAGCCAATTGATTGTTTCCACTCTAGGTCATGGGGTGATCTCAAGAAAACTACATAGCCGGTAACTTAGTGGTAACCTAGTTGAATAGATATGGTACCACTCTCTATACTCTCTATATACTGTGGCACTCTCCACCACAGCCGCTTGTCGATTAGCAGTTCGTATAAGGAAATCACAGTACCTCGTCGTTCTCAGGGCTAGGCTCTCGGATGTCTGCTGCTAGAGGTCCATGACGACGAAGAACGAAGTGGGCAATGTGATTTTGGGTTACACCAACCAACCTACTGCAAGCCAGCCGAAACAGTCACTTGCGGCATCTAGTGACACTCTCGAAAACGAAAGAGGAAGATCTTCATGACCCGTATTTCTTGTACGGGGTTTGCTTCAGTCGCACGCAAGCTCGCCATCCTAGAGAGTGTCTTGTATTGCTGGATGATATCACATTGATGGGCATTCATCCGCTGATGATCTGACAAAAAAGGACAGGTGCATCTTGGGCCGCAAAGAAGATGCCAACAGTCGATCTTGCAGCCAGACCTCAGGCTTGTTAGTTTTGGGCGACTGGAATAATATTCTCCGACAACTCATTAGCTCGGAGTTGATGGATATCTGCTTGGCGTCATGATTCTCCTCTGCAGAGGAACAGAGGGGTGATGACGGAAACGGGCTAGACAAGTCGAGATCAGCGGCAGGCTAACCCGATGCGGAGATGACTGGTCCTTTTGCATGGTGGTATCTATCTTAGGATTCTAAGTCCGTAGATAGTCACAGATAGGTAATGCTGCAACTGCCGCTCTCGCTATTTCTCTGTTTCTCAATTCGTACAAAAGACCGAGTTGCGCGACCCAGCTGGGAGGACCG